AAACGACGTTCTATTAAAGATCATTGAGGTTCAAAAGGTGGGAGGTGGTTCTTTTATCAGTAAAGTATGATATTACATATAACAGAGAAACAAGACAGCACGACAGAACACGATTATTTATGGAAAGGAATGAAAATAAGACGTGAAAGAGTAGATAAAAATGACATGGAAAGGGAGATATGCGTCTAAAGTGCAGAGGTAATTTAAATTGAGTAAAAGAACGAACGAGAGCGAGAGAGAACGCGATTGTGAGAGAGAAAACCATTTATTGAGATAATATAATGAGAGATAAGATAAAAATGTTATATTTTTGTAGATTTGTTATTGCGTAAAAAATGCATTAAGACAATGAGAAACTTTATATAATTTGAGCGACGGTTGAACTAAGCCTGAGAGAATTAAAATGAGTGAATAAGATCATAGAAAGAAAGGGTATTGTACAGAGAATGAGAAAAAGATTTAAAGAAAACATAGAGGAAAATGAAAAAGTGCTTTAGAAGAGACGATGGTATGTTGAACATGTTTGACATCCGCGATTTAATAAGAAAATTTCATTAATTCTTCTGTGTCTCCGAAGCTCTCAAAGTTCTGAGTTGCTTGCAAAAGAAAAAAGCGAACAAAAACAAAAAAAAAAAAAATAAAAAAACAAAAAAAGAAAACACGAAAATAGGAATTATATTTAAAAAGAAGAAGAAACAAATGTCGGCTTCAATATGAGCTATTTCAGCGTATGTTATGAAAAACAGTTTTTCCAATGTAATTAAAGAAGATAATGAAGATTACAAAAAAAAAAAGAAATGAAATGAAATAAAAGTCTCGTGAATGAAACTGTATAAATTAAAAAGAAGCTAAAATGAATATTACTATCATTCGACGACTTTTAATTAATAATACACATTCATAAACACGTTATTTTCCGAATACAATATATGATATATAAAATATGCACCGATATAGGTTAAAAAAAAAAGAGAAAATCGCCATGTATCTTTCTTGAACAATTTAAAATTAAAACGACGCCAATCGCTCATGAATGACTAACTTTTGTGTAAAGCTAGATTTTCTTTCTGAGAAATCGATCATCCTGATAAATGCAAACCGGAGAATACAAAATATATAAGAAAGCAAAATGAAAAAGGAAACGATAAAAAAGACATAATATATATAACTATATGTATAAACATGATGGTACACACAATCAGTTGCTGCTGCACTGATATGAGGTAACGCAATAAACGTAAGAAATGAAATAATTTAATATACTAAATATTGAAACGAAAGCAAAGAAAACCACGATACGGAATATGAAAAAAAAAAAAAAAAAAAAAATGGAAAAGGGGAAAAATAAAGAATGAATAAAAGGAAACAAATATATACGAAATCCATATTATCGAAAACAATACAACAGAGCAGAAGTACCATAAAAATAATAAAATATAATATATAATGCAAAAGAAAGAAGTGGAAACATGTAAAACGGTGATTAAATGATCGACGTAAAAAGTACAGGTGCGCGCCTGACTCGTGCCTGCTTTTTCGTTGTAATAAGTAATAAAAGAAAAAATAATAAAACACGTAAAACAAAGGGGCCCACGAAACCACTTTAACGATAGAGGACGTATCCGTGTGAGAAAATGAAACAAAATGAGCCAACACATAAAACGAATAATCTCTCTTTGTGTATTTAGAAAGTGAAAAACAAAAATTCCATTTATAAACTCGATCTTTGAACATTATGTGTCACTGAGATAAACGGAAAATTAATTGTATTTCGAAGTAAGGCACATCTCTAAACTCTTGCTATGTAACAATGATAATGATGGTAATGATAATGATGATAATGCTGGAATATTGTTGACGATAAATGCTTAATAAGTGAGAAATGGTTGAACGAGAATGTAAATTAAGCGACTACGTATATATATATATATATATTGATTTTTCTTTTTCTTTTTTTTTTTCTTTTTTTATAGAAGCACTTTTATCATAAATCAAAGCGTCAATTTCCAGTAGACTATTCTCCGTCTTTTTTCCTTTTTTTTTTTTTTCCAATTAATAGTATAGTTATACTTTTGTTTGAGCAAATTTCTATTTTATGTCGATGCAGCAAGTAGCTAAGCATTAAACAGATACATGATGTATCATGTTTCTCAATGTCAAGAAAGTCATGAAAAACTTTTGTTGCTTCTCTATTTCATCATTCTTTGTTATAATCTTCCTTTTTTTATCATTATTATTCTTTCATTCTTTGTTTAATTTGTAATCACATTATAGTAGAACCTTAGGTCTTCTTGCAAAAATCACACTATATATGTAAATGTACATAGGGAAAAAATATAACATATAAAAATGGAGCAGATCATTTAATCTCAGTAATTTATTTTAAATGATTTCCACAAAAAAAAACGTTAATAAAAAATATTATTATTTTATTATATCTCTAATAGAAGTACGCAATCAATGGGCATTAAGAAATGAAAAAGACCTTTTTTTTTGTTTTCTTCTCACTCCATTTTTTACAATGTTATATTTACAACTCCGTGCTACTAGAATGTCAGGATTTTCGATATCAACCCAATAGAAAAAAGATATAGAATGCCCAGAATGAAAAATCCAAAACGGGAAAAGTGAAGTTGATATTGAGTTGTTATGACGCTCGATACATAAATTTTAAGTTTCTGTTTTTACCATAGTTTTCGCTTGCATACTCTATTAACAAGGTATATTAAAATTACGGTAGCAAAAACAGTAAATAAAAAGTATTAATAAAATAAAAAACCAAAAAAAGATGAAGTAACGAATTAAACACTTATCAATGTAGCTGCAAATGTATGTGGGCCCCGTCCTTATATATTCTTATTAAATATTACATAACGTATATTCTGCTATTATTTTTCATAGCTAAAGGAAATAACAAGAACAAGAAAAAATAAAATGATTAAAATACCAAGTGCGTATACAGAGGGTAATCATTGTATGTTACAATTTATAATCATTGTACGTTTGTTTTTTTCTGTTTTACTCTCCTTTTGTTTTTCTAATATATAAGAAGTCAAAGTAATTGATGAATAAATGTATAGCGCATGAAATGCGAGCAGTTTTTTGCGAACAAAATAAGTAAAACCTTCAGTGAGTACACTTTGTGTTTGTATGACAAGAGTGTGAAGAAAAAGGTACAAGTAAAATTGTATGTGCGCTATAATTTTTGTCAATGATCGAGTTATTTTCAACCTATATGGGTCGGTAGGTGGTTACTATATTTCTTGAAACAGTAAAAAGGTCATTGTAAAATGTAATATATTTATAATACTTTTCAAGCTACTATTTGTTGGCATAACAGTGTTAGAATTATTGCAGCATAATGATTTAATGTTGCATCTATATAAGCCAGCGAACATTATTCATATACATTTGCTGCAGAAGTTGACATAGAATCATGTACAAGATTTCTTTACCGAAAATCGGCATACTATATTAGTTGGTAATTTTCAGATATGTTTGTTATACTTCTAAGTACTGCCTAACCGACTCATTTAGTCGTTGCATTTTTCTATAATACACAGTCACATTAATGTATTCTTGTTGGATTATTCTATCTTGTAACTTACTGTTGTAACATATACCCCATTCATGTCTAGTGTCAAGCAGAGCTGATTCTATGCTTTTGCTAGTTGGAAAACCGGATAAGATATGTTTTAAAGCAAAAAGAAAAAGAAAACAAAGAAAGCAAAGCGTAAAAATTTAACTATTTGCGTGTTTAAAGAAATAAAACAAATTGAAGATTTTCATATCGTTAATTTAGACACAGGCGTGTAGGAAGTTAAAGGCAAATCACAAAAAAACATAATAAATCGAAGAATCAGTGCTGGCGAAAACACGAGGCAACTAAAAATTATTATAAAAGTAAAAAAAAGTCACATTTAAGGTACTTTTAAAGCGGATACATATTTGGAAAGTAGGAGGTAACCATTGTATAAATGTAGTGGCAACTCTATAATACTACAAAACAAAAAAAAATCAATATATTCAACAATTATTCGAAATACTAAATGAAAAATGCACTTTAATGGATGTTGTAACAATTTAGAGTATTCAAATTGCATCGACATTTTGCTGTAAATCTGTTCTTTGGAATACAACTACTCTGCTAATTGAATGAAGGACATCTTTCTTTCTTAAATGATAAAAAAAGAGAAAATCATTTACAAATAATAGCTGTGTATTGGGAAACAAAGAATAATCTTTTTTTCTTTACCCCAACAAGCAGAGAAGTTTCTCCAATGACAGATATTTTAAGTTTGTTTCTTTTGATGAAAAAAAGAAATATATATATATATATGTGTGTGTATATACATATACATATACATATGTGTATATATATATATACATATATATGTATATTTATCTTCGTTTTTTCTTGTATAAATGCAATTACACGACACACATGCAAAGTAGAGAGAACGGTAATGGTTCATAGAGATTCTCTGTTGAGTTGAAGAGGAAAATAATGAAAAGCTTTGCAAAACATACTGCACGGTTTGAAATAAAGCAAACAAACTTTTAGTAAAGTTTTGTAAAGAAAGCTGTTCGTATGAGAGGTTCTCGGAGATGGTTGGCTGACATTTTCGGAAGTTTAATGATTTATTGAAACGTGTTGTCATGTCTTGAATACAATTAAAAGAACTATAAAAAAAGTAAAAAATAATTTTATATTATAAGTTCATCTTCCATTTTATATCCATACCTTTTTATCACTATGTGCTACCTTTAATTTAATTATGTTACTCTAAATTAATATTCTATTATTTTATAAAAACATAAATTGTAATAAGGATTATTAAAATTATAATTCAATTGTTCCTTAAATACTAACTTAGTTAAGTGAGGTAAAACAAATAATTAACATCATACATGATATTTTTCGTATTTTTATTTCAGTTTGTTATTTATCAGAAAAGTTTTTTAAATATGACTATCAATTTTATTAAAAGAATTTAATATCATAAAGTGATGTGATTTACAGGATAGCTATACAGTTTGTTTTTGTACTCCTGAATATCAGTGATGTGAACCAAAGATTTATCAGTCTTTTCCATGGCAGGAATGTAAATCAATGAATATTTTACATTTCCATGTTTTTCTGTTTTTAAGTTAGCTGTAAAGAAGATATTAACACAAGATTTTCATTAAATATGAGATTCATAGTTTAACCCTTTGCACTCGAGAGGTGACTCTCAGTTACCATTTAATCAAATTCTAAAGATCGACGTTAATTAATATATCAAATATAAAATTACCTAACGATGTGTGGAATATCGAAAAAAAATTATTCTACGTCTTAATTTGCATATGATTTCTCATTTACCATTTTAAAAATTTCGTCAACTCTATGACAGAAAGTCTCCGAATTACTATTTTTCTGTAACGAACAAGTCGTCGAGTGCAAAGGGTTAATACAAAATAATTGCTTACAATCAGTTTCATTCACGTGCAATTCATTTCCATTATTCTGTGTATCAGATGATTTATCACTTCCAACCACATGCACACTTAATTTTCTAAAATTACTGCCATTAATTGTGTGAGACTTTATCCATTCCCTCAATTCATCAATCTTGATGTGCTCTATCATATTTAATTCATTCTCTATTCTCTCAAACATATAATCTCCAGTTATAATTTCCGACCAGTTCCTATCAACTTCTTCTTTCAGATGTATATCCGCACACTGTTTTAATGTTATCACTGCTTCCTTAACACTGTCTAAATCCTTCTCTGAAGTCTCTTTCAGAATATTATTAAACATCTCTAAAAATGCTTCTATTCTACTATCCACGTGTTCAGTGCTATACTTATCCGCTTGAGTATATACAGTGATGGAATAACCAAGAATACCGAAAGTATCTCTTAATAAACAAAAAACATTGTAACCTAGTTGTTCTTGTGTCCTCAGTTGATTAAAAAGAGGTTCCTCCATGATCATCTGTATTAAAATTAATAGAAATATTTATTATTTATACAACAAATTCGAAATAATAGAATTTAAACTTATACTTACAATTAATAATTCGATAATGACTAATAACTTGATGGATGAAATACCAGATTGATAGTAATTCATCACTACAGAGTTTACATCCGTACTATTGAAATTCTTTACTTTGCAATAGTGTGAACCGACTGGTATTTGCACCACTCTCATCTGTGGCATAGTATTAGGCAACAATGGTCCACATTTAAGTGCTTTAACAAATTCCTGAACGTTTTTAATCACATCATCCTTGGCCATATTTCCTTGTACTAAAGACTGAATATAAATGTGGTCAGTAAAATGTCTAACAAAATTCTGGAATTCAGCAAATTCCACATTATGAATTGCAACGTGCTTATCCGCTGCCATCCAATGAACTAGCATAAGAATTGATGCTCTCACATCTCTGAAACAGTAAAAAAAAATGTAAATTTTTATTTATCCTTTATTGCTTATGACTTTATAAGAATCATTACTTACCGAACTAACATTTTGGGCTTTACAAAATTATTATAATATGCTTTAATTTGTTCTTCTTTCATTACATCAAAAAATTCTTTGTTTATCAATGTTGGAAAATCAGCTATATACTTTGCAATATTCGTCAGTAGAAGCTATAAATATAAATAAACAGACATTAAATTAACAGAAATTATTTTTAAATTTAATTAAAAGAAATTGTAGTTATTTTTTAAAAATGATTTTAAATTTGCTTACAGGTAATTTCTGATTGAATCCATTTACTTTAAGCATAATACCCTTTTCATCCGTGTAAATATCGTGGTTTAATTCAGCAACTGTCGCTGGATACAATGTTTCCACTAATAATTGGTTTAATATAGCAACGAATAAATCCATCAAAACTGCGCTAAAATTTTAATTATTTCTGTAAAACAAATTATGCTTTATGACTTTAAAGATTTACCTTTTCAGTGAACAAACAGCCATTGGTGATATAATACAAAAATACATATAACATTCAGGTAAACCAAACTTCGGATCAGGCCGATACCAAATTTCGGTTATTTCGTCTGAATAGATTTTTATGGGATACTTAGGCACACCAGGTGGTATTGTAATTAAACTGAAATCATCTGTGAGAAACACATTGGGTAAGGGTAAATGAAATTCAGGTAAAGGTTCAATAGTCTTCCAACATTCTATCCACTCCTGAGGGATCTCCATATCAGTGTATTTGGTTTTGAACCAAGGTTCTACTTTATCAAATTCTTCATCATTAAACTTTTTATTAAAAATTATAATGTTTACGTCATCGGGTGTTAAATAATTTAAGCATCCTCGTATAGCTTCTGGATTGTATTCAAAATATAAATCACTTCCAGTGATATAATCAAGAGGTGGATAATAGTGCATGTTTTCACATAAAGCTTCCACATACTCTGCTGATGGAGACTCTTCTGCGTATCTACAAAAAAAAACTTTTTTCCTATCAATCATTTTAATTATTGCATTAACAATTATTAAATAATTTAATTTACATGAAATTCATTTGTTTAATTTGATAGATCTCATCATAAATTCTTTTCTGTGGCCCTTCTTTATGCATTAAATTGATAAATGAAAATATGGCATTCAATACTTCCGGCAAATGATTGTATCCTTGCTCAGTCAACATTAAAGATAAGCTGAACAGCGCGTACATTGAATTATGTTCGAAACCACTTTCTTCATTTCCGCTAAAAATCTTAAGACACCACATGTTCCTCCTTAAATAACTAATTAAAGAACCTTTGCCTTCATATCCTATGATCCAGGAAAGGTATTGATGTGGTTTGCTTTTATACAAATCATGAAGGGGTGGCATGGACCATGTTAGCTTCACCTGTAAACAAAACAAAATCCTTACTTAATTACCATCACTTCTAAAGGTATAAAGACATACTTGGCAGACATCTTTTATAGGTTTGATTTTATAAATTTTTCTGAAACATGATGTATTAAATGAATCTGCGCCTTTAAACTGAGTAAAATCATCAGGTGGTAAATTATTATTTGGTACATTTGCAAAACATTGTACCACATAGTCTTCTAATACATCAAGTGGAAGCCTGGCCTGTAAATAAAATTTGAAAGCCAATATTATTTATATTTAATAGCAAATTTTAAATTTGGGGAATATAAAACCAACCTGTATAGCAAGTTTCATTCTGTGAGCACTATAGTGACGCTCTCTGAACTTATGCAATTCTTCATAGAGCTTTTCATCTGTTACATTATCTCGTAATGTAATCAAATTACCCCAACTAAATTTTGTTGCTGGATGATTCAGCTGAGCAAAGCTACTAAATAACTGTTCTTCTCTACAAAAATCAGAAGGTAAAGCCATCTGAAATTCTATATACATTATTTAACATTACTATTTCCTAAAGTAATTAAATCACATTGTGTTAATAGTTTCTGATATGTACCACTTTCTACAGCTTCACGTTCTCTGGTTATAGCATCCTTCTTCATTAAAGGTTTAATAAAAAATTGAGCAAAACGATCAAGTGCAGATAAAAGATATTTTTCTTGTACTTCAAAATAGAAGGTTGTTAATTCACATTCAGTGGAGGCATTATCCGATCCACCTCTTTTTTTAATAAATGTATCAAAATCATTTTCCTGTAAATTCTTACTATAAATTCAAGGATATTAAAATTTTTGTTTAAATGAATACCTGAGAATATTTTTCTGATCCCATGAAAACCATGTGCTCCAAAAAATGTGCCAAACCTGGAATTTCTGGTGGATCACTGAAGCTTCCTACACCCACTGATAATCCACAAGCTGCCTGTGTAAGAAACATGCGTAGCAGCACACTAAGAATATTAACAATTGATATATTTTACATTGATTAAGCATTATATGGCATATTTTGATAAAAGATACCATTTTCTCTTCTCTTTTTATTCGTTTAGTGCAAACACAAGAATCTTCAACTTCTTTATCACAATCTGACTGATTATTCTCTATGTCACTTTCTTCTTCACTCTCTTCTTCTTCATCCTCTTCACTATCAGTTTCTTCATCGTCTTCCTCTTCATTTATCGTACTTATTACATCCACTGATAAGTACCAAATATTTATACTTTTATAAATCATTTAAAAAATAAATATAAAGAATCCTTTACCTTTATCATCATTTTTGTCATCTTGAAATGAGTGTAGATCAGCAATTAGCAGAGCAGTTAAACCATTTTCTAATTGAATCACTCTATATGAAAAACAAAACTATTTATTGAAATAAAATAAAAATGCAAAAAATTCAACATATGTTCTATTTGAACTTTTTCACTACTTTTACCTGTATTCTTTCATGTCATTCTCAGATTTAACAGGTGTTTCTAAATAAGTAACTTTCACTCCTAACTGCTTTGTAACGCAGACAGAGTTTTCCTGTGTCTGATTTTCCGTTTGCATTTTGTCAATGATCATCGTGTCTGTGTTGAGGTTATGTTCAGTAGAAAACTTCGAGTTTTTAATCAAATTAACCGAGCCTTGATTTGGTTTTAATTTTTTCTCAGGTGGACTTTGAAGCGATTTTTTTAGCATTATCGTCGCGTGAGGTATTTTTTTATCCTTACATTGGAGAATCTTTGTTAAAAGATATCTCTGCAAACCCGTTACCATGTATGACGAAGCAAGCTATTTTTCACTGTCACATTGACTCTGGGCACAAATTTATTACAATGTCATCTGTTTGTACTGTATTCTTTCTTTATAATATCAAGATTTCTCTTGAAAAATTAATTTCTTTTCTATAAAAACAGAGCATTTTTTAAAAATATGAAATATAATTTTATGAAATAATTCATAAATATGAAAAATAATTTTTTTTATATAAGTTATTTCACGAATTACATATTTAAATCATCACAAATTCTACAAGAAGAGATAAATTTTATTTCGTAAATAAAGCAAACATTATTACAGATTTTAAAAGAAAGTCTACGATACAAATCTTATCTAATTTATAAATTTGTATAGAATATAATTTTTTTAACTGATATAATCTATCTATTTAACGTATCTAAACTCTCTATCTCTCTTTACTAGCGTATTAAGTAGTTTAAAATAACATAATTTAAATTTACGATTAGCTCACTCTAGAGCTTAGAGTTTCTCCCAATGGACCTCCACTATTTTCAAAACAGTTTTCATAAGTTGTGGAAATGCATAGTTTAGTGACAGTATATGATAGCTGGGTTAGTTAGTTCTTTATTAGTCTTTTTATAATTTACAGTTGACGACAATGGTGGGAGATTAAAACGACGTGAGGGGCACCTTTTATTATATAGGCATGATTTAAGTCAACTTACAAGAGATATTCATATCTTTCAAAATAGATCAACTTTTATGTTTATTTATTCAGTATTATGTATTTATTTGTATCGTTTATAGAGCTATATAATATTTTTTTTGAAATTATATTCCTCTACTAATGAATATCTTACAAACATTTTTAAAGATTATATCTTCGTAGTAAAGTAAATAATTTTGTACCAAAACTGGATCATGAAAACAAAATATGTTATTAAGAAAATGTCAAAAGATAAGAAATTCTTAACGATTGTAACATGATACATTTAAATGTAAGAGGTTTATAAGAAACAAATTACAAATATAAATTACCTAAGGCTATAATAATTTGTTATCGATGGTGTCACTTCAACTTTTATGATAACATTTTCTTGTTTATACTTTAAACTTAAAAGTATATACTATTATGATAATAAAAATGCTCAAATTATGTATGAAAATTTCTAAAAATAGGTATATTAATTATATACGAAAAATATTTAATGAAATATTCATTATTATTAAAATTTCATCGATGAATATTTAATAATAAATAATTTATTAATAACAAAACTAATGAACAAATTTATAAAAATGTATAAATTTATCATATAAATGGAAGAACATCATTATAATAAAAATAGCTTAAATAGTTATAATATACAATTTTATCATAATTCTCGTTTTTTTATTAAAAAATTGAATGAGAAATAAGAAATAAAAATAGAACTTTGTATACATTAAATATTGTAGGGCAGTTGGAAACGATCCTATATAAGAGTGCGTGAAACACGAAACGATTTTTGAAGTTTTCATGTAAATTTGCTAGGTGGAATCGACAAGGTATTTTATATTCTAACAGATATTTTATATTATTGTAGTGAGATAAGGATAATACAAAAAAAATAACAAACTAATTATATTTTAACAAATAGTTAAATTCTACAGTATTTGATAAAAATTTATATTTCAAATGATTGGACTTAACTAATAGATTCAGTGTTTTAACCTATAGTTCTTGAAATCATTGCAGAAAAATGGCAAAAGAATCGGATGAGGAGCTAATAAAAGCATTTTCACAGTTACATGAGAAAATGTTCGATACTACACAAAAGTTAAAACTGGCGGATTTGCAGATTGACAAATTAAAACGATCTAAACAGCTCGCTGAACTAACAATGAAAGAGGTAACCTCCTATCCAAAGAATACGAAAACTTATGAATCCGTTGGCAGAATGTTTCTTTTGGATGATATGGACAGCATAAAAGCCGGTCTTGAAAAACGAATGAAAAATGCCGATGAAAAAGTGAAAACTTTAGAAAATAATAAAACATATTTTCAACAAAATTTAAAGGAGTGTGGAAACAATGTTAGGGAATTGCTCCAACAAAGACAGAATAAAGACACATCTGGTTAATAACTTTTATATATTTCTATAAATATTATTATCTTATTACTCGCTTTAAAAGAGTTTCATATTTTATTTTTTCATTACTCTATTCAATGTTGCATTGTCATATTGTTGGATTTATACATGAAATTGTATTTAATTTGCAACATATAAACTAACGAATAAAATGATCATAATAGCAAATATATAATTTTAATTAAATGTTTCAGTGTATTTATGTAAACTTCATAGAGTTTTGTAACTTTCAATTATTGTCTATGTGCTAATCAATAAAGTCTTTTATTACAATTTTTAATATATTCCAAACATTAAAAACCTATAAAAAACATTAAATACCAATGTGATTTCTAATTATTAATTTATTCCAGCAGAATTAATACATACAATAAATTTTCTGTGAGTCAGCTTCTTCAATTCATCTTATACTCATTTCTTCTCTCACTCTTTTCTTTCATTTTTCACATTCACATTCAAAATTTCATAGCTATAGTCTAAGTTACTCATAAAAACTTATATGCCATTGCAGTAGTTTGGCAAATCCATTAATTTAGAAACGAAGATGTTCAAATGTATCTTAAATTTAGGGTAGAAAAAATTGAACAACAAAAAAAATGTTCCTGTGTATCATAATTATATTTATAGTCATTCCTCTTTCTTCTTTGTTACTAATATAATGCATGGGGTGTGACGTGCTTTCGACCTTACTTATACGAGAATGCTATAAGATATATGCGTGTATTCTGGTATATGGTGCGATAGAATGTAACTTGACAAGTATATACAAAGTATATTTATTAAATGATCACGGTATTACCAAATTCGAATCTAAGTCATATTTTTTTATTATTGGTACGACTTTTTCTTAGTAACGCAATCGATCCTTGCGAAGTCAAATTACATATGAGTGATATTGTAATACCGTGTGCATTATAGTATTTAAGTATCAAACAGACTTTGTGCCTCCGTCTTCTGCGAGTGGTACCTATGTAGTACGGCATTTAATAAAAAAATTCAAACTGAAAGTTTGACGATTAAAGTGTGCACGTATGGAGAACCTCATCTATTCATGTGGGTACCCATGCATTACAATAGCATGTAGAATCGTGTACGAAATGAATTCTCCCGAATACAATACATGAATGTCAGTCTTAACTAAAATGATTGCCATTGTTCGTCTTGTGTAGTACTCGTATTCATATCTTCAGTGACGATACTTGGTATTATTCAGCATGCAATCCGAACTGAAATCCCTGAATTCTCAAATACACTTATCGGGGAACAGGCTTTTGACTAATTAAGTCCTTCAGGCATCCATCGGGAAAATATTGGTGCAAAATAAAGTTGCGAATAAATTATGTCGAACGATTAATCGCTCGAATTAATTAACGCACCTTACGTTTAAACTGCGTAAATCCATGTAAATCTATATTAATTTCTTAAATAAATTGTTTTTTTGTTTGTATTAAGTAAAATGTACTTATCGTTACAATACGATATACACGCCGGCCCATGAAGAAATATAAATCATACTCTTAATTAGCTTAAGAAAATAATTTATGCCTCTTTCTACAAAGACCGTATATGTATAAATACAAAAACATGAAAATCTTGATGCTAAACGCCGAATGTACACATAATAAATACAGGAATAATGTAATTTAGATGTAACACGTTACGTGTATGTGTATGCGTGTGTGTGTGTATGTCTGTGTCTGTCTTCGTTATTTCTTTAAATCTTAGCATCTCTTTTTCTAATGAAATTCAGCTAAAAATCGTAATTTACGAAAAATAATGCAGCGCACACGATCTTATTAAAAGGTAGTGTTAATCTGCGCCATTACGAGTTCTTAATTGAGCCACTGTTTGTCAACCACTTACTATTCAAGCTGCAATGTAAATTATTTTGGTAATACATATATCTAGGAATTAATAATTTGTACTAATATTTTAAAAATTTATTACTTATTACAAACCTGTGAATCCCTGTGGTGGTTGACCTGGTACTGAGTATTGTGGTCTAAAATTCCCGAAATTAGCAGCACCAGCAAATGTAGCTGGTAATTGTCCTCCTGAAAAGCCTGCAGGAAATTGTTGTGCTAACAACGCTGCCTGGCCTGACTGGGAACTACTTCCGCCTGGGGCAGTAGCTGCCAATCGACTCAATATCGACCTCTCTGACATTTGAAGTCTTTGAGCAACAGGTGGAATACGTGCTAAAGTGGCTGGTAAACGGCTTACGTCAGATTTCATATCAGACAATAGCTCTTCCAATTGATTTAGTACCTGTGATAGAACAATATAGAAAAAAATATAATCATTAAGTATACATTGAAAAAAGAAAATTATTTTTTATCTCTGAAGATATTACTTTGTGCAACACAGCGTTCGCTGGTTTATTTCCTGCAAGACTTTCTTTACTAAGATGTTGATGTGATTCTGCAAGGCACTCGACTTCGGCAAATCTTGCATTCAAGCTCATCGCAGGGTGATTAGGATCCTGCGTTAAATTCAGGTACGCGGCTCTTCTCAATTGTTCTTCTATCACCAATGCTTGTTCCAACAGTTTGAAGCGTCGAGCTAGGAATTTATTCTTTATTTCTAAAAAGTTACCTTTTCCTACATCCATTTTAAATGGTTCATTTATTATCGCGAACCTGTAAAATAATGTTGAAATTACATACATTTCTATTAAGCATGTATGATTTTTTTTGTTACCATCGGGTTCTATTACCTGATATCGTTTTGAATGTCTTGCCAGCGACCATAACCATGTGTAACAATACCAGCCAGCAGCCAATAGTCGTGTCTTCGATGCCAAATTTCGTATTCACGACCAGGTACCGCGGCTTTTTCTTCATTTAACCACAATGTGTGTAACTCTGTGAAACCGCCATCAGCTATGTTGAACATGAACTTGCGCTTAGGCTTGATAGTCTCCGAATCACAGTCCTTTACATCTTTATCTTTATTATCTTTTTCCTATAATGTAAAATCAGAAGTCTTGACAATTATAATAAATAAAGTCTACCGATTTATTGTCAACTCAACAAATACCTCCCGCTTTTCACTTTCTTCCTCATCATCTTTAACAATAACTACATCTTCCTCAGGATCTTGTTTCGCTTTGTTTTCAGTGCTTTCTACTTTTTCATCATGTTTCGTTAATGATTTTTCATCTTTAATGTCAATTTTATCTTTTTCCTTATCAGTTACTTCTGTTTCTGTGTCCTTCTCTTCTTTTTTTACATCCTCTTTATCTTTATCTTTATCCATATTATTTTCCTCCTCTTCTTTGGAATCCTTGGATTCCTCTTTCACGTCCTTTGCATCGGCACTCTGGAAAATAATTTTTTTTCATTACAAGTTTATTTAGAGTTTATATTTATCTCTTATAATCAAATACACTAACATCTTTATCCTTTTGTTCTAGTCGCAGCAGGGCTCGGGCTAGGTGCGTTAGAAGTAGCTGGTGTTGCACTAGTACTGCTAGTTCCAGTTACACCATCTACACCACCGTCTATTTTCACAGGTTCTACTGGTTTTCGAATCATTTCAGGCATCGAGTAATAACCGTTTATATGTTCGAATTCTTGTACCTATTAAATACAATAATGAAAAATATATTAAAAAGAAAGTAAAAATTAGGAGGGAGAAAAAAATAAGTAAATCAAAAAACTTTACTTTTTTTCTTATCAAAGACATTACACCAATTCTTGTTAAAACGTGCTGTCTACTGAGGCCTTCTCTCGGAACACCATCCGCAAATGTTTCAGCGTTGTCCGCGCCAGGTTCGCAAAGGTGTCGCATGAAGAGAGAAACGTATGCCTTAAAGTTCTTTTCTGACTTGCCCCTCAGGTCTCGCACCAACCTGAAATGCGATAATATACTTTAACAGTACTTTAAATTTACTGACTGCGGGATGCATTTCGAGCGAGTAACTAACCACTGAGAGTTGAACGCATCTTGTGGTGGCATACCATAACGCATAATCGCATTCAGGAATGCTTTTCTTTGCCTAGCATTGAAACCTAGTACCTGAATTAAAAGAATTATTGTAGTATCCATTGTTCACTCATTTTTAAACATAACAAATTATTTATAAAATTATACAAACGTACTTCAATATTTCCATTAACTCTGGCAAGCAGTGGTGGAAGAGGTCGATCCTTTTCGTCTCTCCTTTCTAACCTTCGTCTGCTTCTGCGAGACAATAAATCACCATCGCCCTTTTCGTCAAAGTCATCATCTTCTTTGTCGTCGTCACTAGGTGCACTGAAATCGCTGTTATAATCAGAGAGATTCTCTTGCCAAGGTTGATCGTCTCTTGTACTTTGATCTCCAGTTACTACACCATCGTTATAGTTTACTTGCTTACGTATTCGCTTTCCTAAAAACAATTATTACTTTCTCATTACATGTTGCATGTAATAGTTGCACGCATGAGTTCACATACACACATACATACATGTATATATCAAAGGAACAAATTATATTTACCTTTTCCAAGTGTTCTGGCAAGATCTTCTTGCTGTTGTTCGTAATGATGTCTCAATAATTTGATCCAATAAGCCGGATCTGTATTCTCGGCTTCTTGTTTGATGATTTCCGTGTCCGCTTCTTCTTCTGTTTCACCTTCTTTCGTTACGTACGACGCTACTTTAAAAGAACTTAAATACTCATTAGCCCAATTTTCTTTTTGCTCGATACCTTCCTTGCTTCTGTCTAATAATTCAGCTACAGCTTTGTCATCATAATGAATGGCTTCATCCTCTTTACCTTCTTCTTCTTTAAACAATTCCTCAGTACCTAACACAAATAAAAATTATGTAGATTTTCTATAGTTTTAAATTCAATTTTATGAAATTTATTTTAACACTAGAAATCTTACCGAATCGCAAGATATCGTCAAGTTCCTGTTTGCTGAAATTAGCGCCCTTTCCTCCCATGCCAGGTCTCACAACTAAATGTGTTAGCATCATTTTACGTTTCGCCACTTGTGTGACACGTTCCTCTACAGAATTTCGGGTTACGAATCTATAAATCATAACTTTATTTGCTTGACCAATTCTATGAGCTCTACTGAATGCTTGAATATCGTTGTGAGGATTCCAATCGGAATCATAGATGATTACAGTGTCGGCGGTTGCCAAGTTTATACCTAAGCCACCAGCGCGAGTAGAAAGTAGAAAAACAAACTGCTGAGCACCTGATTGAAAATTAATTTGTTAATTTTACTTTGATAATATATAGAAAATAGAATAAAATTATTTATATACCAGGTGCATTAAACCTGTCGATAGCTTCCTGTCGCTGAGCGCCAGTAATGTTACCATCTATCCTTTCATACTTGTAACCCTCTCCTTCTAAATAATCTTCGAGAATATCTAACATTTTCGTCATCTGAGAAAAGATCAACACTCTATGTCCATCGTCTCTTAGTTTCTTTAACATTTTGCTCAATAGAACTAATTTTCCTGCTGCTTTGATTAGTGCAGATGTTTCATAAGTTCCGTTTGGTGCAGTTGGTGCTTCTTGAGACGCGGCTGGGAATAAATAAGGATGGTTGCAGCATTTTTTAAGATCCATCATGATATTCAAAAGTGATACTTGTTGACCTCCTCCTTTAGGATTTAGAGCCTCAAAGTTTCTCGTTAATATATATTTATAATATTTTTTTTGCATAGGCGATAATTCAACACGAACAATGAATTCAGATTTGCTGGGCATATTCTATGAATAAAAATAATATTTTGAGTAACTTACATATTGAACCTGTACAAAATATATGTTGCAAATACCTTTAATACATCAGCCTTTAATCTCCTCAACATATGTGGCCCAAGTAACTCATGCAATTTCTTCACCTGTTCTTCTTTCGAAATATCAGCGAATTCATTTTGGAACGCAGCTAAATCATTGAATTTATCACGACACAAGAAATTCAAAAGATGAAACAATTCTTCCAAATTATTTTGCAAAGGAGTTCCGGTTAATAATAATTTATATGCAATATTATAAGACGCTAATAGTCTAAAAAACTTCGACTGGTTAGATTTGAGTCTATGTGCCTCGTCTACTACTAATACAGCCCAATCTATCGAACCTAAACACGCAGAATCAATTGAAATCAGTTCGTAACTTGTAAGGAGAACATTGAATTTAATTTGATTCGATCGAATCTTTGATGCTCGGCCTCCACGAACAGCACCCTCTTCGAAAGACAATTCGTTCTCACGAATTACAATACGACTGTCTTTGTCACCTAAAATCAATATAAATATTATTTAGTAAAGAAAATCAATAAATTCTAATATTGATTAATTAATTGTACTTGTATATACTTACCAACATAAGTAACACAGTAGAAATCAGGTGCCCAGGTTTCAAATTCACGTTCCCAATTAATGATAGTCGAGAGAGGAACAGATACCAGAAATGGACCTTTACAGTGTCCTTCTTTATATAATGAATAGAGAAAGGTGATAGTTTGGATTGTTTTTCCCAATCCCATCTCGTCTGCTAAAATTGTATCTATGCCTTGACCCCATGAATATCTTAACCAATTCAAACCCTATAAAGTCAATGAAATCATAGAAAGCTCGTTGAAATAAATATTGTGATAAAGATAAAAAACGATGAAAATAAATACTTCTAGCTGATAGGGATGTAATTGCATTCCAGTTTGATCTAAATACTCTGGCTGTCGCTCATATTTTTTCTTGAGATCCGTGGTAGGTTTGTCAGGCGGAGGGGTATATCTCTTAGGTGTTCTCTCCTCGTCATCGATAAGTTCCCGTGTTTTCAGTTTTTTGCCTTTACCTGAATATAACATATATGGTCATTTTACGTCTTGTAATTGGAGTTGCAGAAAGAAAAAATAAATTAACCGACTCTTCTCACCCTTCTTGCCCTTGCGTGAGGAACTACCATCACAGCAGTTTGCGGCTCTGAGATCCAAGTAATATTCAATGGCCTGTTTTAACCCAGGAATATCTTCGTGTTCATCTTCCCAAGTTGCTTGATCATATCCTAATTCCCTCCATTTAACGAGGTACGTCGCTCTACCATCTCTTGAAAGTCTGTGATTAATTACTCGATGTACTACAAGCCATTCTGGCCGAACTCCATAACGATAGAATCGTTCCTCTAAATTATATTCGTCCCTATTTGTAGCACCATCCTGTTCTTTCAATCGTTTTACACGAGAATCGCTTTCATCCAATGGTTCTTCCAATTTTGGTGGTTCATCCATGTCATACTTTCGTGAGTAATTTCTGAAAATTACAGAATTTAGAATTATTAAAGAAAATATTAAGTATTATTGTTCGTTTGATAAATAATATACCTGAACATAAGAGGATGGAAAACATCAAGTTGTAATTCTGTGATCCAGTCACAATGCCAATAGGACATGTCTGCCCATTTCACAAAAAATTCACGCATTCTACGCTGCTTAGGAGTAGCTTTACTTGTTGAAGGTTCCTCCGAGGGTGTTTCTGGACATTCTTTCCACCTCCAGGTTAAAATCTTTGAAACTTTGTAATATAAAAAGTTAAGTATAAGTTACTGATATATAATGAGTAATTTTTTTTTAACTTTGCAATACCTTTCCCATGTATAGGAGGACAAGAACATCTAGGACACTTCCAATCACCATCAGGAATTTCCGAGAGCGGTGGATTTAAACAGTGTGTGTGGTACGCACTAGTACAGCTATCGCAGCATAATAATTCACCACCATCTTTACATATTCTACAGAATTCCATGTGTTCATCGTCATCTTCAGCTGCACCTAAAAATTATTCATCACTCTATAAATTACAATTCATTTTGTTAGTCTAATATGTACCAACATATTGGGGAGGATGAAAGGTTCAGGATTACAAGGAAGGTACCTGTAATACCTTCTCCTTCACAGTGGGGACAACTCCATTTTCCTTCTGGGGTTTCTTCTAATTCAGGCTCTAAACACACCAAGTGATAAGCTCTAGGGCATGTGTCACATAAAATAATTTCTCCACCTTGTTGACACACCTCACAATAATCTTGATGATCAGTCTGTATATAAAAGTATAAACATTATATAAAAAATTCTATGTTTTCAAAATTCTATATATTGTCACAAGAAAAAAGTCATCATTGATAAAATGAATAAATTATACCTGAAGACCTTCCTCGCCATCTGGAAACTTCGATGTGGTTTTCGTCTTTTTCTTCTTCTTAGTTTTATTTCCGATTTTGGTTTTTGCCTTCCTACGAACAGGTGGCTCTGCTGGTGGTTCGACACCGCTTTCTTCTGTATTTCCTTTATTCGTTCCATCAGCGCCAGTAGGTTCTTCTGCATCTGCTAACATCTGTTCAAATTCCATATCTGAATCTCTATCTGTACCAGCACCACTACCCTCTGCTTCTTCATCTGAGCTTCCTCGTTTGCGTTTCCCAAGCTTGATTTTAAGCGTTGGTACTTTAGAAGCTTTTTTCCCTTTTTTTGCTCTAGATCCTCGCGATTTTCGTTTCCTATCACTATCTTCATCATCATCTTCTTCGTCTTCGCCTTCCTGAACTGCACTACCACGATTTGCTCTTGCATTCCTGAGATACATCTGCATCTGGTTGTGTGTGAGGATTTAATTCAGAAAAATCACGCCACTTGGCAGCTACTAGCATCATAAGTTTAGACATTGGAACCTAAAAATTTACAATCCAAGAAGTAAATAGATTGTTAAAAAAAATATTACTTTGGACTTATTGCTTATAATAAAAACTTTACTTTTGGATTCTCTTTTGCAAGAAGTGGTCTAACATGTTGTTGGAATAATTTATAAGTAGTTAAATTTTGGAAGTCTGCATCAGTGTATTCAATTTGTACATCGGTCAGTCCAAAGGTGTTACAAACTTCCTCTATTGTAGGCATCCCCGTTGTAGGTTCCTGGCTAGAAGGGGCTGGTGCATTGTGACTAGATGATTTCCTAGAGGAAGATTTTCTACTTTTTCTGTTGCCTGCATAGTCACTATCATCTCCAGCTACATCACCAGTTTCACCACCTCCTCCAAAATCACTTTCCTATATATAATATAAACATTTAATCAATTATACTAAATAACCAAATAAATAATGTTGCTTTTTGAAATATGGATAAAAATTCAAAAACATTATTTATTTGATTATTTGATATTAACAAATGAATTATATTCAAGAGAAATAAAGCAGAAATAATTACATCTCCAGAATCAGATTTTTTCTTTTTCTTCTTTTTTTTCCCTTTCTTATCTTCACTACGTGCTTTTCGTTTCTTGCCTTTTCTCTTCTTTCTTTCCTCTGGTTCATAATCATCATCTTCCTCCTATATAGAAAATACATTTTTCAAATAATGCTTAAAATTTAGGTGAAAATAGAAAAAAAATATATATGTATGAAATCTACATGTAAAATACTAACTAATCTTTGAGATTCTTCTGCATCAGATGAACCATCCACTTGCTGAACATTTGAAATTTGCCCCCCAGTTTCATCTATATCATCTTCTCCTAAAATTTCATAAAATTTAAAAAACATTATTTTATAAAATAATAAAAATCTAATTAAATAGTCCAAATACAATTATCAGGAAATATATAGAAATGTAATTAATATGAAATAAATCAGTATAAATTTTCTACAATATTTTTTACATTTTTGTAATATGATAGTTTCATGGTGTGACTAATATAATAAGTAACTTTTTCATTGCTTACTTCTGCTTACATAAAATCAATATTTGTATTCATTACAATGTATAGGTTTAAGAATAGTTAATGTATCCATATACTTCCAACAAAATTAATATTTCATATAAATCAATATTTTATTAACCCCCCCCCCTTCTCATGTGTGTGCGCGCGTACGTATAGTTGGGAGAGCTTTAAAAAATACTTTAATACGATCGTCCTATATATTTTACAAATATACATATATATAAATATTTCATATTTGGATATAATAATTCTTTTCCATCATAGTACTGCAACAATACGATGTAAACAAATTTTACCATCCGTTTTTTTAAAACATCAGAAAATTAAAATCGAAGTTCAAGAAGTAAGTAATCTCCATGTTTTACTCAATGAAAAGAATTTGTTAAAAATATATTTCTTTAAAAGTTGCTGTAATTTTAACATAAAATGCATAAAACGAAGAAAAACAAATATAATTGGAACAATTGTTATTGCAACATATGTTCAATTCGTAATATAGTGGTACATTAATAATTGCCAAATCAATAGTAACGTTTTATAACAAACCGATTTTTTTATTCCTTTGGTACAACTAGAACAAAATCGGTGTAAATATAAGATCTTTGTGCGACAGCAAATATGCGCATATATATAATTGTTATTTGAAAATGAGCAAAGCATTAAGATTAAACAATCGAAATATATAAATTATTTTAGATTAATCCTCGTTTGGTGAATGCTGTGTACAAGAGTATGCGTCCGCCATTTTCTTTGAAAGGGCTCACCACACTGGATGTCTATATTTTATATTCATAATATTGCCGCAGATTCTAGACTCATTCATTTCCTGACCATGTTAAAAAACCGTAAAAGAATTCATGATTATGATATATGGCACAAATTTTTAAGTCCCAGAACACGATCTCCTCGAGAAGCTTGCACCGGTCGCTTATATATTGTGATTAATGGTGTGCGTCTGTATAATATATACACACACAAGCGTACCAGATGGTGAGAAAACCGAAGCACGCATTGCGAAATTACTTAAAGATTCTGCTATAAATTAGAATTGTCGGTGTGGGTCGATTTTCTTTTTCTTGGTTTTTCTAAAGTGGAGAAAAAAAGAATGAATTGTAAATAAGAAATTCAACGAAGTAAATTCCAAACAAAAATCTTCAAGACCATCAAAATGTACATGATGAATGAAGTTATCTTACTATTCTGCGATTAAGCGGTTAAAGTAGATTAAGATGGTACTAGAATTTCTTTATACCAGAAAACAACGCTAACTTTTCGATTTTTTAATTGAAAGTGATGAATGTAATAAATTGAAATACAGTGAACATACGGGATTAATTGTACAATGCAAAATTTATCGAACAGTCATTAAGCATTAATTACATAAGAATCACAGCAGGAAATAATACCAAGTACTCGATATTCGATGTACATAGGACAAAATTTCAGTCAATGGTTAGAATGTCCAAACTGATGAATTAAATCATAATTTTAAGATTTTAAATGTAATTTTTACAAAGTTTTAATCAAATTATAGTAATAATTTGATACTGGTTACTTTGTAACTACAAGAATGGTTTAAATAAAGAAAAGAAAAAAAAATCATGTGATTTCTATGTAACTATTGAATGTAAACAATAACCTATACCAGAATGATTAATTCATTGCATTTATGCGATGATCAAATACATTGTGATTACCAACGATGTATTAACCTGTTAAATAGATTATCATCAAATGCTTGTGGAATTGTTTGACAATTCGAAGGTTAGTTCTTCCTTCATTGAGAGAATGATGATTAGATTGGAACTTTGATAAATTTTCCTTAGACGATTAACCTGCCATCGAATCAAATAAAAACATACGAGAAATCGTAACGAAATATGTGACAGAATAACAATGTATGGAAAACTACAGAAGGATCAATTGATATGGCAGCCATCGTACGAAAAGCGCGCGTCCTGCGTGCTCGAGGATACAACTTTCCGGTAGTATTTGTGATCAAGTGTGTCCCTCCTGGCACTTACCCGCGTAGCTCTCGTCCACCTCTTCGTCGGATGCCATTCTCTAATACCGCAACAAACTACACACTCGAGAAAACTCGAGATGGATCTAATCACACACTGGCTAAGATGCTCACTGTAGAAAAACAGCACGGAAATGCGACATTAAACGTTCGTGTCTCGACGCTCTCCGCGTTTCAGTTTCGGCGTGCCGTCACTTCGTCTCGTACGTGCACCGATGTGCACCTACTGCTGTAAGCTTCTTCTTTCACGCGATTCGTCAGTTCTCTTCGTTCCTCCCCACTACACGCCGATTTTCTCTCCCCTCGCTTACCCCTCTTCGTTATGAGAGAGTTTGCTTCTTCCCCTCTTTCATTTCCCTCGTCCCTCGTTTACCCTGCTATAGTGTGCTGTAGTTGAATGTATACGAATGGTCTGCCGAGCCTACCGTGTTGCATTTATTTCTTTTTCTTTGCCCCTCCTTTTCCCTTCATCCATCGTCCCTCTCCTGTCCCCTTGCAGATTCGCAGAATATGCTCTTTAGTTTTTGGAAAAAGGTTCCTTTTTCAATAGCAATGCATTTCCGTATACCCGTGTGTTAGTCGCTTACTACGCCGGTCTCTTTTTCTGGTTTCTTTCTTTTTTATTTCTATTTTTGCTTTTGTCTTTTCATGCGTTTTCTTATTTATTATTTTGAACCATTTTTATTTCGATATTTTTGAATTTAAACGATTTATTATCTATCTCCGTAATGAAATATATCCTTTTTGAAAACTATTTTTGTTTGTATAATTATTCTTAACAAAAATAATATATCATAAACTATTTATTATTTCTCAAACAGAGAATTCCACCATTTTAGTTTAATGTAGATTATAGAGTTGCAAGCTGTAATAGTATGTGTGTATAGATTTGTAGTATGATTAGTGATACAACAGTTGCATATTCGTACACGTCTGTCATGTGTGTTCGCATATCGATCTTTTTGATGGAGACAAGTAACCGAACACAATCGATGTATTATATTTTTGCACGAAAGAGATACTTGTTTTTAATTTGAAATATATTTATATCGTAATACGCATGTACTGTCGATTTTGTACGATTAAACTACTTGTTAACATCATGAGAAAATCTGAATTAAGAAATTGATTATTATCACTTGCCATCATAATGCATTCAAGAATAAAGCAAATCCATAATATATAAGAATTGATACTAACACATACATGTATAATTCTTTATCTAAATTCATTAATTCTCTTACTTCCGCTGTAAAAAATATAATTTGACGAATACATTTAATTAATTTGTTCTCAGAGTACTCTGCATGAAATGAATTACATATATGTAAGTTAATTTTAATGAGAAATATACATTTCATTAATATTTTGTTTAAGTATCATTGATAAGAGTTAAAATATTCTAATAATTCTCCTTGATAAAGCTATGTTTCATAATTTAACGAAATTTAAAATTAATAGAGGAAATTCTACAAAGAAAAAGTGCAGATGTGAGGCGACCTAGAAATAGTTCGTGTCTACACACTAAAATACAGCAAACCTCTATAAGACAATAGCTTTAGTGTCGGACAGGTATAATTCTGTTTCGTAGTTATAGGAATTATTAAAGAATTTATTCTTAAAATTATTTTGCTTTACAGCTATTAATGACTGCCGTTTCCAGATCGCATATTGCGATAATTCCCTATATAATAATACGTTGTATTAGTTTACACCGCTTTATTTATGTACTAGAAATACGAATTATGTGTACCGACAGAGCACACATTACATGTCCTGTACAGATACGTGTCATCGTATAACGTGAATGAAAATTTTATTTATACGTTTCGTACGTAACAATCTATTTACAGATGATGAAATACATACATATCATGAAGGCCTTTGTATACAAAAGAAAATATGTTAGAAGAAGAAATTTGTAATACTATTACGTACAATAAATTCATCTTTGCTCCTAAGAATTATTATATCTGTAATACTAATTTTAGAAAACAAACATGCTTTATATATATCATTTAAGGAATTACAATTTATAAAAAGATATAATAATTCATCTTCAGGAATGGCTAGAAGCAATGCAATACTGTATGGAATGAATTAGGACCTTTGTATTTTAACAATGATTAACAATCATTAAATCATGTTATAAAGTTATTGTACATACTTGGAATAATTCAAGTATCTGAGTTTGTTGAAACTGCTCTTTCAGTAAATTAAATATGCTTAAACTTTTGATTTAATGTAGTTCAATTAATCATGAACAAAACTTTGTACTATATTCATCTCTTTTTATATATTAATGAAATCTAATTTCTTGTCGAAAATATTTCAATCTGGTATATATATGGTACAACTTTATGCATAACTAAACATATATCTGTTTGTGATGAATAAAGAAATAGGTAGTTACCAAAATTTTTTGTTTTAACAAAATACAATTACTTGCAAGACTTCTGATGAATGTCATCTATGCAGTTGTTCATACAAATCGAAATAGATTTGCAAAGATAAAAAGTTATATGCAATGCTATTGTATAATCATATATTAAGATATGAGCATTAGTTTGCTCAACCATAATCAACACTTAGAGCACTAAGCCCTTTCTTCTTTATAGCTTCTGCCACAGCTCTTTCTAAAAAGTTCTCCTGTTCATCATTCTCATCTATTTTATCCAGATCCCAATCAAGTCTGTTATATTCCTCAGTGCTTTTTGAATCATTCAGTCTCAATGAATTTGTAGATGTAGTAGCTATAGACTTCTCAATATTTCCACCACCTTGTATGCGATTAGAAGGACAAGAACAATGTACATCTGTATATTCATTATTAGTCCAATAGCCTGGAGCTTTGTCACTGTAAAAAGCACTGGATTGAGAAACAAGTCTTGCAGATTGAACTAAACCATGATTACGAATTGCCATCGTAACTGCAGTATCTTCCATATCATTTCCTTTAAACAATTGAAATCTAGATTCTTCCAGAGAGTAAGAAGACGATGTTCCCATAAAGTAATTTTCCAATACTTTGTTAATGGTATTATCCACATACCCTTTGGTCACCTGATAATCTTGCCATCTTTCCAATTTTTCCCTTGCTTGTCTTTCTGTATCATCATATTCAATGTTTTCTGTTTCTTGTATTATCTCCTCTTTCCCATTTGAATTCTTTTCCTACAAAGTAAATGTTTAAATAGACTGTACAATTAAAAAATTAAAGGACTATGATTTATTAATTTTATCTTTACAGAAATGAAACACAAGATTAATGTACCTATTGGGATTTAAATGATTTTTTAATATTATATGTCATAATTACCATATCCCAAATTGTCTCGTTAACTTTAACTCGTGTACATTGCCGTTTCGGAGGAGCTGGCCTTTCGTGATCATCGGTGTCTGATTCTTCGATGTCGGTCGCCATCTTCTCTATTTTATACAAAACTGTATTGTTTCCTCTTTAAACAATTTAAATCACGCAAATAAATCCAACGACGATTCTACTACACAATCATCAGAGAAAGACTTTGGATAACGTTGCAAAAATTCACACCACTTGCATTAACTTTCTTTGACATTTTTCTTTCGCAGTAGTGATAAATCTTTATTGTTCATTTGATTGACTTTAAACCATTTTGACATTTGTGATTATATGCACTTTTTACGATGTGAGTAGTCCACAATATAAAAATTTAATAATAATCCCAAGCAAATGTCAAAACTCAAAGAAACAAATATTACATACAATCAGACAAGAATCGTTTTGACAGCTTCAAAATGGCTACTTTGCCATTAGATTTAATATAAAACATTAAATTGAATTCCGAAGAAATTTTATAGATTACTAATATGGAACTGAGATTTTGAAAATGTAGTAAATAAAATCATGCATAAACCGAACGTGACGGGAACTTACTTAAATTTAAATTAAGCTACCTGGACGATGTCTTGACTACAGCACTACATTCTAAAATGGCGTAAACATGTGTTTGTAGTGTTCAAAGGAATTCTGACGTCTGGTTCTGTCAAGCATATCGTTTTATAAATCATTCGAAGTAAATTCGTTTTGACATTTTCGTTAAACACGTTAATTGGCATGGCAGTCTGTGGTGAATATATTCGTAGTCAATTTCCCACGATAGATGATGATCTGTATCAATATGTGGAAGGTATATTCTGGAGATTAACCTATAAGTTATGAAATTTTTGTTATTTAATTCGTAAACGATACAAACTTTTAACTAATATAAATATTCGTTTCCATAAAGGTATATTAGACAGTTCTAAGGATGACTTTGAGGACGGTGACGAGGTTTACGAAGCAATAGGAGAGGTATTACACGAAGTTGCAGAAAAACCAGAGAATGAGGTTAGGTCTGTAAACGTGTTCGCACTTGTCATTTTTATATCGTCAGTTATGTTCTATCAATATTGTTAAATTTATTTTATTTCTGATTATATAATTTGAAGTTCTAATTTCAATTTACAGTTCTTTCTGATATTCATTTTTTCACCATATTATATAACTTTTTGCCTAGATTTACAATTTAGAATTCTTCATTTGTAGGCAAATATGTGTAAAACTATTAGAAATGCTAAAGGGCAATTCAAATGATGGAAATGTTGAAAGGAGAAAAAATGGAGTGAACAAAGTATTGAATGCACCAGTACATTTGGGGACTATGGCTGCTACTCTAGAGGCTCAAGTAGAACAAATAAAGAGTATATGGGTTACTACAAGAGATGATGCCATGGTAACAATTTATTCTGTGGATATTTAATAATTAGATATTATTTCGATTAAAAAATGTCCCTCAACAGAAGGTAGATGCCAAGAAGTTAGAAAAGGCAGAAGCAAAATTACAACAGAAACAAGAAAAAAGAAGTAACAATGAATTAAGTGGACGAATTAACACCATTAGTCAAGGCATAGAATCTGCCAGTGCAAGTCAGATGACAAGTAAAAAGGACAGTAGAATGGAAACTAAGAGTGGTGTAAATAAGACTCAAGACATTAGGATAGAAAACTTTGATATAGCATATGGAGATAGAATATTATTGCAAGGAGCTGACTTAACACTTGCATTTGGTAGACGATATGGCCTTATTGGTAGAAATGGGCTCGGTAAAACTACCTTATTAAGGATGATATCTAGGTACTAAAGTATCCCATAATAATTATTCAAATTCCATATACCTTATTTATCTTCTATTTAGTTCATTTCATTCTAATCATTTCAGTAAACAATTGAGAATACCATCTCATATAAGAGTTTTACATGTAGAACAAGAAGTTGCTGGAGATGATACTTCTGCCTTGGAATCTGTATTGGAATGTGACCAAGAGAGAAGTATGTTACTTAGCAAGGAAGCAGAATTGCAAGCAGTAATTGAAAAGGAAGGTGGTAAAACAGGAGATGCATTAGGCGAAGAATTAGCTAGAATATATGAAGCAATGCAATTAGCTGAAGTAGATAAAGCACCTGCTAGAGCCAGTGCAATTTTGTCAGGACTTGGATTTTCTGTTGAAAGACAATTGTGGCCCACTAAAGCTTTTTCTGGTGGTTGGAGAATGAGATTAGCGCTTGCAAGAGCACTATTTTCTAGACCTGATCTTCTGTTACTTGACGAACCTACGAATATGCTTGATATTAAAGCTATATTATGGCTAGAGAAATATTTACAGTCATGGCCAACTACTTTGCTCGTGGTATCTCACGACAGAAATTTCTTGGATACGGTACAGACTGCTTTACATCATTGAATCATTTTTTTACGTTATACAATCGAAAAATTTGTTATGTTTGACAATAGGTTCCCACGGACATACTATATTTACGTGGACAGAAAATTGAGGCATATCGAGGTAATTATGAACAATTTGCAAAAACTAAAGGAGAACGTGAAAGAAATCAGCAGAGGGAATATGAAGCTCAACAGGCTAAGAGAGCACATGTACAAGAATTCATTGATCGATTTCGATATAACGCTAATCGCGCTTCAAGTGTACAGAGTAAAATCAAGATGTTAGAAAAACTGTAAGTTCAACAAATCTAATGAAAATAACTGACAAATTTTTATGAGATATTATTACATGAAGTTTTATTATTTTCTACAGACCAGAGCTTAAACCAATGGAGAAAGAAGGAGAAGTAACTCTTCGTTTCCCAGATGTTACACCATTAAGTCCTCCAATATTACAACTTAACGAAGTCTCTTTTAGTTATACTAAAGAAAGCGATAATTTATGTATATTCAGTGCCGTTAATTTAACTGCTAGCTTACAATCTCGCATTTGTATCGTGGGAGAGAATGGTGCCGGTAAAACAACACTTTTAAAGATCATAACAGGTGCACTAAATCCAACACGAGGCACAGTGCATGTTCATAGAAATTTGAAATTTGGATATTTTAGTCAACATCATGTAGATCAATTAGATATGCGCGTATGTCCAGTTGAACTATTGCAAAATCATTTCCCAGGTACTAGTTAATTTATAATTTATACATAAACAATATTAGTAATGACTTTTATAAGTCGATTCTCCATTTGATTTTTTCAGGAAAACCAGTTGAAGAGTATAGAAGAATGCTCGGAAGCTTTGGAATAAGTGGTAACTTAGCACTACAGACGATCAGTTCTTTATCTGGTGGGCAAAAATCTAGAGTAGCATTTGCCTTAATGTGTGCTGCCATGCCAAACTTTTTAGTACTTGATGAACCTACAAATCATTTGGATATTGAATCTATTGAAGCTTTAGGTAAAGCACTAAATACTTGTCAGGTAAATAGTTTTCTTCAATTTATTTATATTTCATTTTAATTTGTTATGATAATTCTTATTTAAATCATTTTTCAGGCAGGTGTTATATTAGTTTCACACGATGAAAGATTAATTCGCATGGTATGCACTGAACTTTGGGTATGCGCAGAAGGTTCTGTTCGATGCATCGAGGGAGGTTTTGATGAGTATCGTAGGATTATTGAAAAGGAACTTGAAATATAAAGATCACTCTAATTTAATTATCAGTTTCTGCATTGTCCCGAGTTAAGTTACCGATGTGAAAATTTCAATTAATTCAATTAGATGCAAGAAAATAACAAATATTTTTTCTTATACTGGGACAATGGACGTTTATGATTTATTATTTATCGACACTGTCGCGAAGATTATATTGTCTTTTTAAATAAAACCGTGAGCATTAAAAATCATTGTTTATATATATTGTATCTATTTCATTATTAACATGAAACTTGCAAAATAGACTGAGTCTTCGATTTACAATAATATAGAATTAGGAAAGTTTCACATCGTTTAACTGCCAGCTACAATAAACTATATCTAAAAAAAATTCTGATATTTAATATTGTACATTAGTTAATAATAAAAAGTCGTTGTTATAAATAAAAGTATATAAGATTTGTTCTTATTATAAAACCATTCAGAATATTACACTGATGAACATATATGATCAATTATTTATACATATAATTGCAAATTTTTTTTTAAATTTACTGTGTTTTAATAATAACACAATATGATATACCACAGTTTATAAAAAGAAATAATGTATAGAACTATGATATCATAAACATTAAAATCAACATTTTATTATTAATAAACATAAAATGTTCATAATAAAATGAAATGTCTATAATACTTCATAATACACGAAATGTTCATAGTACTTTGTTATATATGATGGTTCTAATACTTTTATTTTACTTCTTTTTTCATTTATCTAAATTTTCCATTTCGTTGTAATAATGCTTCAAAAATTATTAAGACTAATCGTACAATATAATAAATATAACAAATTACTTGGAAACGTTTTATGTGCCAAAGAAGTTGTACTGTATTGTCACAGTTAACCTCCAGATGATGTATTTAATGGTACCATTGTATTGGATATAGAAGACATTTGCATGGGTGGTGCAGGAGCTTGCTGTTTTGCCGCTGGAATTTTCAAATATTTCTATTACTTTCCTCTTGACGAATCTTAACTTCGCTCGATAATCAGACCTTAACATACAGTTGTAATTTCAAGATGTGCATCACGCATACAAGCAATTAGCATTAGTGCAGAACAATAATTTAATTATTTCAAATATTTAGACAAGCACCTAGTATTAGTCATGATTTAGGGTTTATGAATCATTCTTAATTTCTTGATATATCATAATATATAATATATAGTAAGTAAATAGAATAGTTAAATTAGAATATAATTTATTTTTCATACTTAATTTTACTTTATGCCTAATAAGTGATTAGAATAGTTAAATTAGAATATAGTTTATTTTTCATTCTTAATTTTACTTTATGCCATATAAATGTACAAGCAAGAAAATAAATTTTCTATTCATGCACAGAAACAAAACAAACTAATTCATCTGTTAAATAAGAATTCAATATGGTGATTCATTGTCATTAGTAAATTATGTGAAAAGCGATGAATATTTTTAAACATGCAAATATATAATAAATGTTTCCAAGATTGAACAAAATTTTACAGGAACAACTCAGCAGTATATTGTCTAATAATATAATTTAAGGAAAAGGATAAATGACTTTCAAGCATGTCATTCTCACCATTTCTGCTGCTGTAGATTTTCGTGAATCCCTTGAATGGCTCCGGTGGCGGAAAATTCACAATAGAATGAAACATGTCCGCAAATCGAACCTCTAAATCTAAAGTACTCATCATCTGTCCATTGCGCATGGAAGAACTCCTTGTAGGAGGTGTTGGCGGTGGTGGCGGTGGTGGAGCTAGTCTCTGATGAGTAGGAGCTGGACGATGTGGAAGAGGTGGAGGTGGAGGTGGTATACCTGGTGCGCTGACAGTCACTCTAGAAGGTGGTGGTGGTGCCACTCTAGTCGCCGTAGTGGTTACACTGTTTGTTCTAGAAGTAGGTGGGGAGGGAGGTTTCGCGTTTGGATGTCTAAGAATTCGATTTGTAGGCCTTGGCTGGGTTTCATTTAGGCAATCCTGAGACTGATGAAGAGATGCTGAAGTTGGGGCAAGTACAGAGGGTGATTTGGGCAATCGCATACTTTGTGCCCTTGACACACTTCCTCCAGTAGTTAAGTTTAATTTCTTAGGAGGTGGTGATGGTTTGTGCAACACAGATGATGATGAAGAAGGTGGTTTAGGTGCAAGGATAGGCTTTCCAAATCCCTTAGATGTTTCTGCACTGGAATTAGCAGAATCTGTGATACTTTGTCCTGACATTGAGTTGGTCTTCTAAAATAATGCATAAAATCTTAATCTTACATTTTTAAGGTAATTGTCAATATATTTTTACCTGAGTAAATATTTGTGGTTTTTGAGTAGCTGGTGGTGGGACTGGAGGTGGACCTCTTTTTATGCTAGAAACAGTTGATTGACCAAGGTTTGTATTATTTACATTACTAGTATTCTTTTCACCTGAAGAGGTCCTGAGTCTTGTAGGCTTCAATTTAGGCATACCACTAGAAAATAATCCACCTAATCCTATGGGTCCTCCATTACTTGCATTAATACCACTGTTCGCTATATTAGAACTATTTTCCTTAGTATTTAAGGAAGAAGAGTTTCCTGGTTCAGTTCTTACTTTACCTAAAATAATAATAATAATAATAATAATTTCTAATAGATGTATCATTTATATGGAAATATATATCCTATACAACATACCACTAATTACAGGTGCACTTTTATCTATAGTCACAGTTTTTTTCAAAGTCTTCCCAGCTCGAATTGATTGAAGAAGTAAACTCCTATCTTGATCTCCTACACCAGCTCCAGATGTATTAAAAAGAGGAGGTGGAGGAGGAGGTGGTGCAGGCATTCTTGTTCAGTTTTTATAAAAGTATTTGTCACCCCTGTTAAAATTGCATTATAAAAATAATATTATTAATTTAAGTAAATTTAAGTTGATTCGTACGCTCGAATTAAACCATTAATGAACCATTAAAAACATACAATGGCTGAAGTACATTTTATAAGATAAGATTATACCTCCTACAGAGAAAATACTACAATTAGGTTAGCGCAAAAATAATTTTAACATTTTTTTGGTATTCTATATTCATATTTAATCATTTCTATGCTTTAAGGGTATATATTAAATGTCTAATTTAATAAATTATAAGCTATATACCTAAAATTGACAAAAATATTTTGTGTCCAAAGCGGGACGGTCTTTGAAACTACCGCACTTTGTGTCCGTTTTTGAGTCACTATGAAGGAACAGAATCCACAACATTCCAAAATTTTCCAGAGCCGAATGATTTAGATATACTGGTGTTTTTTACGAGTACAAGTCAAGATCGACTCGTCACACATACGGGTGATCAAATTAATGCACATCCCGATAAGAGTTGACCGTTTGTTTATAGTATTGACGAGTCATATTCGATCGAACATGCATACGTCGAATACACCTGAATACATCACCTGGGAGCTCTTAAAGTCATGGCAGTGAAACGAGAACAGTATCTTTCGGTTGTAACTCTTTTACCATTGGCTGTAGGAAAAAAATCTACATCCTCGCTTTCCGCTAGAGAAACACACATCCGTTTTTAAACATTCCAATCGTAATTGTATCCTTATTCATTCATGTAGTTTAGAAGTTAAATTCCAGTTTTAACAATAGAAATTTATTAATTTTTTTTTAATTTATTAAAATAAAAGGTCGGAGTGAAAAATGATTTTATTTCTAAAAAAATTAAGGATAAAATATATCATAAGAAACTTAGTTTCTTTTCTAAAAAAACATTTTATATTACATTAAAAATGTAAAAGTACGAATGACAAAATATATGTCAATTCGAAAAATATCGGTTGTAAAAGGTATTGCTAATATATAATAGTATATAAATATAGGTAACAAACATTTTTCTTGTAGAAAAATTTTCGTCGCTGAACAAATAAATATGAACGTTTAAACATCTTACCTTTGATTTTTTTATTTTGAATACTTTATCTAAATATTATGCCTGAAAAATATTGCAATTGAATGCAACGTTATTGTTCCTACATGCTATAAAAATTTTGCTATAAGGTGAAAAACTGAACATGTCTATAAGTCATAATATCAAAAACCGTTTATAAGTGTAAAATTCATTTTGTGCAAAAGATCTTTCTTTTTACAATTAATATACAATTATTATACATATTTACAGAATTCATTTATCAATACAAAAATAGATTATACACTATATCGAATTATGATAATCCCTGTAAAAAGTTTTCTCTCTTTTCATTTTATCGCAGAAAATAATTACAATAATCTTTGAAAACTATCATAAACAATGTAACGCTACTTAGATTTATTAAGATTTCATCGATATCGTTAACGTAACAACCAACGTTTCAGCCAACAGTTTTCTTATTCCTAAACCTTTCAGAGGCAAAGGAACCCACATGGGGAGAACATGAATTCTTTTTATTCATTTGTTACATGATTCGTTGGTTGAGGTTTTATTTCGTCCATTTGTTCGGAAATAACGATATCAGATTGTTCCGTGTCTTTATGTAGAGCGATAATAATTTTCTCTTCCGTGGAAGATTGACTGTCGGAAGAACCTTCCTGAGTTGACGTAGCTGCTTCCTATAATAGAACAAAAACTATAAAAATTTGTAAATGCATAACCTTTCCGTATTTTTTATTTTTATCTTTCCATTTATTTATAAATCACAATTTTAATTGAAGTATAACTCTCCTTACCGTACTGCGAATTTTTGTATGTGTTTTTATATGTTTTGTCAAATGGTCCGATCGCATGAATTTTTTAGTACATTCGGGACATTGGAATCTCTTTTCACCAGTGTGAGTTCTACGATGCCTCTGAAGCTCATCCGACCTAGTAAATTTCTTACCACAAAATGTCCAACTACAAGCAAATGGTCGTTCTCCAGTATGCCACCTCAAATGAGCTCGGAGGTGACTTGTTTTCCCATATACTTTATTGCAACCTGGTATGTGGCAAACATGTTGCCGTTTCCTAGTCATGTCTCTATTTCTATTCAAATAAATTTAAATTTACAAAACTATTATGAATTTAAATAAGCAAGAATTATTTTTAAAATCCTACCTATCACCATCACCACAATTAGGACACGTGCATGCGACCCTTCTACGATGCTGTTTGTTAGAATCGGTTTCGATATTCGCAGATGTTGCAGTGGTTACTTGATGCTGATGCGACGTGGGAGTGGGTGTTGTTAATGTATTGTTTGACTGAAGAGTTTGTAAAATTTGCCATTTTGTCGGATCATTTGAATCTAATTGCACGGTTGGGGCAGCGACAATAGGCGCAGCAGCTGTCGCAGGTAATGTCTGAACAGTGGCGGGTTGTAGAGCGCTCGCAGGTATAACTTGCACATTACCCAGACCTGGAATATTTTGCACAGGTATCGACTGAAGAAAACCATTTGTAGCGTTCATTCCGCCAGCAGGTTGAAGTTGCATTATACTCCCACTACCAACGCTCCTCATCATGTTACCTTGCTGGGCAGTTAAGTTTGCTAACGCAGATGCAGGAATTAAAGTTAGCTGTTGAGCTTGTGTTCCTATGAAATATACATGAAATTAAAGTGTTAAACCTTTTCTGATTGATGCATATAAAAAAAAATTAAAATTAACATATCACTGGTATACATGCCTGCAATTGTTATAGGTTGAACAGCAGACTGCGTTGATTGGGCAGCAGAAATATGTATAACTTGACCACTGGCTAATTGTCTGGCATCAATACTAGTTACTTTTATATCACCTTCAACTGTCTCTGGTGGTCTTGTTAAAGCTGATAACGTTTGTACATCAATTTTCTGCCCATCTTTTGTAGTAATTACGTTACTACCCCCTTGCATTGGTCTTCCAAGTGCACCTATTCCGAGTACCTATAAAAATAAATATTTAATGATACATTCAAAAGATAATTAACTCCTTAATACAGTGTGTCCCTTTTAAAATTTTGCACTCAAGTGCTTCTTAAACTACAGTTCGTTTCAAAAAATGTTTCAAATGAAACTTACTCTGTTTCAAGGGGAACATTTTATAATGGTCATAAAATTTTGCTAGATATATATTTTCTTTTTTTTTATATAAGTGGATAATGTAGTTTAGGATGTATTCATTGACCTAAATACTCTGGTATATAAAGGTCGTTGAAGGTTAAGATTATGGCCATTATAAGATGTGCTGTTTGAAACAGGGAAAGTTTCATTTGAAACACTTTTTGAAACAAACCATAGTTTAAAAAATAATTGAGTGCAAAACTTCAAATGGGCAACCTGTATATCTTCCATGATTTTTTACTTGAACGTTGCTTGGAGTTGTTACTGTCGTACTCCAGGTCGCTACAGTAGACGATGGCGCAGATGATTGTTGCTGTGCTTGTTGAACTTGCTGTTGCTGCTGCTGCTGTTGTATGACTTGTTGTACAACTTGTTGTACTTGTTGTTGCTGCTGTTGCTGTACCTGAGCTTGTGCCGCTTGTTGTTGCTGTTGCTGCTGTACAGACTGTACTACTTGTGGTTGAGCTTGTTGTTGCACTACTTGTTGTTGTGCTTGTTGCTGAGCAACTTGCTGTGCAACTTGAGTTACCTGCTGACTCTAATATTAAGATTATTTTAATAGAAAATACATTGTCATATTATGATAAATCATTTTTTTAAATATTTACTTGCAAACTTTGAAGTTGAGGTAAGTTAGCAATTTGAACCTGCTGAATTTGCCCATTTGGTGTGATTATTTGAGCTACTTGTGGAATTTGCTGCAAAAAAATTATATTTCAAACGATATATACTAATTCTTACGACCGAAAAACTTCTATTTATGTAATCATAGTACTTGCGTGATTTGTGGTATCATTTGTGTGGCAGGCACATTGAAAACACTAGACAGCGCTTGAACAGGAAAATGTACAGTTTGATATACTGTTTGCCCATTACTAGCAGTGACCGGTACTTGCACAGGCACAGTTTGTTGAACATGCTGCATAGGAAACTGGAGTGGCCTAACTTGCACACTTTGTCCTAAATGTGAAGAATATTAAATCAAATGTACTAGCCTTTATAATAGTCACTTAACAATCTCAAAACATGTACCTGTTGGTAATTGTACAGTTTGTCCAGTGATATTTTGTATGATAGAAGGAAAGACATTGGGTGATCTTATTAAACTAACTGGCTGTGGTGTAATAATAGTCTGACCATTAGCCAGCTGTACTTGCTGACTTGCAAGTTGAACTTGTTGTCCATTAGCAGTGGCAAATTGCATTGTGGGTTGGCTTTGATGATGCCCCCCTGCAGCAGACATGGCAGAGGATGGAATGAAAAGTGCTTCTTGACCATCTATGTTAACAGTTTGCATCTGTGGTATAACACTATAACTAAGTTGCTGCTGTGGTTGTTGCTGTTGTTGCGGCTGTTGTTGTGTCTGCTGCTGCTGTGTTTGTTGTTGCTGCTGCTGAAGTGCAGCCTGAGTCTGAGTACTGATCAACTGAGCACCCTAAAATAATCGTTATTCTCAAAAAAGAAACAATTGACTTATTATCGTCTCTATATTAAAAGTGCAACTCATACCTGTAAAAATTGTTGAGGTAAAGATTGAACAGAAATGGTTTGTGCTCTTTGTTGATCATGTTGTGGTTGTTGAGTCTGTAAAGGCACAAAATTTTGCAATTGCTGCAAAGTAATAACTTGTGGCTGCTGTTGTTGTTGTGTTTGTTGTTGAACATCTTGCTGTTGTTGTAACTGTTGCAAAACATTTGCACTTAGGAAACGAATTTGAGGTTGAGCAGTCTGTTGTTCTAGTTGTTGTTGCTGTTCAGCTTCATCCTGTTGCTGTTGCGTTTGTAAGGGATCATGGTCTTCTATCTCCTCCTGTGAAGTAATTTTAATGCTTTTCTCATTTCTGCTAACTCCATTTCTGTACGAATGATGAAACAAAACCTGCCAATCATCTCACCTGTGTGATATTTCGCCCATCCACACTTCGTTTCATGATGAATATATCGGTAATATATCCTTAACGCAAACAACGTCGACGTCAACGCTAAATTTACGTTGAGTACCCTTATGCTAGGAATCCATTCTTTGCTATACCAAACCAGACTGACTATTTAGTCCGCGGTATATGAAATTGCTCGCTTGGAGAGCGTTTAATCTGAAAAGACCATTCCTTAGTTAAGCTATTTAAAATATGAATCTACAATCGACTTAACTACATTGGTAACTACCCTACTACTCAAATACTGCATTTGGATCCGTTTCTCTTTTTTCTTTGTTTCCAATCAACCTACACGCACTTCGCGATTCAAATATCACGATTTAACAAAAATTGAGGATAAACGGTGAACACAAACTGAATTCTCGAGTGACTGACGACCAGGAAACATCAACGACTTAAACGATATCGACACGTGCGAAGACCACTCTCCGAAGACAAAGAAGGCCAGAGAGCACTCCTCGAGAACCCAATCGAGGACCGCCTCTCTACGCCCCTGTTTCTACCGCCCCACCCGCCGTCGCTCGAAATATTGCCCGCCGTGGCAAGGACGCGCATAACCACCAACACAGAAGCACACCGTGTGTCGTCACACCCGCCCACTCGGTCGCTTGTCGGCTGTCCGCTCACTAACACGTTGACGTACCTGCGATAACAGGGAAGGCAGCCTCACGATGCAGCCTCCACCCACTTTGCACATGGGACTCCACCTAACTCGCGAACGGCACGTGGCTCCTCCGTAGAAACGTCCACTCTGTACTCCCGCCACTCGTTTTTTTCTTCAAGAACCGAGCTGGTAACCCTTTTGTGCCTGCTACACTTCCTGTTTCATTTGTTTGGCTTTGTAGTTGTTTCCGAGACAGCCATTATAGAACGTAACGAATAACTAAACTTTAATCGTATGTTTTATGATATTACTAATTTTGAAGAACTTTACGCAATGAAAAGGAACAGATAGACATTGTTTGACAGCAATATTCGTTATTTTAATAGCACGCTTATGTTACACCTACACACCGACATGCATTATACTCAAGCGTCTGTGGTACGCGCGCGCGCACTATTCAGCGAGTGATCGTGGTCGACGATCTATGCTTTGCTTCCTTTTTTCGTCAGTATACCTGTGTTTGGTATTTTCTTTTTCAGGAAGAAGTGTAATTACGCAAAACAAAATTCAATTAAAAATTCACCCTGTAACACTAGTTTAACTAATTCCTGTGATAACACCAAAAAATTGACGCTTCGTTTAAAGTTGCCGCCAAAAATAGAGATATAGGACAAGCCAATATTCCCCCTTCTTTCTATGGCGATCGACGTAAAAATCTTTCTATCAAAGTTCTTTAACTGAGAGTTCTCGTTCAAAAAACGATCTTACGCTGGTTTCGTATCACCTGGCGCACGATTCGATTTCAACGTGATTTCAACACGTGCACGTAGACCCGCAACGTGTTGGTCGGCCGTCCCTCGCGAAAACAGGGCTACGAATACCGCTATGAGAGGACTACTTTCGCCGTGGGGCGGTACACAAGGTGGCAACGTCGCTGTCCGCCAAGTGATCGGATGAGAGCTCTGATTGGTTGTTGCTTATTCGCGATAGCTAGCAGCGAGCAGAGGTTCGTTAGACAGGGGCGTACGCAGGAACCGTCGGACGCCCACCCCGTCGAAGAGGGATAAGCGATGCACACCTACTTTCTCTGGCCTTCCTTCCCCTCTTTTTACCAGTACCCCCCCGGTCAGGGCCACGCTTGAGTAGGGTCGTGATCATTGATATCTCGTCATTATAGGTATGCTCTTTCTCTTTCTCATTTTATTATGCTATGGAAACATTAACTCATTGCCAAATAATGATGTTGATTTGCTGAAGGGAAGAGCTGTTAACACTCCCTAGTTATACCGTCGTCCTTGTCACGATGAGAAACGAACTGTTCGAAACTCTTTCTTTTCAGTTAGCCATATATGAAGTGATTGAATAGATTGCATGCAACGTTGAAAGTTAGTTCAATTAAAAACTAAGAGTTTACCGACTTCTTTTTATATTTTGTTTTTTTTATTTTGAGACTCATAATTAACTAAAAGATGGATATTCTATGCGTAGCAACAGAAATTTTCGTTAAAGATATCTAAAGATATTAATCGAGTTTAACTTAATAAAAAAAGATTTATAATAAACAAGACGACATCAAAATAATTGATGTATTTGAAAATAAGGATTAGGCTAGGTCTTGACACATGACAATAATAGTCCAATATGGCTTTTTATTAAGTCAATGACAATGACTAGTGACAAGTGAAATAAATTAATCTCTAACATCGATCATATGTAGTGCCTGTATGATGTTAGCAATAATAAATTAAATAAGTGATTACATTTAAATAATCAGACAATCTATGTAAACTGATCTCTAATATACACCAGTAGTAATTAACATTACTTATAAATAAATTCATCTTTGAAAATTCTAAAAATAAAATCGAGCTTACAATCCAATGGCATGTGTAATTACGTCGTATGTAACATACCTAGACAAGGAATTGTTTACAGTACTGGATTATTTTTTTGTTACAGCAAGTGAATAATAATAAATTATAAATAAAATTATATATTTTCTCTTACCAACTTGCATTGGTACTTATGTTCTGTAACATTGAATCCTGGTAATTATGAAAGTGTAGTTTCGATGAACATGACATTTAAAATGTTTGCGACCGATAAATAGTGAAAACTTTGTGTTATGTTTATGGAAGTATATAGGATTCTGAAAATTGTACCGATTCAATATACAACAATATATTTAACTATAGTTTTCTACTCACACCGGTGCATTTCAGGACCTATATACAAATTAGAACACATCTGTTCTATTACTTAATGTAACTCAAACACTGTACACAAAGATATTTACATATTGAAATTAAAATTCGTGCCTTTTCTTTGACATTGATCATTAGAATAAGATTTCATACAGCTGCAACTGATTTACATTTGCGAGGTCAAAATCTTTCTCTTTCTCTTCCTCATTTCATTTGTTGAAAGCTTGAAAGCTACATACAACGAAATAGAAAGTATGAGAAGAGTTAAGTAGATTTGCAAAATAGTAATCCTAGAATATTTGTACTAGAGTGGGCTACAATTGAAATTCAAAGTGAACAATGGTTCTGTAATAAAGAATTCGTCGCAGAGCTGCGTTCCGAATATGTGAATCGCATATTAAAAGCGTGCGAATTGTACAGTGCCGCAAAACGTAAATCTCTTTTACAATCCACCACCTGATCTCTCTACGCTGATCTGTTTTTTCAATATTTCTTTTTCATGTTGAGCTTCTTCCATTTCTGCCATCCTTGCAAAACGCGAATACGCCACATGTCCAGATTTGATGGCCGACATCATCTGTATTAAATGGAAAAGAAAAAATTAATTTTAAGAATTATGAACGTGAGGAAACCATATCTCGAACTTCAAAATAATAAGTTTTGCAATCTGGCACAAGAGCAGCATGATACCAAGATAGTTTACAAGACAGAAGAGGAGGCGGAGAGGTTCGAATATTCATAGAAATATTATAATCACGACATTAAGACAAGGCAAACTTTGATTAGACAGGTTACTATCTATATGTAGACAAGGTCTAGACTATTCGTGCAATAAAAAGAGAATATTAAAAAACTTGTTACTACTACTATAAACTACTACAAAATAAAGAAGTAAAAAATGTTATGGGTATCACTATATCCAACAGGTCTTTCTCAAATTTTTGTCTTATATTAGACAATAAATTGACTCCAAATAATGTTAAAAACAAGAAAAGATTGAGAGTCAAATATAAATATATATGTAAAATAACGTAACAAAGGAAATTTGAAAGCAGCAGCAAGTCTATACGCCAAATCCGTGCGTGCGAGCTTTCACAGACCTGAAGGTACTCGTCCAACTCGACCTGACCATTCATATTAGTGTCGATTTCGCGCAGTATTTCATGAAGCTCTTCACCAGGTACTTCCTTGTCACCGAACAACTGTGAATAGTAAAAAAAAGTTTCTGATTAAATATGTGTTTTACGATTTACCTGTAAATAATCTTGTAACTCCATTTGCCCATTATAATTGAGATCAATTTCATTGAGTAAAGTGTGCATTTCATCTTCATTCAGTTTTATGCCAAGTACCTGTACATTGATAATTATGCATATAACAAAAGCAAAAGAAAAATAAAAAAACAAAATTTAAATAACATAAAATTAATAGCATATTTTATGCAAACCTTAAGTCCTCGCCTAATATCATTAATGGAAACGTAGCCTTTGTTGTCTTTATCGATGATTCCAAAACGTTTAATATATAATTGAATTTCATCCTTTGTGAGATTGATAGGTATTTTGTCACGTGACGCACGATTAACCATTTGTCCCATTTCATTAGCGAGAAAATCACTGGCTTCTTTGTGTTGTCTTTTCTTTTCTTCTGGTGACCAATGTAATTCTTCTGCCATAATATCAATAATGCCTGGAAGAGCTTCTTGTGCCGCTTGAACGTTCAGAAAAGCTAATCTTAATCGTCTTGCAATCATATCGATTGCCGTTCTCGCGTATTCACGAACTCCATATCGAATCTAACATTAATAATGATTAATTGTTACAATGAATAAAAAAGGAATTATTGAAATTTATGTTTGATAGTATTCACCTCGGCGTCGATATATGGGAATTCAGGATGAAGTTTTTTGCCTATTATTGGCCATCTTTTACCAGTAAGAGAAGCCATCTTTGCTACAGCAAATGCACGATCTCCATAACTTTTAGCCAAATGTTGTGCAACTTCACATTCTAAGCCAAAATCTTGTACTAATCTGATGTACATCGTTGGACTCCAACCATGAGCTCCCTCAAGGAGAAAGCCATTTGTTTGACAGGGTCTTTCAGGCTTTAAGTCGCAAGCTTAACAAATAACATAAAAATTAATTACCAAATTTTACAATACTTCTAACATATATATCACGTCATGCCTTTAATAGCTGCGTCGATAGTTTCTTCAGCCATTGCCCTGTACGTTGTCCATTTTCCTCCAGCTATTGTGATGAGTTTTGTGGGACTAACATGCACAATATGATTTCTGGCAAGAGATTGGGTGTTTGGTTTGTTAGGATCAGAAACAAGAGGTCTAATTCCGCTCCAAGCGGATAGTACATCTCCACGACGAACTTCAACGTCTGGGTTGAGATAGTTTTTCACTTCGCGTAAAATAAACATAATTTCATCCTCAGTAGGTCGAGGATTATGCGTTACTTCGCAAGGTAAGTCTGTCGTTCCTGCGATCGTTTGTTTCTGCCAAGGTAAGAAAAATATCACTCGACCATCGCTTGTTGCTGGATCCAATAAACCCATCTGGTCAGGGCTAAATGCATTTTATATGATTAACGTAAATCTCTTGAATATTTCCAACATCTAAGTTTTACTTAATTATTCACCTGTAGTAACCTGGAAGAACGATATGAACACCGGAAGAGGGGCAGCAGATCTCTTTAACGTTTTGATCATCCATTTTTCTAATATGATCAGTGAATGGGCCTGTTGCATTTATTATCGCCTTTGCTTTCACATCCCATTGTTCACCCGTAAGTTCGTCTTTTACACGAGCACCAGTAAGTACTCGATTACCATCCTTCACGAAATAGATATGTTATCTCAATAAATAATTTATTTTTACATTGATCTTATTACTATATACAGTCAAGTGATATCAATGTCAATACCTTATCAAGGCCTTTCAAGAGATTGACAACTTTAACGTGATTTACAACCGTGGCACCATGCCGTGAGGCAGTCAGAGCAACTGCCAAATTCATTCTGGCATCATCCTGTTGACCTGTTACATCAAAATAGCAGGAAATTACACTGTGCTTAAAAAAGTCAGTAAAAAATAACAAATAACACTCAATAGAAATGTACCATCATAATAAACAATAGCTCCTGTTAATTTGTCTCCTTTCAACATGGGAAATAATTCTAACGCATTACTTTTACTGAGGAAATAAGACGATTTCACCGTCTTGCTTCCAGCAACGAGATCATACATTTTTATACCAAACCAGTAGTAGGGAATCTGCCACCACCTATTGGAGATAAATCGATATTACATAATAGTTCTAGTTACAGTTTTCATTTCAAATGAAGATAATTAAAACAAAAAACAAATAAAGATAATCAGAGATTAACATACGTGTAAACAGGCAACATAATAGGTAGAGGATGAGCTAAATGAGGAGCACTGTGTAACATGGATGCCCGTTCATGTAATGCTTCTTTGACCATTTTATATTGTTCTACATCGAATTGCATTATAGCTTTTTGTAGGTAACGCACACCACCATGAATAAGCTTTGTACTTCTAGAAGATGTACCAGAAGCAAAATCATCCCCTTCAATTAAAGCTGTTTTCAAACCTGAAAATTAAACATAGGGTACGGTTAATAAATAATCGTTTAGTTTAATGTAATACAAAAATTAACAAATCACCTCGTGTGCAAGCATCCAATGCACATCCGGCCCCCGTCGCACCACCACCAACGATAAGAATATCGTATTCTTCATGATTCTTCAATGTCTTCAATTGTTCCTCTCTTGTTGGTAAAGGTCTCTTCGCTGGTCTTGTTTGTGGCACATCCGCATGTACCTACAATAGATAAAAATATTACCGCTGAATTTGCATAATACATTTCATAATATTACATCGCGAAAACTTTGAAAATAGAGCGAGTAAAATAAAATAAGAAAGTAATCCTCATACATTTATTTCTGTAGATTGAATTTCATGCTAATTTCCGGTCTTGAATAATCAATCTTAATCAGTTAACGATAAAATTTATTGTTGTTACAATTTATATCAAATTAATTCAATTTCTAATTTGATAAATATCGATCTCGTATCTACATTTTTGTATAAAAAATTAAATTTTACGAATTTATGCTAATATTATTCTTATTATATTAATAAGAAAAGAATTTGTTCACGATATATCATTACAGATGTATATTAATATCATATATTATATATATGCCACTTCACAGTAGATAATGTAAAACAATGCTCATTAGTTGCTCAGTAGCATCACATTTTTGTCGTGATTTTTATTCGACATAACGGCAAGTGTAAATTGGTCGCACGTCTATTACGCACATCTCCCGTTTAGTATTCACTATTTTTAAATATAGTCATTTAAATTCAGAGTATAAGTACGGAAAGAAAAATTAATGAAATAACGTTGTCATTTTGTCTTTTTATACTTGGCTTCATTATTTGTAAACAAATGTTTTACGTATCTTCCACACATCGTATAAAATAGTAGAAATATTTTTCTTCTAATGTACATATAATCAATTTTTTACTATATCCTCTTATTCCATTTTTTTTTTTTTTTTTTTTCATTCCTTAATCATTTAATCAGTCCTGATGGGTATTAATCATAAAAATAATTTTTTATGTAAATTTAATGACTTTGCTCTAAATGTGTTTATCTTTTTTCTGGTTTTTCCAAAACACGTTGTATTGTACCATTAATAAGAATTATAGATCTGTAAAGCTTGAAAAAGTAATGCATTTTTATTATATTCTTGTAAAAAACAATTTGAAAAAGCTGCAGAATGTGTTGACAGATCCCGATGATTTTGAAGTATATTATAGAGCGCGAAATTCTGAACAACTATTATTTGAACAAGAATTACCGCTCAGTCTTAGTTTTCAAGATATTTGCAAAAATTATGGATTTAACTACATTGAATTCTGCCTGTACGTGTATGATATCCAGAGTGAGGAAGAGATCACCGCTCGTCCAATGTATATAACGGGTGAACAAAAATCACTGAATGTCATTTGTCTTTTTGTAAAAAAGGAGTAAAAAGATAGTAACTTCTCAAGCTCTCCTAATGCTAAAACACAGCATTAAAAAAAAAAAAAAAAAAAAAAAAAAAAAAAAAAACAAAAAAAAGAAAAAAAACCTGAAGAAATGAGGTGATTTATGGCAAAGTTACTAAATTGTAGTTTTATCTTATTTTATTTTGTTAAACATCTGCTCGTTGAAAATAAATTTTCCGTAACTGTAAATCTTCAATTCGATGAAGAAAATACACGACAGTATTCACTAACAACTTTATAACGTATACATGAAAAAAAAGAACTATTTTTTAATTAAGACAATAAATTAATATAAAATAAAAAAAGGAGAAAAATAATTGTGACAGCATGACATTAGATTCCTATAATCCAAAATTTCTCTACCCCAGCACTACACCAATTATTAGTGCTTGATGATACGTACTATGTGACAGAATTTAATTGTTTATTTATTTTATATGTATATATAAAATATAAAAAATAAATAAATAAAAATATATAAAACGTATATATAAAAACACGAAACTTCTATCTGTTATGAACAGTAATCAAAGCTCACACGTTTTATCCTTTTAATATCATATGCATGGATACGTATTTACAAGGAAACATTTCGTTAATAGATGCTCATAGTTCTTTCAACGACATGTTGTCTAATCAGAATAAATGATCATATATTTAAATTAACTGTAGACGCGAAAAACAATGAGGTATCGAAATAGACGAGCATCCCTGATAGCTCATCCTGGCCTGGCACAGACCTTCCCAGCAGTGAAATTTTGGTAACCACGTGATTGCGGCCTGATCTCGAAACACTATACAGCCTTGACTGCCAGCAGAAATTACGGTCAGTAATAACTTCTCGTCAAGGTATAAGCTAAATTCGAGAACTCAGTGACCGGTAGAAACTATAACGATAACGATACCGGTGACTTCCAAAATTTGCTCTTATTTGCAGTTTTAAATATTTTACAGTCTGCATAAGAAAAGAGGAAAAGGAGCTAAATAACGGCAATTATAATAATAAATTTATTATGAAGAATGAAACAGGTTAAAAAAATTTATAAAATATAAAAAAGATCCCAACAGTTTCATCTTTGCTGATATCGCATTACCTTTGTTCCCGCGCTTTTTAGTGACAAATAATTTTCAAATGAAGAATTCCGTTGTGATTGCACAAATTCTTGCGAAAAAAAAAAAAATGCTACAAATAAGAACCAAAGGGCAAGGTAGTTAAAATTAATTAAATTTCAATAATGATCAAGTATACTTACGGTATTATCGGACATCAATAGGTAAGAAGTAAGAGCACTAGCACCGATGGCGCTTGCACCCCCCACTAATAGTTTCAGCGATGCCATCTTACGTCACTTATGGTGGGACAATCTTTCAAGAAAGATCTAGAAATGAACGGAAACACGTCTACATTACTGTTGCTCACGTCATACGTGGGTTAGAAATTACGTAAGACGAGAATGAAGTGAAAAAGCTATAAAAAGATACGACGAAGGGTTACCAAACGGCGAAATGTCTGTTTGATAAGCAATCGTTAGGTTAGAAAAAAAAATTTACGCACTGATAAGGTAAATGAAAATAATAACTACAAAACATGAAATGTAATCCTTTAACGGATTAATCCGTGCCCCTGATCTATTTAATGAATCACCGTCCATGTGATTTGGCAATGTATCAACAGGTGTAATGTATACGACAGTGATAAGGAAATGACTGTTGAAAGAATGACCAAAAATGTTATCGATAAAATATCCCTAACGAGATCAAACTAATTGCCCATATATCAAAATCTGAATTGTAGCTTTTTTACCTAAACAGAAACAAATTAATATAATATAATTTTTTAGCATAATATACTTGTAGAAGCATACAGGTAGTTCCTTGGCTTCTTCACAAAGACGATCTCTTAAAAATGATTCATTGGCAGATATCCCAAAATACTTCAATCTTGATCGAACGTGACATACCGTTTCTGTACCGTGTCATGTGGCATACCAATGTGTCATGCGAGATATCATACATACAATTTGCGATATAATGCTTATATGCGCGCATAATGATGTAATATAACATCTAGTGATTATAAGCTCCGGGTGCAAAATAAATTACTCGATCGTGGTGCTATAATTATATGAGAGACTAAAACTTCCTACTTATGAACGAGGAAATCCTTGTTGATAAATCACTGCATACACTCAACAACTTATTAAGTTATCAATTGTAAAAAATACGATTTGATAATAACTACGTTTTATATGACACACTAAATGTAATATAACACTAAATGTTATATAACAAATAAAGTTAATAAAATCCTTGCTTGTTCGCTAATCATTTATTAAAATTCCAATGTCAAGAATCTTTTTTACGGAATAGTACAATATACAAATAGATTATTCGCTTTTTTAGCAACGAATCATAGTTCTGTATTTTAGCGATAAATTGTGTGTATTAGATAAAGAAAATCACGTTTCTAACTTCAGATAATAAACCCAGCGATTACTTTAAATAAAAATAAAAAACATGTACTCGAAATTAAAAATATGGGCTCACTAATATAATCATTTCCTATTTTATCGACGATTTAATCACATCTTTTATAAATTAATATTAAAGATTTTGTAATTCTCTGGAAAATCTCGTATTATCTTAAACATAGACATTCACATAGTGATGAAATTTAAACGTTTGTCAATAAAAATAGTTAAATTTTAATTTAAACATGAAATGTAGTAAGATGCACGTGCTGCTGACGCATTATTTTTTTATCAGGTGACGTGTTAATTTTTATTAAAAAATTAAGTTAGTCAAACACAATAATTAAAACAGATAAAAAACATAAAAAGTTGAAGCAACGAAGAACATAATTTTTGACCTAATCTAATCACGATGTTGTTAACTGCTGAAAAAATAATTTGCATTAAGCTATTCGTTATGAGACCTTGACAGTCCCTCAAAACACGTGGAATTATGTAAGCTATAGCTTGTATTAATCAGTAAATTTTAGTATCTTTCGATTCTATGTTCCTTACTTCTTTTTCGTAAATATCGATACATCAAAGTGATGTGAACAAAATGTTTTATGAAAATAGCGAAACTGATTTACTGATTTGAACAGGCGAAAACTAGACGAATCTCAAGAGGTATCGTTTTTCACAAGACGGAGTCATAAACCTTTCAGTAATTCTTTTCATAGAGAATATATTAATATATACACACATTACAATAATGCAAACGTAGAGAATGATGTCGCAAAGCTACATTTTAAAATAGCACCCACGAATCTTGTGCCAAATGCTTTCGAATGTCATTTATATTGTAGATGTACTCATTATACAATACACCATATATCCCACAATATTATGGATGAAAAAAAATATTCGTTGATTCTTGTTTTAAAATCAATGAATAAAATCTCATAAATAATCATTTTTTAATGAATCAATTATTCTTCGTGTGTTATTCCTCTTCTACTCGGGAATAGTGTTAGTAATTTTAAGAGTTAGGTTATCCAAATTTCTATGGAAAATTATGAAAAAAATATTACTCTATTTTCTTATTAAAAAATATTAAACAATTTGTTACAAAAATTAATGATTTACATAATTCATAGATTATGACTGACATGATACATAATTATCAATTGCAGTTATACTAATGATGATGTTACTCACTGTAAAATAAATTGATAGCTATAAGGCTATTGAAAACACCCGCGCACAATGGTGGTGAGTGCGATATGTAAAACTAAAAATTAACGGTGCACATATTCGATGAGGATGCTGTCACACATTTCACTACTCGCACGAGCGAATGAACCGTAGTGAACGATCAAGCAACACTTAAGATGTAAACTGACTGCCTCAGCGACATCTTTCGAAGTCTTTTTAATCTATTGAATGGCGCGTTTAACAAACATAGATTAATTCTATTCATTTTTCTTTTTATATGTGTAAAAAATTTGAAAAGAATTAGTATATTTTTATTAATATATTTATACTAGAATAACAGGTCCTTCTATTAAAAAATTAAAAAATTTACTTCAGTCAATTATACTGTTTTATATTCACATTTTTTGTACAAAACAAACGATTTCCTTTCACAATGTCAAAAAAACAGATTAGTCAAAAATACTCAATATCAACTTGTTACTTGCAAATTGTTCATAAAATAGTGATTCGTTCTTTTATAGATTATCTTATGTAGCATAACTTACATACGAATTATGCATTATTCATATTAGAAATAAAGTAATTTTTCGTTATTATACAGTAAAGTATCTCTATAAATTAGATACCCATTTTATCCTGAACAATTATAAGGATGAATATACATAAAAGTCTTGTGTATTAGACATAAAATAACATCCGAAATCTTAATGCTAGTAACAGAAGGTGTCACATGTCGACTATGATCTAATAAAATAAAAGATGTAAACATAATACAAATGGAGAGGATGTATGATGAATGGATGTACAATAAATAGCAAAATCATTGCAATAAAAATTGAGACACACAACGTAGCTAAAACCTACTATTTACACAAATTGTTATATCAAAATATATGATCATTTTTATTTCACAATTAATTATGTTTTTCCTCCTTTCGTATTATTTTTGGAAGCTTAAAATATAAGCCAAAAATTACACTTCATCCGATGCAAGCACCTCTCTATCAGTGGGTGAAGATGACTTCTCCTTTCTTTCATCTTCTTTCATCTGAAGAGCAACCGCGGATTCAAGCACCCGTATCCTACCCTCATGTTTTACGATCATCGCTTTTAGTTTTCTTATTTCTTCCGTAAATTCTTTCAAAAGCTCTTCCTATAAAATAAATAATCATGCTCTTAAAAATCTGTATTAAAAACTTATTTACGAATAACATACAGTGATGCCTGCTGAAGCTTGTGTAGCATTTTGTGCAGAATTCGAAGAAGCAACTTTCGCTCCTTTGCTCAATATGTTTGACTTCTTATGGACTTTCAATTCATTCTTGGCTACTGAGGGTTGATAACCATCCCTCAAGGAGATCAATATAGGATCTGCATCGGTTCCGTTTTCCCATTCTTCAGCAGAAATCGCAGCAGTATCGCCGGGGGTATCAGGATATAAATCTTCTTGAAATAGTTCAGACTAAAAGCAAATAAACAATATTAAAATGATAAAAATAGTCTTATGTACTTTATATTGTAAATGCATTTGAATTATACCTTTCTTGGTACAGTCATAGAGATAACCTGGCAAAAGCCTGAGTTGTTGAGCCGGTAAAATCTAGTTATTTCACAGCTATTAACATCACAGCCTCGTTTTGGCATCATTCCTACACCTCGTTGAGGATCAGGAGTTTGAAACGTATTGATATAATGAACAAAGGGAGGTTCAGGAGTAATTTCGAAATATCGAATCACAGAATCACCTTTCCCGCACAAGTAAACTAAATTTGTGTCAGGATCATACAAAGGAAACATAACTCCATTACTTGTATCCAATTCTACCATAACAATAGGTTCACCTAACATATCTGGAGCACGCAGGGAATACTGCCTTTCAGACATTTTACTGAAACCTGTGGTAAAGATCAAGCCTCCCCTGAAATCATATTAAACACACATCTTTGTGGAAACAAAGTTTTAGTAAAAATATATTTTGGAATATACACTCATACATACAAATATAAGATCCTACAAAAATACATAATTCGTATCTAAATATTATACCATAACATTTATTCTTATTGCTTTCTGAATTTTCTTACTTGAGTTAATCATCAAAACTGAATAACATCCACCTTGTTACAACATTTGAAAACTTTGCCTTTTGTATTAAAATACACACATGTGAAATAACATAAAACAAGTAAAATAATTGTTAAGAAACTGCAATGTTTACATAACAAATTATTATAATTTATATCTTAAATGGAAATTAATACACCAGCTGATCAGTACAGCAGTTGCTGAATTTTATAAAATATGTACCTGAATCGATTTGTCCATTTTTCGAAACAGATATTATCAGTATTGAAAACTGCATTAATTATTTTTTTTAGATATTAGTGTAGTTATTTCACTATATTCTGATCTTGTATATCAACATGTATGAAATATTATATTTTAAAGTAATAACTTGATATACAATACTTACTGAAACTTTTATGTCGATACTACACAGTGGACACCTTGATATTTGCATTTATTAAGTTGACATCCTCCTGATGAGTTGAATTTTCAATCTTCAAGTTTTCCATTAAAAAATACCAAATCTCGCACTACACAAATTGGAAAGACCATGTGATAATAAAAAATAAAGGTATTCTTAATGTGCAAATAGAAGTATCAATCACATGTCATTAAAAGATACTATAGCCTGCTATGAATATAATTTGGTTTGAAATAAATATCACATTTATCCTAAGTACATTTATTGTGTAAAAAGGCGGATGTATATTGTTTGATGATTATTTAATGTGAAAGATATGTTTATAGTGTTTTGCATAATAGAGGTATTCATTATTCCTAAATACATATTTCAGAAATATTTATTTAAAACATTTATCATCTTTTATGTGCATAACAGTAGAAATATTTGTGATTAAATACATGTATAATTAAAAACTGATTGAGCTTATCCATCTATAAGTACCTAGAAAGGAAATTTACATACCTGAGAAATATTGCACGTGTAGCTTTACTACCTTCATGTGCAATAGCTTCTTCTAGTATCTCTCCAGTTCTTGGATCCAAAATTCGAATTTTTTTATCTTTACAGGTAGTAACTACTTTAGACCCATCCCAGTTCCAACATGCAGAATAAATCATGTCTGGATGACAATCTATTCGCACTATAGTTTCTCCAGTGCCTACATTCCAGATTAAGACAAGATTGTCTGATCCAGCTGTGAGCAATACATTCAGTGCAGATGGATGCCATAATACAAGACCGACTCTGCGCTGGTGCTGCTGAAGGTCTACCACAGATTCAGTTAATGTCCTAGAAATACCACCATCCGGTATTTGCCATATTTTAACTACGCAATCTTCAGAACCAGATGCTATAACATTGTCATTATGAGGACACCATGCAATGTCTAATACAGGACCTTTATGTCCACCAACTAAAGGATAGTCTGCTGGTATTCGACCTACCTATAATAATGTAAATAATCATGAAAATTACTTACTAAACATTTAAATGATAATTAACATATTACTACAATATTTAGTTTGGAGAAAAACAATTGAATCTCATACAATTAAAAAAAACCGATAATTATCAAGGAGCTTGAGGATAAAACTTACTTTATTGTGTGGCAAGACTATGAAAGCACCACCGCCTGCAGATTCTACAATGATAGCGAGGAATTTTGGATTCACAGCACAGAAGGTTGAATCCCACGAAGATTTGGACACCCTTATATTATCGTAACATTGTTCACGTTTCAAAGCCGTTCCGTACACGTGGCGGAACTTGCTGCTACGCACCACACGGAAAGACATATCTGCACCTACTTTCGGTGACAAACAAAAAATGAAGGAAACGATGATTAACCTAAAGGATAAGGATGGTACTTTGCCGTGCCGGCTATTATGATTATTTTAATAAATTATTGTTACGTGTCCACCGCCAACGTGGGCGTCGCGTGGACCATCCCCGTTTTATAAATAGATTCCCCACCCTTGATGTGTTGAAATGAGCGCGACTGAAATAAGAATATTTTCGAATGCTAACTTTTACAGTTTATAAGTTAAATGTTCATCCTATAATGTCCACATTACATTTAATTTCATCGCTGTCAATTATTGTGAATACTTATAAATTATTCAGTAGATCATAATTGATTAAACGAAAAATAGATCCGATCCACCCGAAATAAACCGGCTGCCGCTTTTATGCGACGATGATTCACACTGATCGTCATAGCGTTCCTGAATTTACATTACTACACTCCGTTCGGTACCGTCTAAGGCATGGATTGTAGCCCAAATAACACTATTTCGATATTTTCAGCCGACTTTTCTACGACTAAATCTGTAATGCCACGATTTTTGATGTTATGCCAATTGAGAAGTAATCCGGGGGAGTATCAAAATTTTCACATTACTGGAGAACGCATTTAGGTCAATTGCATTCTTGTTCGTGTTTTAATTAAATATCTTTCATGAAAAATTAACATATTAGAAATCGGATTTCTGTTTAGCTATTTCATGTTAAATGGAGCAGAATTTTTTTACCAAAACGAATAGAAAATTCACCTTCAGCTATTAAAAAGATCCATTTATCATTTTCTCTGAATATCGTTCCTTATTTCACCCTGGCACGTTCAAGGAAACAAACGAATCTCATCGATTAAAGAACTTCACGAAAATTGATTATTCTATATATGAATCGCGCTAATAGAAAGCTAAGTAACGGAATAATTTCAACGTTCCGATTAATCGTTCTGCTATCGTCAACGGATTGACGCCGACTACTATCCTTTCGCACTAACTGTATCTAATCTACCACGTGTTTATATACGACACATACACATAGAGATATTCACGCGCGAGTATAGTTCACGATTAAACGTTACACTGCTGTATTCTACTGATATAAAGAATATAAAGTTACTTCTAAAATAATAAATATCTTTTTTTAAAAAATGAACACTGGAATTTCAACGTTCCCGCCGGCTAGCAATAATGTTGCGTCGTAATTCAGTGAACGACCACGTAGTAGCGCTATTGACACGAACGGCTGGATCATTTGAGAGCACCTTATTTGGAAGTGCGCACCCTGCTCCTGTGAATACCTACCCCCAAAACGATTTCTTCTGTCACATTATAAGTTATAAATGTGTATACTCTTAAAATTTTCTTTATAGTTATTCTCCTGTCTCACCCCAAATTTTCTGTTTCAGCACTAGTATACGTACGAATTAAACGAGTTGTATATACAGAAGATGGACAAAATCGGCTGATCGTTCCGTGAACGTGACGAACTTATTGCACGAATATTTTTTTCGAATACGTGTGCAGAAAGAATTCTTACCGACAAATTTTTTTCCGATGACAGGCGATGCACGCTTTTGGAAAAGAACTCTCCCCACCCCCCAAATCTCATGCGCTAATGAGAATGATGGATGCGCGCGCTTCTAAACGTAATATGGCGCTCCTGAGCGCGTAATATTTAAAGTTTTAAGTACTGTACGTATTGATTATTTGTTATTGTAATCTTATGTAATCTGAATATAATTTTACGAACAATTTTCAAGTAAGTTTTAATTCTTTAACCTTTCACTTAATAAGGAAAAAAAAAATGTATTTAATTCATTTGTAGTTTTTTGAATAGTCTTCTTTTAGGATAATTTCTATTTAATCATAGTAATTAAAAGGATTTAAAAAGGTACCATGATATAGTATATTACATTAATTCCATTTTAACCGTTATTAAAGTATTGAAAAGCAGACTTAAACCAGTATTTCTCACTTCTATCTGTTGTGAATTACCAGTCTGATTTTTGAACATGATCTAGCAAACGTACATAGAACATACTTAAAAGTGAAATTCATTTGGAGGGGGGGATATGCATTAAATTTATGGCGAGTGTATTACTTGCCTCTATATTATTCATGACAATCTTCTAAAAAGTTGCATATGGTTGCATGCATGTTTGTTGTTGTGAACGATGGTATGTTCAGATAAGAGAGTAAATTTGTTGATACTTTAACATTTAACTGGTAGAAATGGGTAATCAAGTGACACGTACTGGACATCCATCTAACAAAAAAACTGATACTGTCGTGCATGCCGGTGATAATACAAATGCAAGCAACCTTTCGAAAAGTTCTTCAGGAACTGAATTAGAAAGTAATTCGCATATGCAATTCTTTCCTATTGAAAGTTTAGCAAAGGTATAAAATGAATTTATAAGTGCTAGTTGTTGTGTCATAACTGATTTTTATCTTGAATCAAACAAAAGAAATATGTTCGATATATTGCAGAAAAATGTTGATCGTTTTGTGAAAATATTCAGTGTTATAGATTTTTTATGTTTTAAAAACAGAAACCGACTTATATGATTAATTAATAAGTCATAAATTGCTTTTTAGCACTCACTGTAAATTTATCTTTTCATTGACATTTGTTATAATTTGTATAACCTATAATTATATTGTTGATATGTTTTTCGTGGGTGACATTATTATGTTTCAAAAATCAATTTAATCTATTATTGGCTTCAATTGAAGATATGAATAAATATCAAGCTGTTCATTATACCATATTTTTATTCTAACAAAATAAAATACAATTGCTTCTTAGTGTGGAGACAATAATATCTATATCTAAAAATTAATTTTGGTAATGGTATTAATTAGATTATTCATTTTACAGATTCTATCTCATTTAACTCATGAACAGGAACGTATAAATGGTATTACAATATCTATATTTCAACGTTATCTTTTCCCTAATTATCCAGAGTTAGGTGAAAAGTTATTTAATTATCTCTATCATGCTGCCAATGTTAGTACTTCATACTTAAGTGTTAATTCTTTTAAGCAACAAGCAGAGAAGTTTCTCTCTGTAATGAATGATCAAACTGTATTAGAGAATTATGTGAAAATGTATTCTAATATAAAAGAAGATGGAAGTGTAAGTCCTGAAGGATTAAAGGCTTTATTGAACATTTCTTACAATATTGCTATGGATAATAGTGGAACTTCTTCCTGTATCTATATAGGTCAAATAATAAATGCAGCTGTTGTATCATGTGTCAGTAAATTTAATATCTATTAATATTTTTTAACCAGAACTTATTTAGGTATTATAAAATATATATTATAGTTTCATGGTAAATATGCTTTGTCTGTGAGTTATGTGAGCAATTGGATCTGGCAACATTGTCCACGTATAATATATGGCCCTCATCGCTATATAATACATGTGTTGACAACTGCTTACCGAAATGGTAAAGCACTTTTGTCCAAAGAACAACCACAACCACGTTTGGAAATACCAACACCCATATTAGAACAACCAGATTCCTTATGCTTCCCTAAAACTTTGTTACCCGAGAGCTATGTGTGGTTATTATCAAGTACATTATCTGAATGTTATCTTCAGGTATACTTTTATTTAGAACTTACTATACATTTCACTGAACTGTAAAGTAAAAAGATAAATATATGTTTAGGCAGATGATTTACCAAAAGATGTAACTCATGCTCTCATAGCTAAAAGAATGGGGAATGTGTGTCCTAGACACTGGACATTGTTGTACAATAGCTCAGAACATGGTACAGGAGCTAATCGTTTTCTTCACCATGTATTAGGATACAGAGGTCCCACTCTCTTATTTATACGAGCTGTTAGTCCAGATGTAGATACTGTGTGTCCCACATATTGCATATGCTCAGCAGTAGAATGGCGTGAGAGTCATCTTTATTGGGGTGATGAAGATTCAATGGGTATTGAACTGTTTCCTTCATACAGAGTTATTGAAAGAGGAGCTAAAGTATTATACTTGAATACCAACATCAGAGGATATCCTCATGGATTACGATTTGGAAGTAATCCCCGTTCGCCGTATATTAGTATAGATGAATCATTCCATTCAGTTAGTATTGCAGGTGCACCATATCCAATTGCTAGTTTAGAAGTTTGGGGTTGTGGAGACACGAAATTAAGGTAACACAACTTTCTCCTAAATATTAAATCAGATAGATTTTTGGATAAATATTAATTGGGAAGATTTTGTAGGGAACGTCAATTGGAAATCAAAAAATGGCAAGTGAAGGAAGCGGAAAAGCAAAGAATTGTTAAATTAAGCGCTAGCGACTGGATAGATCATCCTGATCGTTACTTACTTGAATTGGCAGGTAGAGCATCCTATAATGAATCAAACAAATAATCCTAATATATTACTGTATTATAGCACAAAATTAATTCAAGATTCTAGTAGATTATTTGTATATATGTATATATTATCAAACATACTGTTGCTCGAAAATGTACTTATACTGTATGTGTAAGATCACAAACACCATATTCAATTTTCCTTTGAAATGTGTATATCTCTAGTACACTATAAGGTACAGATTTTAATCATTTAATAACAAGTGTTCGATAATAGAACGACTTTTTATATTTTATATTCGATGAAAATTAAAAATTATCATTGAACTACTATAGTATATAAATTGTATAGTAACAGAAAAAGGAATGTTTTTTAATTTATTACCAATTTTTTATGCAACTGTTACTTAAAACTAAAATCGAAGTACTTACTTCAAAGACCTAATATAGTACATTTTTAAATAACATTTTCATGCTCAATAATATTAGCATATTAGTATAAAAAATACAATATTTTTTGATATTCAAGATGAAAATGTGCTATCTTATACAGTGATAATTAAACATTTATATAATGGAAAATAAAAAATTTGTTTAATATTGTACATTTTTAATCTTGAATAGAATATTAAATATATGTGTGTTCTTGCTGAAAGTAGAATAAATATATAGGTGCTATAGCACATTTTTATGTGACCTTTAAACAAATATATTTTAATCATCATGTGTGTTAAGTCCGCGTATTTTAATTAAACGAAGTCAGATTTATGTAATTTCCGAAATTTTGCGTCTCTGTATTTTTTAAAAAGCGTCATATATATTACTGTTAGATGCCAACAACGAAATAAATATGATAAACATTTTAAAAATTAATCACGTTTAAAATCTCGTTACCTTTTAAGAAAAAAATAATTAGTGTCAAATAATTTATTTTGAACGATTCGTATTTTTTTGCAATAAAATTTGTATTTGAATAGAGCATAGAAATAGCGAGCAGACTTTATTATTTTAATAATTATGGTATATGAATAGTGTTGTTAAGTAATAAATAGGATACTCAATATGTTGTTTTCTTGGTTTTTATATCCCAAAGTAACATTCATGTTTAATAAAATTTTTATTATTTTATTCTATTACTTTCTTAACTTTCCACTTTAACAAGTGTAAGGAAAAATTGTATGGAATTCTAAGAATTAATCACTCTATATAATATTTAATATGATATATATTTCTACAGTAAGATGTGAAATATATAAGATCATTTGTCATCTCAAAGGTAATTTAAATATTGTATAATGTGTATATGAACTAAAGTAACTTTATAAAATTAATTTAAATTATATTACTTAGCTTATTATAAGTTAATTTTCTAACGCCACTGAATAGAGAGAGGTAAGAGAAAATAACTTAAATATAATTTTCATAAATACCTATATCAATACAAATAATTCGCCAGAAACATATTTATTAAAGATCATTGACGTGATTTTCAACATTCATTCATGCTTACTGCAAAAACTCTACATATATATATGAAGATACCATATAAGACATATTTACAATTATTTAAATAAATATATAAAACTATATCTAATAGGTTTTATATCATTTATGCTACCTATGATGATACAGGATGTGCTATAAATGGAAGATAAAGAAATCCAATATATTCATCTCTAGAATAACATGATCTTTTAAAATGCTATGGTAGTAGAATTTTTGTAATACTGTTAACCAAAGTGGACAGTAAAGACATTACCACTGCGTTCATAAAAAAACACTTGTGTTTGAAACATTGTGTTCGGAGTCATATCTATAAAAAAAAATTTTTAATTACATATATACATTTCTGAACAAAAAGATAGCACAAGATTGAGCATTCAAGAATCTATAAGAAACTACTTTTCATTCAAAAGAATCAAAACTCGTTTACCTGTTTTTTATATTTGTGCTATCATTTTGCCTAGTGTATTTTAACTGTTTTCTTTATTAAACATAAAAGAGAACGATATTTTATAACCTTTTGAAAGATTCGCTTAAAGATTCGTTAAAATTGAAAAATTATATATAGGTTACTTCAAAATTAAATATAGTACATGTGTTATGTACATTATAAAAATTTAATAGATTACACTAACCTTGGAATCTCTCATCAATATCATGTCCACTGTCATAACACGACCGTTTTTTGGGATCAGACAGAATTCCATAAGCTTCTCCAACTTCTTTAAATTTCTTTTCTTGTTCTTTCTTTTCCCCTTCAGTTGCATTAGGATGTCGATCTATGTGCAATAGCGCAGAGATAGATTAGTACAATTAAATTAAACTGGATAAAAATACATTTTTAACCTTACCAGGATGATGTACCATTGCTCGTTTCCTATACGCTTTTTTAATATCATCAGTTGATGCGTTCTTGTCGATACCTAAAATCTTATAGTAATCTTTCCTTTTTGATTTCTTTAATGCTAACATAGCTTCCTTCAGCAGTCGTTTATTATCTGTTAATTAATATTAAAATATTTATTATATTAATAATTATATTATAAAATTAAACATTATTTACCCAAACTCTTATCCATTTGGCAAACATTCTCAAGATCATGAACAGCTTCCTCATATTCTTTAAGTTCCATATAAGAAGCTGCTCTTCTCAGGAGAGCTTTAACATAATATTTATCCAGTTTTAATGCTTCTGTACATTCTATTACTGATTCATTTAATCGACCTAGCTATAGAGTAACAAACAAAATTAATCATACCTTTCTATGAAATTAATTTTAATAGAAAATAAAGATATAATACCTTTGCTGCAACTATCGCTTTATTAAAGTGAAGTTTTGAATTTGTTACTACATTTTGGGGATCTATAGTTAAGGCTTCTGTATAAAATTTGTATGCTGCTTCATACAGTTTCATATCATAAGCATTGTTTCCATCTTCCTTTTTCTTTTTCAAATTTTTAGCTCGCTTATATATTTCTAATGCTTTGACATGGTCTGGAGCTAACCTAAGTACTTGTTGGAAATATGTAAATGCCTTGTCAATATTATCTTGATAATATAGACACATAGCACGAACATATATAGCATCTACATTTTGCTTATCCAGATGCAAAATATTACTGAAATATTACTTGCTATAGAAATAGTATACAATAATTACTATTACTTTAGATGTATAAAACAAAAAAGACAATATACTTTGCTATTTCCTCTGCTTCCTGATATCTCCGCAAGAATACTAAACATTCTGCTTTAGTTAGTTTAAATCGTGTACAATGAGTACTCACATCACAACAACGATCCATACAATATACAACCTACAAGTATTGTAATATTTTAAACACTGTCAGCTATTACATTACATATATATTTATTTTATAATATATTTAACAATTAAATCACAAACTTTACGGTAGTCCTTAGCAGCATATGCAGCATCTGCATCCTTAAGAAATTTTTTTACATATTCCAAGTCTTTTTGCTCTGTGGTTATTGCCTTATTTTCAGGATCAATCTCTAATAACTTAGGTAAAGTAGTTTCAGCCTGAATAATATCTCCCAAAACCAAGCAACATTTTATAACTCTTTCATATGCCTAAATATAAATGAATTATATTAAAGAAATGTTCATCTTTTAAAATCTATTTTTCCATGTATATTTAACATACTTTGCTTACTCTTACATCCAATTCAATACATTTCTTTGCATCATCCAAGGCATGAGAATATTTATCAAGCATCATATAACAAGCAGCTCTTTTTGCATAGAACAATGGTTTATTTGGACATAGATCTAAATGAACATTTATTTTATTTACTTATTAAATTGTGGTATTAAAAATTTCTAATTATACAAATATACTTTACCAATAAGTTCAGTGTATTTTTTCGATGCTTCCATATATTGTTTTCCAAAAAAGAGGTTTTTAGCAATTAGTGTTTTTTCAAGTCTGAAATAATTATATATTTAATTGTACTGAATAATTTGATAATATATAATTTCAATCAGTATAAACCAAAATCATATGATGTTTGACAAAACCATTTATATAATTTCATAAAAAATTATTAAAGAAATAGGATTTATATAAAATTTAAACATATATTAAAAACATTAAAAAATATTTAAGATAATAACTCTTATGTGACTTTTAAAAAAAAGGATCAATCAATTTACAGAATATATGGTTTCTGTTTATTAAAAAAGTAATGTTTAATGTACTGAATACAGCACAACATTATATTTTCGTATTCTGTACATACTCTTCCAACCTCGCTCCATCAGCAGACATTGTTGAATGTTTTGAATTGTACTTGTGAATATCACTAGAAGACTAGGAAATAGTAAACGTAATATTTGATAAGATATATGATATATGTATGTTTATATGTAATTGTTTTATATATTTATTAAATTCACGCTTCGTAAGAAAACATACACGTATTAATCCAATTACTATATTCCTTTCGTAAAATGCTCCTACTTCCTTTAATACTACCAATAGAAGGGACGCATTTGTAATAATGATCCCAGGAAATTCATATATATACGTTCCAAAATACATTCATACTGGTTTATTAAAAATCCAAAATAATTAAAAATTAATCATTATTTAGCATTAATTGTTAATGTAACAGATATGATTAATTTGTTATTAATTGCAACGGTTCTGTAAAAAAATTATATTTTACTATTATTTTATTTCTTGATGAATTGCTTACTAAAAATTATTTCTAACAATATATTATTAATTCAAATCAGTTAGTTGAAAATTTTAGTTAATAAATATTATGGAGATATGATATATTTTTATATTGACCTGCAAAAAATTGCACGTTTTGAATACATAATTAAAATTACTAGAATTTAACAAGAATATAATTATTGTTTTAAAAAATAAATTAATACATTAATACGTAATTAATTTTAATATCGAAAGAGACTATAATAATAGTTTAAGTAAAAGAATATTAAGAAGCATATAAAAGCTATATTTTGTTATTTTTTGGAACACCTCTTATTCCACACACCATACTTTATGGTATATCAACCTTTAATGTCGTTGTCATTATAACCTATAGTAGTTGTACTCATTGAAAAAAAAAAAAGTGTAATTTTGTGACTTGTAAGTTTAAATAACTAAATAAAGTCCGTATTTTTTAAATAATTTTTGTCAATAGCAATGTGTGTTCGATATTAGTCAATCAAAATATTACACCATGTGTTTGAAAATCATTATATACAAAATAATTTTTGCAATTATATACATGTGCAATTTATATGATAATACTATTGTGTCATATTATGACATTTTATAGACAAGCATATCCAAATATTTTTACTAATAATGAAATACAAGTAGTTTAATCACTTTTTAAAACAATAATCATTTACTAAACATATTCTTCTTTGATACAGTATTTTTTTAAAAATGAGCCGCTTTTTTGCAACTGGATCAGATTCTGAGTCTGATAGTGCCTCTGAGGAGGAGCAAGTTCAAAGAGCACCAACTACAGCTTTCACGGTAAATATAGTACATATTAATATATACTATAGACATTTGTCATTCTCTTTTTCTTTTTTTTTGTATTTTGGTGATTAATAAAATTAGAATAATATAATATAAAACGTTTATAGTTCAGCGATGAAGAGGAAGAAACTAAGAGAGTTGTAAGATCAACAAAAGAAAAAAGATATGAAGAAATTGCAAATCTCATAAAACTCATAAGAAATTATAAAAAGATTAAAGATATGAGCAGCATGTTGTCCAGTAAGTATTTATCAATGTTTAATGATATCAAACAAAATAAAATAATATTCAGTCATTTAGAATCATTTACAATGTAATCTTAGGTTTTGAAGATTTAATGCGTGCTTATCAAAAAGCATTACCTGTAATAGCAAAGGAAGAAGGTGGTCAGACACCTCGTTTTTATATCAGATGTTTAGTAGAAATGGAAGATTTTATCAATGAAGTGTGGGAAGATCGTGAAGGTCGTAAAAATATGTCAAAATATAATTCAAAATCTTTAACTTCATTGCGTCAAAAACTTCGTAAATATAATAAAGATTTTGAAGAAGATATAGCAAAATTTAGAGAAAATCCGGATCAGGATGATGATGAAGAAGAAGAGAAACGTGTGTATAATTTATGAGTACTTACTTATAATACATTTTATTCTTTTGAATAAAAATTACTCTATATTTAAAATCTTAGCTGAAGAAATTGTAGAATCTGAGGAAGAGGAAGATAATGCAATTGCTTTTAAAAAAGCTGGATCAGAAGCAAGTGAACCAGATACTTCTAAATTTAAGGTTTGTAATATATAATTTGGTATAAGTTTTGTAGTATATAATAAAATTCATTACGTTTTCCATTAAAAAAAATTACTTTACAGAAAAGCGTGGCTGATGGAGAAGATGGTAGCGAAAGTGAATCTGATTGGGGTAGTTCATCAGATAGTGAGAGTACAAGTAGTGAAGATGAAGGCCAGTATCAAAATATACGTGAACGATTTATTAAAAAGTACGCTTAAATATAGTCAAATGAAAATAATGATTAGTTAACACTATATTAATACCACTATATCTCTAAACAGAGTGACAGATAAAGAGGAGGAGGAGGACAAAGCAAAACGAAAAGAACAGCGAAAAGAACGAAAAGAAAAAGAACGGAAAAAAAAGAAAGATGAGGACGATGGAGAAGGCGAATGGGAAACTGTCAAAGGTGGCGTGGCTATTCCATCTGAAAAACCAAAAATGTTTGTAAAGGATGCGGAAATTAATGTGGCTGCTGTCTTGAAGAAACTTTCCGAGATCATTGCAGCACGTGGTAAAAAGCGTACCGATCGCAAAGAACAAATTGAGCTTTTACATGAATTGCAATCCATAGCTGATGCTCATAATCTTGGACCAGCAGTAGCTGTGAAGATCAAGTTTTCTATTGTGTCCTCTATTTTCGATTACAATCCGAAAGTATCGGATGCAATGAAGCCTGAATATTGGTCAAAGTTGGTATCATATTTAAAATTTTTTAAATATAATATCATATTAATTCATTTATTAATAAATAAATTATTTTCGAATAGAATACTGGAACGTATTACGGAAATGCTTGATATGCTATTGAATACGAAAGACATGATAATTGCCGAGATTGTATCAGAAGATGCAGAAGAATATGAAACAGCACCATATAAAATACATGGATGTGTATTAACATTAGTGGAACGTTTAGATGAGGAATTTACTAAATTATTAAAAGAATGTGATCCACATAGTAATGAATATGTGGAAAGGTATATCTACAATTAAATGGATTAATAAATTAACAATACAAACCAGAATATTATTTACGATTCCTTTTTTCAGATTGAAAGATGAGAAACAAGTATCCACAATAATAGATAAAGTTCAAGAATATTTAGAAAGGCAAGGAACTGTTTCTGAGCTTTGTCGTGTATATTTACGTAAAATTGAACATTTGTATTATAAATTCGATCCAAATGTTCTTAAACAGAAAGAAGTAGGTGTATAATTATTAACATTTTAATCCGGATAAAAATCTGAAGATAATGCGATAAGTTTGAAAATATATCTTTTCTTTTTTAGGGAGAACTTGGTTCAGATGTAGCAACATCTGTACAGATTATGGAAAAACTTTGTAAATACGTTTACGCTCACGACGGAACGGATAGACTTAGAACCCGTGCAATTCTTTCTCACGTCTATCATCATGCTCTTCATGATAACTGGTTTCAAGCACGTGATCTTATTCTAATGTCCCATTTACAAGAAACTATTCAGCATTCCGACCCAGCTACACAAGTTTGTATTTTTTATAATACGATTGCACTTTTCGATATTTTTATGAATTTTATTAATTTTTTCAATTATAGATTTTATATAACAGAACTATTGCTCATTTGGGCCTATGTGCATTCCGTCATGCAAACATTAAAGACGCACATAATTGTTTAGTTGATTTAATGGTAACTGGTAAAGTAAAGGAACTCTTGGCACAAGGTCTTCTTCCACAAAGACAACATGAGCGTAGCAAAGAACAAGAAAAGATCGAAAAACAGAGGCAAATGCCGTTCCATATGCACATCAATTTAGAACTTCTTGAATGTGTTTATTTGGTTTCCGCGATGCTCATTGAAATTCCGTACATGGCTGCACACGAATTTGATGCGAGAAGAAGAATGATTTCCAAAACTTTTTATCAACAATTAAGGTCTAGTGAACGTCAGTCGTTAGTTGGACCTCCAGAATCTATGAGAGAGCATGTTGTTGCAGCGGCAAAAGCAATGCGTAATGGAAATTGGTTGGCTTGCAATAATTTTATTATTAATGAAAAAATGAATGCTAAAGTTTGGGATCTATTTTATCAAGCGGGTAAAGTTCGTGACATGCTTACAAGATTAATCAAAGAAGAAGCTTTGAGAACATATTTGTTTACGTATTCGCATGTGTATGATTCGATCTCTATGCCAAAATTAGCAGAGATGTTTCAATTGAAGCGACCTGTTGTTCATTCTATTATTAGTAAAATGATTATCAACGAAGAACTTATGGCATCTTTGGATGATCCGACAGAAACTGTTGTAATGCATCGTAGCGAACCAAGCCGTTTACAATCATTAGCGTTACAACTCACTGATAAAGTGAACAATTTTGTGGACTCTAATGAACGTATTTTCGAAATGAAGCAAGGTAGGTTATGAAAATTTTGACCAATATTAAATGGTTATAAAATTATAAAATATTAATAATAAAAACATCTTATTATCATAGGAAACTTCTTTTCACGAGGAAATCAAGGAAACTTCCGTGACAGACAAAACTACAATCGACAGGGACATCGTAATCGAGATCGTAATCGAGAAGAAAATCGAAATTATTAAATCAGCAGTCATTGAATGATATTTATGTGGGTGTTTAACACAGGATTATCATTATACCATGCATACACTCATGTAAATAATATTGAAAATAACAGTATATAAATAATCATACATTATTTTAGTGTATATTCATATTTCCATATTTGCTACTATTTACATATAAAAAGACCCAATTTATCGTACAAAAATAACAATGTTATTACAATTTTTTAATTATCATCTTTAAGATGTTTATATGTCTTGTACTTTTTCAAGTATTTTATTACCTGTTATTATATTATCCGATGTTAATACAAGTCGAATTCCAGTTGATTTTTCTATAAATCTACAAGCAGTTATTTCGGCATAAGTAATGCCACCAACAATGCATATTACTACTATTTTTGGTGATAATAAACCACGTTGACCACTTATAACACAGTTTGATAAATTTGTTAATTCTTCGAGGCTTTTGGAATCTCTTTCTTGATTTACAACAGTATTTAATATTTGAGCCTAAAGGAATATGAACTCTATCAGTTCAATTCAATATGAAATATTGATAAGAGACATAATGTAATTAAAAATATTACTAACAATTAATGGCACATAAACATTATTAAATACATAACTTGGACCCAAACGGCTTTTCTGTTCTGTTTGTTTAAAGTAGCTAGGTAACAGTTTTAACTTCTGTGCATTGTTGCTCCATTCACTATTCCAATTTGGCAATTTATGCAAGATGTTTTCTGATCTGCATTTTAATAAACCTATATTTTGCAATTTATAAAATAATGGTATGTGCTTATAACCATGAGCATGAAGATGAAGTTTTTGTATGGAGTGCAGCTCAGTTTGAGTAATTCCATCGCTTGTAATTGACAATAAACAAAATAAACGTAAAGTTCTCAGTGGATGTTCATCTGAAAAATTAATCATTTGGAAGATAGTGCCATTGTTTTATAAAAGAAATTACATACCTATGTATCTTTCAATGTGATTCAAACACTCCTTTCTTTCTTTGCATTCGAGTATACATTTTTCTATTTTTTGTAAGGTTTGAAAGTCAGAACTTAATGTATCTGCTATTAGTTGGCAAGCAGAAATATGAAAAGCAAGTTGTCGCATTAAATCTCTAGTCTTTTGTAATCTTGTTGCTACGTATCGTTCCATTTCAGATAACTTCATTGTTTGTATTGCATTTTGTTCCGCTAATATAAACCATTAAAAATATTAATTATTGCAAAGGCCAAATTAATAAAAATAACATGTGCAAATGTATAAATATACATTTTAAAGATTTAGCTTTTCCATGTAAAATTGGAAAAACTTCACTGCATGGTGTATCTCTTACTTCTCCATAAATTTGATCTTTGTCTGGATCTAGTTTGGTTTGAGAATTGCCTAAAGTACCTGTACCAACATTTATTTCCACTACTTCATGTAATAATCCAGCATAAGTCACAGGAGTTAAAAGTGGCGTGACTAAATCATAATTCCTATCCATTATAATTAAAGCTCCTATTTCATTTTCAATACTAGAAGAGCCTAAGCATTGTTTCATGGATTGCATAATTTTAAGCATTTGCTGACTGTACTTTCCAAAGGTAAGTGTCAGCTTGGGTGAACCAAGTATAAGTTGTAGTGACCATAAGCCACGTGCTAATGCTGGTAGTAGAGTAGTATCTTTGTGATAGTAAAGATCAATAAACATACAGTTTTCTAAAGATAAGATGTTTCCATCTAATCTGATGAATTCCCAGGATATTGTTTGTAATGTAACCAGTCCAGATAACCCTAAATAAATGTTTGTATTCTTATTTCAATGAAGTATAAATAATTACTAATATTTAATTTTATAATGAAATAATCACCCTCTTCTTCAATTATAGAATTAAGGACAGTAGGTACAAATGGGGTAACTAAAATATGATGGTTTGGCTTTATATGTGGTTTGATATCTAAAGTCTCATATGTAATCTCTGATTGTATTTGATCTAATACCTTTTTGCAAGCAATCAGATCACTTGAAATTAAAAATATATGTTGAGTATTTGAAAGCTTTAAACCTTGTTCCATTTTATAAATCTTTTCAACACCATAACGTCTAGATTGAAAATAGTATCATTTAACATTTGTTTAAATAATATGTCCCAAATGATTACTTAAGATAATTACTTGAGTACAGAAACGCCTACAAAACTGTCCAAAATTTTCATAAGTTTTTGTTCTATCACTAAGTCTTTCGTTCCGGGGATCGCGTCTAATATTTCAACGAGTTTTTGTTGACTTATTTGCTGTAATACGTTTAATCTATCGTCCAACGAGATATCCATATTTTTTAAATATATGTGATAATTTTCGATAATTTGATAAGTAATAATAATTTTCATTAACCCGTACAGGTTATAGTGATCCTGTATGTTTTTGTCAATGACATTAAGTCAATATAAAATTAAAAACTATACGTGCAATTTCGATATTTTGTTTGCCTATTAAAACTTATTGAATTCTAAAATTTTTAAGTCAAATTTTTGTTAGATTAATCTTTAAATTCCTATTCTTTTTAAAGGGAATATACAAACAACTAGACTAGTGCACCCATGTGGCAAAATTTCGTAAACTGAAGTGAATCGTATTTTCTGATCCTTCCAATACTCACGCGTATATTTCAATAGGGTTATTTAAAAATGGCGGATGCATCGTCTTCCGATACTACCTCAGATTGTTGCAATGAATGGTTCTCTGATATTACCTCCGAAAAATCGGAATACGTTATAGTAGGCCAGAAGCCATGTCTATCCCATCGTCGCAGCAAAAGACATTTCTTACAGAAGCTATTTTTAAGGGAGGTAAGGCTGCTTAACCTTCAACCTATATAAGTGTTAACGAAATTGACAGACTCCAGATAATGGTCAAAATTCTTTAATAATCTGAGAAAAAATTACTATAATACGATCAGAAAGAAAATTTTATTTGTTCTTCAGTGTCGTATGATTATTGTTAAATAATAAATTGTGCTCAATATCCAATGGCTGCAAGAAAAAATGTGCTTTTGTTCTTGCCCATAAAACTTAATTTTTCTTTGCTCCTTTTTTTATTATAATATAAACAAATTAGCGATTGCACGATATCTGTTATGTTTAAGCAAAATTTAAACAAGGGTAAAATAAAAGTGAAACCTTGAGATTTGTATATTAAGGAGAATAATAAGAGACCTATAAAAAAAAAATTAATTTTTACAGATCAGAGGTTGCTTATCAGCGCACAACTATGCCTCAGAAGAAAGACTGTTTGCTACTGTACCTTCATGGAGACATCTACCATTATTACATGTAATCCCAAAATCAGCACTTGAAGCAGGGTATGTTTGTTAAATGATTATAGATTTATATTATAAAGAAATATAATAAAATGAAAGAATATTTTTTCATTATTAATTTTATAATAACAATAATAATAATTATTATTAAAGACATATTGTAATGGGATTGACACAATGTGGTCAATTTTTACTTACATACACGTACACAATGGATGTGAGTGGCACTACCTCTTTGTACAAATACTTGTTACATTGGTGGGCTTTTACTCCAAATCATGTTGCACGTAAAATTGCAGAGGTTACTCTTTTTGGAAATTACACAATCTACAGAGAACTTAGTATTGTTATATCTCAATGGCCAATGGAAAGGAATAAACTAGTGATACATGGTCTTTGGTAAGATTTTATTTATTATTCTCCAAATTTCATATCTATCAAATTCTATAAATTAATGAAGTAATTAATAAGTATAAATCTTTAGTACAAACTGGCTACACCTTCAACCAACAGATAGAGCGTACTTAACAATAACTACAGTACCATCGCTTGAAAATTGTAAAGATTGTTTAAAGGTAGCAGCATCATATGAGGAAGAAGGTGAAGGTAATGTAACATTATACATATAAAACTCATAGTAGTAAATTATGAAACATTTGTTTTATATTTTTATAGAACTAGCAGCAAACTGGGATGGTTGTGTGCGATGCAACTGTCTCCAACATGGGCTCACTGTACATACCACCTATGAAGTAATTTCTCCATATCCTAGGTTCCGTGCCACTGTCTGTTTGAATTATTGGAATCATGTGGTAGTTAATACAGGCAACTTTTTACATGTGCTCACAGTGGATTTGGACATTCCAAAAATGAAAAATCAGAAATGTAGCGATAAGCAGGACACTGTCATTTCTGATACGGTGCCGTTAGACATGAGTGATGTTGAGGAGTTGGATTACACCAGGACAGTGGAACGTTACGAGAGTTCTGATGAAAAAGTAGGCACCCCCGAGTGCGTGGTTGATCAATCGCCGCGATGCGAGTCGAGTATAGAACATGACTTTCTAGAAGAACCAATTAAATTAGATGATAAGTTAGGCCGTGATTCGTTAAATACCTCAAGCAGCAATCAAAGCGACTGTGTCTGTGATATAAATAAGTCTGCTGATGCCGTAAGTGTTAAGTCATGCGAGTGTACTGACAGTAGCGAGTGTAAATGTCGTAACGGTAGTCCGATTTCACGAATCGAGCAACAAGCAATCTCGGTCAGAGATAAAATCTTGCAGGACTTTTGCGAGGACATGTCCCAGGAGCTCAACATAGGTAGTGATTTAATTACGCTAGTGAAACATCCATCGTGTTCTCCACGATCGACACCACAAAGACTTCCTCCTGATCTCAAAACTATGACATGGTCTTCGCCAATTCTTACACCCCCCTCAGACATCTTGAGAACCCGAAATTCAGAGTCTAGTCATAAAAGCACATATAGTCAACGTTCTAACTCTCCCCAACCTGGTGCTTCGAAGGATAGCCATGTCGCTTCCATTAATTCACCTTTTCATTCGATCTCAATGAGTCCATCCTCTTCATGTTCTTCGCGATTAATGTCACCCCCTGTATCACGATCTTTTCGTCACCCAAGTCCACGCAAAAGATCAAATTTACATTCTCCTCCTCCTATTGTGAATTCGACACAGTCAAGGGCAAGGGCTACGCACAAGCTCATTCTTGAAGCTGAGAAGGCATACGAATTCACGGACGAAGCGCAAGAGACTTGTGAGAAACTTAGTTCATTTCGAAAACGAAGACTTGCTGATAAGAAATATGAGTTTTGTGATGAAACCGAAGACGCCGAGAACATAGTTCCTTTCAAGCATATACGGGATCAATTCAAACATCGTGGCTGTTCCATACATCAAATATCATCCTCTCCTACAATGTCACCTGCACTGCCAAATGGTAAGAAGCATTGGATAGATTCTGATCAAAGTGAAACAGACGAGTTCAACATTAATCAAGATATTGGCGTGTCAAATGATTTACTTGTAGATTCAGGTAAATTGGTCTATTTATATTAATGAAAAATTTTGTTCTTCAGTAAAATCAATAATGTTATTTTAATTTTTTAGCTGAAAAAAATGTGCTAAGACCATTAAATCAGAATCAACTATGCAATGGAAGCATAAACAGAGATCGTTCTAATAAGCATTCTGTAAATTCATCACCACTAGTTCCAAAAATAAATTTACAATATCCTAGTATAAAATGTACTGCACACTTTAAGAGAAGTTACATAGAACTTGATGACGAAATGATATCAGTTATCACAGATGTTGAAGGTATATTATAATGTTGATTATTTCTTAGCGATTAAAATAAAAATATGGGTATAATCATACATACATTCACAGATGAGGAAACAGGAGGATATGTAAGTTACCAATGTGTGCTTCCTATGCATGTCCATGGATCTGGATATGTCCAAATGCAAATGATCAGCAATAGCAAAGCTGAAAAATTGGTATTGTATTTGAAATTTAGATCATTTTATTCAACAATTAAATTAAAATTGAAAATTATTGCATTTTCTCGAATAATTATTACATTTTTAGATAGTACCATGTGTTTCAATAAATCAACTAAGTTTTGATATCGAAACATTCTCTCATCACATTGCTGATTGGATTTGTATGAGATTTAAAAAGAGATATTGGCACTGTAGTGATTATGATATAGAAATAATAGATGTGTGTGCCTTAAGTGGTGACATTATCTGTCTATTGATTATGAAGATACAGGCTAGTGAAATTAGTAGTCAAACTCAATGGTTCGTACTAGTTTATGTTTATGAAGTTTCATTATATTTTAAATACTTATTTTTATGAAATACAGCTCTCAAGAAAGAAAACAGTATGAAGTGGGATGCAAATTCACATGGAACATTGATACAAGCCAATATAGAATAACTGATATACTGCCACTGGAAGAAGTAAAACCAGAATCATGGAAACCAAATTGTATGAATGTTCCAAATTTTCGGAGTCCGTTATGGAATCCCACTAGACGTTTAGCACCAAAATTAAGAGAAATGATACAACAACCTTACGCACACACAGTACGATTTTTACATAACGAAATGACTTTGGCAGGTAAGTACTTTAAATGAAGTAAAACAGTACTTCGAGAAATAAAAAACATGATATATTTTTTAGGCGAATCCATAACTAGACTTTATGATTTAGATAATTTGGTGGAATTTTACATAACACCCATGCCAAACTATTCTTCAATCGAATAAATAATTATCGAGTAGACGACATGTTGCAAACAATAATTTATTTATTGTTACAAATCTAAGAGTTTCATCATCGATAAGATAGCGTGTACAATGTAATGAATGTATTGAAAACATAGCCTATAGACTTACGACAACTATTTCGAGAAATTATTAATTCCAAGCGTGAATAGCAAGAAATGTTACACGTTTTATAGATTCTTACTGTGCTTTTTTCACGAAACTACCTAAATAAGTTGATTGTTAAGTATCGCTATAATGGATTGTCCAAAATTTAACGACGTAGATTAAGAATACTGAATAATGATACAACGAACGTTACAAGCGATTGCTTGAACTTTGTAAATTATATCTTAGCGCTATATATTGACTATCTATGTATTATAGATAACTTTGGTAATTACCAGATATAGGTAACTAAGAACTGATTGTCAATGAATGTACTGTATGTGGTTTCAAAGCAAGAAAAAGAACAAATGGTGACAAATTATTTAGTACTTGGTCCCAAAATTAATTCGTGAAAAAAAAAAAATATATCTCATGATACTTCTTAATTAATTTTCCATGCTAAAATTAAATTCATGGGATTAAATACATTTATTTAAGTTCTTGCGTTAACTCGCGCAACTGTATTGTATTATGAAGCCATTTTACTATAAACTTTTTTATATCTAAAGAACTGAAATACATATATAAACGTACATGTACAATTAACCAATGCACTGCAATTTATGTAAGTATCGATCGTACTTTCTACAAAAAAAAACTCATTTAAGACTTGAGAGATAAAGTTATTTAATTTGCTAAAGCAGCGACGATGAAACTGATAAAGTCAGTTTCTTAAATGCAATAAAATGTTTGTCATTATTGGCAAATGATGGCTTTAAGTTTTTTTACCTTTGTAAATGTATAAGGTTATTATTATGTGTATGTCCGAAAATGAAAGATTGCGTGATTCAAACAGGAATTTTAATAGGTGGTCCTACGCTAACTTCAGATCCTATTCCATTCAATTTTAAACCAGTGAGAATTTCTTCCCATGCGTTCATACACTGTTGGTAATGTCGAATTTGTCGGTCTGCCATTGAAATTAACATATTTTTCAAATCCACTTGCTTTTCTACATTCCACCTTTGTAAATCACTTCGGAGATTTTCATTTGCACACTCTACGCGATCTTGCAATAATTCTGCTTGCTTTGCTAATCGTGGTATAGCTTGCCCAAGTCTTTCTAATTTTTCATTACGAGATTCTGCTTTCCAAAGTGATCCACCCCAATTCTGCGTTGAAGTGATACCGCTCGCAAGACCCATTAACTATTCAAACAATTAAGACCACGAAATATACCAATATATTAATATTACTTAAACTTAAAAATAATATTTGATATCTACCTGATCCTTTTCTAATCTTTTTTTCGCCATAACTTCGACAGTCATTTCGTATTCAATTTGCATCGAATCTCGGCGGGATAAAGCATTTTTAACTGCATCTACATACGAAATGTATTCTCGTTCCTCGTTTGGGACATTTTCCAAAAGTTTTTGATGAGCCATTGCATTGCACTCAATTGCTTTAGCAATTGCTAATAAAAAGGGTGCCAATTCTGGTTCAGATGTTGCCCATAAGGTAAAAATTGGATGTAATTGGTGCAATTCCAACAAATAATCTAATGATACATATATAATTTAATAGAATATATAAGAAAAAATAATTAATGTAATGGGAAAACTACGTTTTACCTTGTCTTTCCTTATGTATACGATGATTTATCTTATCTACAATTGCTAATTTTTCACTAAGAGCTGTACAATAGTCTCGAATTTGTTCAAATTCAAAATGACGTTTCATAGTATATGTACTTGCAATATTTTGCAAAGAATCAGTCATCTTAACAAGTACATTTCCACGATTTTTACGATATATAAGGAATTCCTAAGAAAGATAAAAATATAATATCTAAAAGTACAGTGAATAAAGGGATTATAAAAGTTTCCTTACTGCAGGTTTAGTGGCCAAAAATATGAATAGATTTTTGTCACAGCTAAGAATTGGATGATTCACAACTCTATTGAGAAAAACATGTAATAGTTTCATGCGAGCTATAATAAATTCTTTAGAATAACGATCTAACTGAGCAAGCAGTGTATGCTTTCCAGGCATTGGCTGTAACAATATCATTAATATGTAACATATGTTAGAAATTACAAAAATATCCTAAAGGAAACTAAGTAAACATAGGATTAATATGTTTTTCAAAGATGTAATGTCTCACTGGTATGATACGTGTTGGATATGAATCCACCAATTTCCGTCGTAACCAAATAAAATCATTGTAACGTCTTCTAACAACATACTCTCCTTCTTCAAATTCTGGTCTTGTAGACTAAAATATCACAGAAATATTATCATCAATGGTATATATATATAAATATCTATACTTATAATAAAACTTACTTTTGTTGTTATACGAAAAGTAATATAAGTTTCAAGAGTTTCAAGATGTTTTTGTGGATTGTCTACTTTTACTTGCAAATCCCTAGAATCCGTTTGAAAATCTGATATTTCTTGTTCTGGCAAAGTAGAGAAACTATCAATAGAAGGAGAAGCTATCTGAAAATTGAAATTGTATTATATAAAATACAATATTAAGTATCTTATATTATAAAATATTATATGTGATATTATATTTTATATATTTATATATTTGTATTACTTATTTATGCTATTAATTGTATATAATGAATTTTTATTTTGAAGTAGTGGCTCTCATTTCTACATTGTACTTATGTAGTGACTACCAGAGAAGTTGCAGGTTATAATCTCACCACGGAACCCTCGACGGAGGTGCTACAATTCGAAAGGAAATCGACATCGCGGCTCTCTTGCTTAATAACACCACCAACTGCCATTGTGCTTACTTCTAAAATCGCAGTATCTTCTGTATTCTTCTCACTCAAATTTTCCACCTCAATTTCTGAAGAGGTCATCATCTTCAAACTGTCAAGCAACAGAGCTTTAACGACACTGCGTCACAATGCGCAGCATTAGATGGAGAACGAGTACGATACGCACATTGATCATATTTCAAAAGCTAAAAAAGTTTTTAAATATAAAAATTTTGCATGAAAAGTATTAAATGCTGTGCTATGTTACAATATGCAAGTATTATAATTTACCCGCCCTTTTACAAGAAGTTGTACATTGTTCTCTGTAATTGAAGAACTATAATTTGATCTTCGATTGTTACAACGCGTGGTTGAAAAAATTTACGATATTCTGGAGTAAAAAGCAAATAATTTGTGCCCGTGGAAACCGTATCTCGGGATACAGTCGACACCTTTTCCCGCGATTAAAACTTAAAAATTTTCACGTGTACATCGCGATAGTATGGAGTGGCAAGAAGAGGATGAGTACAGTTCCATTTTTTCCAAGAGATATTCCATAATGATGGCGGAAGAATCATCATTACCAATTATTTATTACCGATCGCAAAATCTATTATCGAGTAAGTTTTATCTATTTCTTATATCACGACTAAAAGATTAAACATATAACGAAGTCTTTTGAAATTTAATAATATTTCCAGCCAATGAGTATTACGTCTTTAACCATTTTAGAAAAATTTTATCCATGGCTTTAATATGATGGTAATAATAGTTATATGTATGGATGATTAATAATTTATGATTGTTTACTGTACGATAATTTCGAATCGCGCGCCATATGAAAGCGCGGTATAATTGTATGATTTTCATTAATTCAAACAAAACAAAGAAACATTACAATGAATTATAGATACTGTGACGTATTACATGTAAAAGTATTTTAAAATCAGTGACTAATCTAAATAATTGTTCATCAAAGCAAACGAAATATCATAATGCAGTTAGTTGGTATCATATACAGTCTATGCATTAATATACTATTGCGCACGCATGTAATCTTTGTCATATAATATAGTTTTCATTTACAAGTAACATTCGCTATTTCAGAAGACAAGATTCCCTATTTAAAAAAAACTGAAATTTAATCTTATCTAAATAAACATTATAAATTTTAGTGATTTAATTAAATCACTGTCTGATTGTTTAGGATAAAAAGAAGGACACCCGCGACATTATTCATAAGCGTAGCAATAATTCTCTAGACCCGGTTCAAAATCAATCCGCATCAATGTTTTTTTTATTGATATATTAATATTATTGTATATTTCAGCATATGTAATTGCAAACGTGATTTAAGTAAGGTTGCAATACTTTCGCAATATCTACTATACAAAACTGAGTTTATAAAATCCAGTATTAATTCAGTCTGCTATTTATGAAATTGCATTAGGAATTGATTAAAATTTTAATAAAAAAAAAAACAACTAAAATGATTAAGAAACAATATATTTAGACGAATAAATAAATAAATAATATTTTATTTGCATCGTGTGTTACCATTGTGCATATAAAATGAATTTAATCGAATAATATTGACTGAAATTTAAAACGAAAAATAGCAACTCTTTTAAAAGGTATAAATAATACTGGTAATCTTTAGTACTCATTTTCTATTATGGTTATCGTACCCCAGTAAACGGAGATTAGGTACGATACTGGTTGTGACGCGGGCAGTGATGCCGTAGTCAAGGCGACCGCAGCAGCAGACAACCAACACTCCGACCAGCCGTCGACAACAAAATATACAGGTTCGTCGGAGTGTGCTGCTCCGCTTTTCCACTTCTACGGTGCCTTGATTGTCCGCGTGGTTTCCTGGGTGACAAGTACAGCGGTTCCTTGAACGGGAAAAGCCCGGTTGAAATACTTGGGGGGATACGTTCGGTCGCGCAAGTGCGCCCGGGCGTCGTGTTGAAAGTACTACACGCCATTCATGAAGACAGGTGAGTAAAAAAGAAACGTATGAACCGCGCTTTCTTCCTATTCTAATTACGATCGTTACTGCGCGTGTTCTCGCAATTTTCCAAACTTCTCTGCGGGAATAAAACATAACATATACGGAAATTTAATGTCGCATGTTTATTATGCACTGCTATATTAATTTTATTATTTGCAATATGTATTTATTTCAAAGTAATTGATGCAATTTAAATAACTATGAACATTGTATTCAAGAATTTTTTAATTTTTCATGATTAGGTTTTTTGATGCAGAGTTATCATACAATGGTCATTCATACGTTGATGTTACATTTTTCTAAATGAAGATTCATTTAAAATATTAATACTACACTGTTAGGACCATGAATCACTTCATTACTTAGATATGTATATAAAAACACAATATTTGTATCAAATTAGTACTTTAACTTGACATATATTAAAAATTTCAATTATTTTAAATGTTATACTTTCTGAGACAAGTATATCATTTGTATATTCCATATAGCAAAGATTAATTAATTCCTCCCATAGAAAACCATTACAGATTTCTTGCTTTATATCTTCCCCTATTGCATTACGCTTTGCTGATTTTATTGTGTACCCTACCTGGGGGATATCTAATATTTAGAACCCCATGTAGCATTTAATTAAAGTAGGCTTATCAATTCTATCAACAATACATACTTCGTAAAATATGTGAGTAAAAGCACAACTAGAGGCACGTATTCATCTTAAACTAAATGCTTTTATCTTTTCATACATTTTCTATAATGATATTGTTGCAATAAATTTTTTATTTCAAGTTCTGTAACATCTTTTATTCAATATATTTGTAAATTATATTTGTATAATGTCTATATATCTTATTTTGTATTTGTAAAAAATTTTAAATATATAAATATGAAAGAATAGAAAATATGCAGTATAAAGTAACAGATAAAGTGCATAGAGTATTTTTAAGGATCAGTCATGCATAACAAAGGCCAGGTGCATATATACTGTGCTTTCTAATGTAATTACCCCTTCATAGAGTGATAATATTGAATATTAAATATCTCTGTAATATTTCTTTTCCTTATATTAATTATTACTCATTAAATTTAAAAAATCTAAATAATTTTATGTAGAAATTATATTTGCAAGAAAATAGTAATTTTTTTTTTTGTAGAATATATAACGAAAATTCCTGTTTATCCATTTTGTATAGCGTTTACGCGAATATGCAGGTTAATTCTAAATTTTATTTCTATTAGATAAAAGGAAATTCTAATACTCTTTAATTGCATCTATAATCCGACCTTTCGTATTGATACATTTAACCCCCTTTAGAAAGTTTTGTATCCACGCGTATGCTGCATTTTAGGCACCACCCCTCTTCCTTTCGTTTTCTTCCCTTTGAAACATTGTGTTTGGTACCTGCCACCCTACAGGTACAGGATGTACTAATACATCTTGCTGTACATGCGTCGAATCGACAGTGACGTGTTTCATTCGTATTGGAAGCTCTTCGGGGGCTTCCCTTTGATCTGTAGATTATTGAATGCTGTACACCTGCGAGAAATTACGTAGACGATCCTTCTTATATGTAGGTTAGGGTGTCTACTAATCTATCGCTATAACTAATAACTAATTTGTAGGCATCATCGTTCAATCATGTACTATTATCTTTTAGCCTATCAATATACATGTTATGTACTAAATTTATTATAATAATAAAATAATAAAAATTATTAACTACATTATATTCTTATTCTTTTGATACTCGTATGATTGCATTTGTTATATTACACAAAGTAATAATTTTTACATATGTGAGTTTGTATGTGCGCGCGCGTGCGCGCGTGTGTACGCGCGAGTGTGTGCGCGCGTATGTGTTGTATAATTTGAATTTGTATTTGTATTTATTTACGAAATATTTATTCTTTCCTTATATTTAAAAATACTTCAAACAATAATTCTGATAACATTTTGAAATCAGTGTATAGACTTTTGCATTGAACATACAACAATTTTACTTCTTTTATTTATTAATTAGTTATATTTTTAATAATTATAATTTGCAAAAATCATGAGAATTTATAACAATTCTTCATGTATTAAATCTGTTGGAAAACATTATTGATATTTATTGCATCTGTATGGGTATATGTCTACAGATTCTTCCCTTCATAAACGGGGAGGTAGCAGTGGTGGTGATACAGTGGGAGTAGAGAGAGGTGAAGGAGTGATTGCCATGACTACGACAGGAGCCCAGTATGCCCTCGCAGCATCCACCAGGGCTAATAGCAGTGGGGGTAGCTCTACTACTGTGGGGGTGGAACCTAAGCCAAGCGTTGTTGTCGTGACTACTTCTAGCTCCAGTGCCAGTGGTAATGCAGCACAAAGTCAGTCCACAAGGGGTCAGCAACTTATCACTGTTGTTACTAGTTCTGATCCATCTAGCCCAAACAATCTACAACCCATACAGGTTTGTTAAATTACAAATATATTAAATAATATATGGTAAATAAAATTTACAAAACATATTTGTGAACTATATATGTGATCAATGTGATTGAAGATGAAAATTTTGATAAATCCTTATATTATTATACAGACATTTACTGTTGATCATGAGAACATGCATACTATAAATAATAATTTAGTTATTGGTTCAGGATCCACTTGAAACAGCTGCAGAATCTTCCAACGGCTCAACAGGTACTCCAGCGCATGTTACAGCACAAGTAGTAGTGAATACAACCCATTCTGGTCAGCACACTCTTGTTGACTCCGATACTGCGTCCACCTCGGCTGGTACCATCGTCAGTGGATCTCCGCATTTTATTACGGTAACAGGTGCGTTTTAAACAGAAGATAATTTGAACATATTTTCATTTCATTTAGCTGTTAGTTGCAAGACTGTGGATTACAATCTTGTAAAATATTCAAGTATGACAGATTGGTCTTAATGATTAACGTTAATATATGTAAAAGAAAATCGTGATAAGTTGTCAAAGGACTTCTTATAAGATATGTATGTTAGGGGTGAGTATCAGGATCAGTTTGAAAAGAAATTATAGTGTTTGAGTAGAGATTTGGCCCTTTCCATGCTGCTGAAAAACATGCACCTCTGTTCTACTCTGACTACACTAGGCACCAGTGACTCACCATCCTACGCGTCCCTCACAACGGCAGTAGGTGAGGGCAGAATATAATCAGCATGCATTATTTTTTTTATTACTAATATTCAACATATTTGTAAAAAAGCTATGTATTAATTAATTTTGCATGTTCTAGTACGTTTCTTACTTGTATGAATAATAAAGAAAAAGTGATTATAAATATGTGGATATCAAGTTTTATTTTAAGAGTGCAAGTGCTTATTTAGATGCACTCTATTTTTTCCTAGCCATTAGTAAGGTATAATTCCATAACTCTTAAAAGTTGTGTGCATTTTACAAAATTTAATTCATATAAAAAGTGTCAATTGTACAAATAAATTTAAATATGTTGTGTTTGTTTCAGTATCTGGTGAACCAGAGGCAGTGGGGTCCGAGTCGGTTTCTCATCCTACTTATGTTCAATATGTTGAGGGGGATGGTTCCACATATATACCGACAAATGGCCAGATGTAAGTACATTAATACTCTTACGCGGTGCATACGGATTATCCCGCCTTGGCACACCTAAACGAGTCGTGAGGTCGGTATTTCGAAGGTTTATAACACGATCGTAAAGAAAGGCTATTTTCGAGTTGGAATCTTGGAATATTGGGGAGCAATGAACAAGATGTACTTTCGAATCTTAATTTCGTCCACGCTCAATAGCCAAAGACATATAAGACTCGGTAATTTCGAAGGATTACTCCGAAGCTTTTTTAACGGCACCAACTACCTACGCTTCGGATCTAGAGGAATGCCGTAAACTTTAGGCAAAACGCTGGACCTCACGCCAGCTCAGGTTTCGACCCTTCTTATCGAAAGAAAGTGCGTCAAGGGCAGTATGAAAGAGTGGTCACGATACTTAGGATGCTGCTGATTGGAAAATTTTTTGAAATAACCAATTAGCGTGCATCTTGAGCATGTGAAGGCGAGGGACCAAGAACCACCAAAAAACTCAACAGAAAGAATCGAGACACTGAACAGTACATACGTGACACAGTAAACGAGATTACTTGCCGCACAAACCTATCAGTTCTAGACTATAAAATGTTTAGAGTATCCTACGCGTTTCCAAAGGAGAAAATAACTCCTCCGCGATGCGTAGAAACAAATACTACATTTTATCTATTATATTGAATTCTACAATTCCTGGTTTACAGGACATATCCTGTATATGCTGTTGGAGAAGCAGGAGCTATGTATACTCCTGCCTCCAGCCAATATTATACACCAGCAACTACTCCAGTAACATATGCTCAGGTAACTTATACAAAATTTTATAACTAATGACTTAGTATCACTTGAATAATATTTCATTGCATTTAGGTTACTGGTCAAGGTTCAAATTCTACTACTGGACAATTATTATCTCAGGGCAGTGGCACATATCTTATTCAACAAAGTGTCGTAGATGGAGATCCCACAGCACATGCATTAATATCTGCAGCTGCTGCACGTGCTAGTCCTCAGACAGAAAATGCGGTAAGATAGCCATGCATGTTTATGACTTTCGTTGCTTTTAATTTCTTATATTTTATTTTTTTTTGTTATTTTAAGAGTTATTTTTAGTAAACTTTTAGAAATAATTTTGATACTGTAGATATATTTTTTTGATATAATAGTAATTTGTATTGCAAATTGTTTTACAAAATTAGATAATGAATGAAACTCTATAATGAAGCTATGTCTATAAAAATTGGGTTTTAAAATGGTATTGGTATGTTGGGTTGTTTGATAGGAAACTGTGGTTAGCGGGGGTGGAGGGGCATACTTGATCAGCGGTAATTCAGGAGGTACTGCTGTCACCGTGGAAGATGCTGCAGCTGCAGCTGCAAACATGACGCATGCTACTAGAGTTTCTCAAGCGACAGTAAGCTGATATGTGATTTCCATTTGCAAGCTTAGCTGTTCACTAGTTTGTTATAGCATGTAAGAGTGCTTCTTTAAAAATGCTTCAGACAAATATATAACTTAATTTGGTTACAATAATGCAATGAAGGTTTTGTTTAACATAAATATCATTAGTATTATTAGTACATGGATGTTTCATGTTGCTTTAGCTAGAATTTTACCTTGATTGGTTGTAGCAATTTATCTACTATTTGTCAGTAATATAACTTTAAGTTTATAATAATTTTTATGTATAATTAGGTTCATTGGTTACTCGAAAATTACGAAACAGCAGATGGTGTCTCTCTTCCAAGATCCACTCTTTACAATCATTATCTACGTCACTGTTCTGAAAATAAGTTAGATCCTGTAAATGCCGCGAGTTTTGGAAAATTAATACGTTCAGTTTTTTTGGGTTTAAGAACCAGGCGATTAGGCACAAGGTATAAAATTTTATTGTTTTCTTCTACTAGATTATCTTGTAATTATCGTTACTTTTTATAGAGGAAATTCGAAGTATCATTATTATGGAATCCGCGTTAAACCAAGTTCTCCTTTGGTTATGCTAAATGAGGATGGAACACCTCGTCAGCAACAAAGTACAAATTCACAAACAAAACGATTCAAATTCGTAAATCAAAAACAGGATACCACATATGAGAATAATGCACATTCGAATACAAATATTTCTTCAAATAATTCATCACCACAGTATCATCAGTACCTTGGTGAGGCAAGTGGCGCCATTCCAGAATTTCCAGAAATAATAGTTGGACATGGTTCATCCCTTCCAGAAGATTGCACGTTAGAAGACATTGATACGTTCCGTAGTATATACAGAGAACATTGTGAAGCCTTTTTAGATGCTGTTCTCAATTTTGAGTTTGCTACCGTAGAAAGCCTTTGGAGAGAATTTTGGCGTAGTCAAGACAATAATAATGGCGATGAATGTGAAGAGGAAAAATATTTATCAAAGTAAGATTTTTGCATTTAATTTTCAAAGTAATTTACGAAAAAAATGAAAAAATTTAATAATATTTTGCTTATCATATTTACATTTTGTTTCTTTATTTAGAACTAAGCTATATCAAATGTGTAAATGTTCAGAAGTTCAAGACTTCATAAGGAAGGTTGACTACACATTTTATCAAAATTTAGTAGAAGTATTAATGCCTAATGTGTTGCGACCTATACCAAGTGAGTTATGTTCACCATTTCATTATATATTAACTATGTTATTATGGTATCAATTAACATAAATGTTTAGGTTCGTTAACACAGTCTATACGAAATTTTGCAAAAGGATTAGAATCGTGGTTAACATCAGCAATGGCTGATTGCCCTGAGGAAATGACACAAATAAAGGTACTATTAAAATATAGTAATAAAATAATTTTTTTCTAATGATATTCTATTTCAGTTAACTGCTGTATCTGCATTTGCCCAGACACTAAGGCGTTACACATCGTTAAATCACCTTGCTCAAGCTGCACGTGCAGTGCTTCAGAATTCTAGTCAAATAAATCAAATGCTAGCTGATCTGAATCGCGTAGATTTTCATAATGTGCAAGAACAGGTATTTATATCAACAAATTTAATATAATGCTTCTCCTAATTATGAAAAATATTCGTATGTATATTTATAGGCCTCATGGGTATGCCAATGCGATTACGCTATGGTACAACGTTTAGAAGCAGATTTTAAAGTGACATTACAACAACAAAATTCATTAGAAGATTGGGCAATTTGGTTAAAGAGTGTTGTAACACAAGTTCTTAAACCATTCGAAGAGAAACCAACGTTTGCAAAAGCTGCTCGACAATTTTTGCTCAAATGGTCTTTCTACAGGTAATTATTGAAGTATATAAGAGAATACAATAAATTACTTATGGCTTTGATTATGCTTTAATTATTTGTTCAATAGTTCCATGGTTATTCGTGACCTTACTTTAAGAAGCGCAGCTAGTTTCGGATCTTTTCATCTAATTCGATTATTGTACGACGAGTATATGTTTTATTTGATCGAGCATCAAGTCGCAGTTGCAACAGGAACAACTCCGATAGCAGTAATGGGAGATGTATGTATTCTTGTCAAATAATGTAAAATATATTTTTAATGACTTTTGAATTAACAATTGGTTTTATTTTCTTACAGAAAAGTCAAAATTGCTCTTTAGTTAGTGCGTTTGGCGCTACTTCTAATGGAGGTAAGTTAGATATTTTTAATATTTTTTATAAGATTTATCTATTTATGTAAAACATAATTTAGACATTTTTCTTTCAGATACATTAAACACAAGTCAACCAAAGCGTATGAAATTGAGCTAACTGCGTGCCTACGCCTTTTAGTTTTGGAAATATGCCAGTAGCACCTGAGAATGAAACGTTAGCACAAGAGCATGCAGGCCTACTAACACACTAGTCCCATAAATTATAATTTTATATAAGATGAGATCTTATTGTATTATGACTTTAACAAAGAAGATTTTTGCATAAAAAACGCCCAGGATGTATACAATCTAAGTAAGTTTGTGTGATATAAAGTGTAGGAATATGTAATGCAATCTTGTGTCATATAAATATATGATACAAGTATAAGGTATCGCTGGCACGATGTTTAGTACATTAATGTATCATCTAGTCGAAACATCTTTGAAATGTGTATGGGACCATGAATTTATCATGCCCTTGTAGTAATCAATATTAAAAGCTTACTTGATTAGTTTCATTCTTTTTTAAACTTTCGTGTGTTCAAAAAATTTAAATAGCCTATTTTAATTTAAAAAAAAGCAACGATTTAAAAATCTATTAACAGGCCATATATAACTTGAATTCTATTGTTTCATGTAATATACTTTACTTTTTAGCATATTATACAAAAATCAAGTCGAGTAAGCTTAAAATAGCAAACATCAGTTTGTGCAAAAGAAAAAAGAGTCAGGTAGGCAACATTTTTAACAGGAAAAAAAATTATTTTCCTGCCATTCATATCGACGAATTCTATTTTGCACAAATAATTGAGTAACGTTTTACTAGATCCGCCCTGCCGCCGGTATTGAAAAAAAGTAGTAATTATTATTCCTACTGAAGCAGATGCAAATTAGGTTATTTAATATAACGATATAATTGATACAAGTTTTAGAAATTTCCAACATTCATATTTTTTAATGCGATTTATTAATTATACATTGAACAATGTAAAAAAGTTCTGTTGTGAGCCATCTATTACACTCTATATATATTCTTTCAGTACTTTTAAACGAATAGTACAAAACAGCGATGAAAAAAATGGTGAATGTAACGATATAATGTAATCGTTTTAATTTACTGATAGAATATACATTATGGTTTTTACATTATGTGTACATATATGAATGACGTGACAGAGAATTGCATAGTTGTTGAAATTTAATAGAAGAAGGAAGAAAAACATAAAATTGCAAATTGTAACAGTAAAAATTATGAGTGTCTTCAAACATACTTCGCATTTATTACATAATTTTAATATATTTAACTATGAAAAAAACTCTGTATCGATAAATGATTTGTATTTGTAGACACTCATCAAATAACTCACCAATCTAGTAAAAACTAACTAAATTTTAAGTATGCATTGCGAATTTCACATTATATTCTTTTTTTTTTTTTTTTTTTTAAAACCGTTATAAAAGTTAAAGACATACATAATATTTTTTTATGTACGGTATTTAAATATTACAGTTTTCACAAAATAAGTAATAATTTATGATTATTATTAAATTTAATTATATCTATTATAGCCATTTCTTAAATACAGAAAGTTGGCTAAATTAATAGAGATATATTTATATTTATAATAGTATACCAAAAGACTTATATTCTAATTTGATCATTTCTGTAAGCACTTTAGTGTACGTTAACAAGATTTAATTCATTGTACACTAAAAGTTCATCAAAACTTTACAGCCACTATTATGTTCTATCTTTATAATAATTTGATATTTTTAAATTTCTCATATTTCACATACATCATATTATACCTTTATTTCATGTATTTAACAACATGAATGAATATATACATATAATATCATATCCTTCGAGTCAAGTGCAAAGTTCAATGAAATTGACATGTTCTGATTGAAATATTTTTCCAATAACACTTATGATTAATAATGAATATCAAAAACTTAGTCTAATAATTCCTTATTTATAAAAAAATAGTTTCTTTATGAAGCTTACACTCAAGTTAACTTGAATTACAGTATCATTTTAAGTTTCCAGAAATACACTCTGTGTATATGTATAAAGTTAATGCTTGCACTTATACAACCATGATTATTGAATATTTTGTGAGATGAATATATCACAAATTATTGTTCAAAATTATTAAGAATTGCATGCGAGCTCATTCAAATACAGACTTGATATTGCAAATGTATTTTTTATTGCAAAACACCACTATATAGATTGTTTAATTAGACTTTGTGAAAGTACATTATATATTTTACAAGAAATCGACGGTTGTTGTATAAGAATATGCAAATTGCCTAATTTTCCAAAAAAATCCCAAATCAGATGTATTTCAAGGTGTAAAAAGCAAATAATTGCATAAATATTTGAAATCATTATAGAATGCTACTCTTATTCAATACTGAATTAAAAGATAGAACTGCTATGAACAAACTAAATGTTTGGCAAAACTTGGTGCCTTTTATTTCATACAAGAAAGAAATGAACATTTTTTTACTGTACCTTGATTATATAGAGAATCGAGGCCAAACGACCAAAATGAATAAAACAGATAGTTATGCTCTTCCTTTAGGGCTTCTTTTATAGCGTTTTACTTTGTAAAAATGTTAAGAAATTTTTTCAAAATGGTAGAATGAAAAAAGGAATTAAATGTATGTATGAAAGAAGATGTATGGATTTTGTAGAAATATTGTACCAAACAAAAAACATTGCTTCTTTCAAATTTAAATGATTCTTTTTATATAAAAAAAATTTCTTCCAAAGTAATATTCACTTTGCTGAAGGTCATAATAAAGGGTACTAAATACTGGTCAAGTTTATTACATTGCGATATTCGCAAATAGTTTTAATGAGAGTAGAATATATGTATATACGTGTGTGCGCGTGTGATGTATGTGGGCATGTATGCGTGTTTGGTGTGCGTGCGTGCGCGCGCGCGCGCGCATGTGTGTGTGTTTATTTATTGTATAAAAGTATTGCATACTAGTCAAACTTTATAGATTTAAGTCGAAGACAGGGATTGAGTATCACACAGTAAATTGACCATTGATTGCGTATTGTATTATTTATGCAAAGGGAAAGAATAGAATGTTTCCATAACTATAATGAGCTTATACATGTAAAAACTACTGATATGTGTACTTAGCATAAGAATGGCTTTCTAAGAAATTTATCTTTCTTTTCTTGTCAATAAGAATTCATGCAATGATGGCAAGTACGACTGAATATAGAAATGTGGTTAATTAAATCAATTTTTAAACTAAAATGTGTAAAAATCGAAATCAAAGAGTGATGTTCTATTACATAAAAATGATGCTTCTTAATTTAATATTTTACACAATTCTGTATTCATTGATACTTGCTTGTACTTTGTATTTTTTACGTAGTATTATACAATACGTAGTATTGGTGTTCGTAAGTTTTACATAATTATCACAAAGTGCAAGCAATTGTAGTCTTGTTGTTGATGATAAAAGATCAAACTTGACACAGTTTCCTATGTTGCGAAAGAAGACGGCCTTAAATAATTCCAATTGTAAGACAGAAAAAAGATTTACTACATTGTTAAGAGATAAACACTGAGAACAAATGAGAAAGAAGAAAATTAAGAAATACGTTTGAAAGAGGAAAAGTAAAAGTATCATTTTCCTTATAACTTAAAGAAAATATTTTGATACCTCCAGATTTGCACAAGTCGAGTGTCATTCATTACTGCTTAAATAAGATTATTTTTACTGAATGCAGCTCAAAATGATAACAATTTATATATATATTATGTGAGGTGTAAGAAACTAAAAACTGTGTGAATGTGTGGTTCACAAAAAAATGAATAATAAATATATGTTTAAAACTTGTAAGATTGCATTTCTTATCTAATAATTTGTGATATTATCAATTGATAATATTTTTTAATTAAATATTTTTTAATAGATTACTTTTAATGAATATATTTAATTACAATATTTATAATCCATTCATTTAAAAAATTAAAATAATTTAACACATTTAAAATCTGTAAACTAGTATTTTGTGTTTTGTTTTGCAAAAACCTATAACAATATTATAAGAAAAGCATATAACAATGAATGTTTTAAATTTATATGTATTAAATATTTAAAATTATTTCTTTTAATTCAAATATGAAAAAAGTATTATTCTTTTTATTTTTAGTTTAATTGTTATATATATTATAAAAAATAACATTTTTTTATTAATTTATATATGGAAATACATGATTGCAGAAAATTTAGTATTTATTTTTTTCACAGTACAATAACATGAGAGATATATAAATAATTATTACTAATTTCATAGAAAACAGAGTACGTCCTCATTAATATATAGATATATAATAACATATATATACATAGGTTGTAAATACATAATATATAGATGACAGATATGTCACATTTTTTTATAAAAATTTTTGTATTGAGTTTTAGAAGCAGTAGATGTTACTATTGAAAATCTATAGCAGTGTGTAATGTGAGTTGGCAAGTTTACGTATGATTAATAAAATTGAAATCAGCTAATGAAGCTACATATTGATGTAAGAAAAATGTTTGGGAAAACCTAAAATATTTCGTGGCACTATAGAAATTTATTAACTCAAGAAGTTGAAGGCAATAAATAAAGATATTAATAATTTTGCAAGAAAAAGCAATTCAGTTGCTGTTATTGATTTGGTTGATTAGGTTATAGACATGATTAGGTTATAATCGTCATCAATAATAAACATTTACTAATCAAATTTAAAAGCCACAAATCTGAAGAAATTGTGCTGCATCCATTCAATAAGTTGTTTGTATTTTAACTGATAGAGTGCCCAAATGATAAATAGAAATATTCAGTAAATTGTACATAATGTACTTCATTTTTACCTATCTGAAATGTCTTGTATCTCACGTATAAATAACACCTGTTTCCTCTTATTAGCAGTCATATTGTGCGTAGTCTACATATATACGTCTATATTTTGCAGTAAAAGTTGTGAAAAATTTTCAAAATTTTGATAAATGTAATATATGTAATACAAAAATAATGTAGACTGTAATGTGTTGTAATTTGAATATACTTAAATATGGTTAGAATAGATTTCACATATCATATATTCTTTTTATCCATTTCATTCTGCAAAGTTAATGTATACTATGTTTATTGTACCAACAATACAAATATAGTAGGAATTACAATATATACGAATTATTATATGAAAATAGAGATAGATTAGATTAAATTAGATTAATAAATTATTCTTTCAGTTTTTATACATTTTGACAGAAATAAAAAATAATTCATATCTATAAAAATTAAATATAAAAAGATGTTATAGATTTATTATATATTATATAATTTATTATATAATACTCAATACAAATATTCTATGTTGCTGTACGATAATAAGATTTGGAGGAAAGGAATATTTATATTTATAATTATTAATATTAAGTATATGTTACCAGATTTATGTTACAGTGACAAGCGATTGAAGTTTGGACAATAATCGATATTTTGTTTATAATTGACTAATTGATATAGTATACTACTGTAACTAATTTCTACAATAGTTTGCAAATAATTAAAAAAGAAAATTTAAGCAAAATTTACTTCACAATTTGAAGTTTATAAAATTAACTTATTTTGATAATTAGGTATCGATTGACGTTTTTTTTTTTTAAATTAGTGTTAAGTTGAATGACGTAGATTGCCACGTCATTTATAAGGAACAAAAAGTTGTGTCCATTTTAATAAGTTTTCATCTTTTTTTTATTCATTTACAAATACAAAATAATAAATGTTTAAGACATTATTTATTTTCTAATATTTTTTTTTTTTGTGTCTTATAAGAAATTTTAAATCAATTTGGTGAGTAGATGAATGCAATTATTGAAACCATATTGTTATTTTTTGAGGTTATACAAAGATAACGTAGTCAAGACTTCAGATAAGAACTTGGGGTAATTCTCTCGAAATTTTCTCCAGATTTTCTTAAAATTGCAACAATTTTTTTCTTATCCAATCAGAAATTGCTTTATATTCATATTATATATACCTTAAATGTATTGGTCAATTAAATGTGAAAGAAGTTTCTTTTAATTAATTGCAATATGAAAGAATGAAAATTTTTTGTAGTTTTAAACAGTCAAAATCAGTTAGGAGAATAATTTAACTCAGTGTATATTTTTAATTATTAGGTATAACAATTAAAAATGACATTGTGATATATGAATATAAATAAGAATTTATAAATATAAATAAGATATTAATATAAGATATTATAGATATGAACTGCAAGGTAAGGGAAAATGCTCTGCTTCCAAGATTACATTGTATAGTTGATGCAAAAGATACTAACAATGATACAAGTTTACATATCCAAAATTCATCTGAAAAAGTAATTAGTAATGAATTGCAAATAGATATGCAGTCAGTCAATAAATTTGAAAATGAGCTGGATGTTGCAGGACTTTTTGTAGATAATAAAAAAGGACAGTGTAAAGGTAAAAATAAAATTTTAGATAAAGAATTCTTGAGTGATGGTAATATCATTAATAATGATATTAGTAATTCAATAGTACAAGTGAAAAACATTTATTATAAATAATTGTTTATTACAGTTTCCTCTTTCTTTAATTATTAGGAATTTGTTAATAAAATCAAACATATGGTCTTCAATATGTATGTTATTAGATACTTAAAAGAATACTTTAAGATAGCTGATGTTTTAAGGTTTCTTTAGAAAAAGACCTACAAGGTCTTTCTTTCCCTCTTTGTTTTTTTAATATGATAATAAAATCAATATACACCCATTGACTGAATTATAATGTAAGTTTGATGCAGTAGTATATTAGTGTTCTCAGAATGCCAGTGCAACATAAAAATAAAAAGAAGTTATCAAAACATCAAGGTATCATCATCACTTATAGAATAGTCTCTATAAGATTCTATTTTTACAAAAATTCAGTTTATACCAACATTTGTCAATTTTTTTAACACTAAGATTTCTATTTAAATCAAGTTTGTTTTCACTCACAGAAGCTGTTGGTCATCAATTAAGATTTAAAATTCACAGTGAAAGTAATAAAGATAATGATACTAATGCTTCAATTCAATCAGAATATGATGCAAGTATAGATGAAAAATTACCAGAAACAGTGACATTACTCACTACACCGGAAGGAGGAAAACTTTATCTAGTAGGCACAGCACATTTTAGTGTTAAAAGTCAAAATGATGTTGCAATGGTAAATACATTTTATTTTATTTTTATTAAATGTATTAAATATATTTTAGACTATTTAAATATTGTCTCAATACTTTTTTTTTAATTTAATTACCTAATCACCTCCTACTAATTTAAAATATATCTTTTCTTTACTATTAAAGATCATTCAGGCTGTACAGCCTCATATAGTTGCAGTTGAGTTATGTGAAGCTAGAATTAACATCATAAACATTACTGAGGAAGCTATATATCATAATACAAAAGAGTTAGATATCAGTAAGTTCTTTGGACTGGCTTACTTATATAGTGTCTTTGACATAATATTAATTTACTTTGTTTCGCAGGTAGATTAATTGAAATATTGAAATGTTATGGAGTTTATTATGGATTGTTACACATTGTATTATACCGCATGATGGCTCGTCTTGTCAAGGAATTTGGAATGCCACCAGGTGGTGAATTTCGTACAGCATTTAAAGAGGTAAAGTAGACCAGATTAACTTTAATTGATTTAAGCAACAATATGAAATAACTATGAATTTCATGATGCTTTTTTAGGCAAAAAAAATACCAAATTGCATTATACAATTAGCTGATCGTTCAATTAATGTGACATTCTTACGTGCATTGAGACAATTATCATGGTGGGAAATTATAAAACTTATATGGTTAATTATACAGTCAGACTCCTGCATCAGTATACAAGATATAGAGCACTATAAACAAAAGTGTGTATTAAAGCAAATGATTTTATCATTGAAAGAAAAGTATCCAGCAATAGAGAAAACATTTATCACAGAAAGAGACATATATCTTACATACCATCTTCAGGAGGCCATTGCAGCTCAACTTACTTCAAAACAGTCACCAAGAGTCGTAGCAGTTGTTGGCATAGGACATACTGATGGAATTATTAAGAACTGGGGAAAAGTGGAAGCTTCTGATATATTGCCTATTATGTGGTATGGGTAGATTTAAGACATTTTATTATTCACAAATACAATTTATTCACAATTTATTCACAAATAAATTATTACAAATAGCAATTATCTTTTCATTTCTTTTTACAGGGTGCCTCCCGAACGTTTATCAAGCAAGATATTTGCATATGCAATTAGAGCTTCTTTTTGGGGAGCTACAATTTATGTGGGATATAAAATTATCCCACTACCTTCTACTAATGTACTGAAATCAATCAGAGCGTCGATTGCGCGACTATTATAGGCCAGTGTTAAACAATAGAGTAGTTGGAATTTGACTTTTAGAACCCTTTATTGATATATAACGTATACTTTCTATCAAGAAGAAAGAAATGAAAGCAAAATAATTGTTTTCTTTATTTTGTGCCGCCTGTTCTTAAAAATTCTGTTGAATTTTCTTGAAGTTTTTCATTGATATAAGATTATAATAAGTATGGAGGCGACTGCTTGTGCAGATGAATATGAACACATTACACTTGATGTTATGTATGTAGTACATAATATACCAGGTCCTGGAATAAACTTGGAGGAATTTGAATCAGAATATTCACTAGGTTGTTCATGTACAATTCGGTGCTTCGATTGTTCATGTACACGTGGTTCCCCGAATTATATCGATGGTCGAATACTAGACGAAAAATTATCAGTGCCAATAATTGAATGCAATTCTCATTGTACTTGTAGAGAAAATTGTGACAATAGAGTGGTACAGAATGGTCCACTGAACAGTTTAATTGTATCAGAAATTGATGGAAAAGGACACGGTTTATTTACAAGTAAACCCATTAAGAAAGGTCAATTTATTTGTGAATATGCTGGAGAAGTGGTAAGTATGGAAGAAGCAAGACGTAGAATTGAGACGAATAAAAATACCATGAATTATGTTCTTGTGGTTTCTGAACATATTGGAAATCAAGTAATAGTGACTTGTATAGATCCAAAATATTTTGGTAATATCGGAAGATACGCTAATCATAGTTGCGAGCCAAACGTTAATCTTGTACCTATAAGAATCGAAGGTCCAGTACCTCGATTATGTTTGTTCGCATCTAGAGATATAGAAATTGATGAGGAAATAACATTTAATTATGCTGGCGGAGTTCCTAATTTTGTCCATAAACTCAGTCATACACCTTGTCTTTGTAATTCCAACAAATGTTGTGGCTATTTACCACATAATACTATTTGAGATTGTTAAGCTCTTGAATAAACTGGTTAAGAATTTTTTAAATACAGTAAATTGTTTTTTCGATAATTTTGTATTTAATTGTTATTTTATGTTGATTCTTTGTTTTGATTATTTATTGTTATGCGAAACGATTTGAACTATTTTAGAATAAGATGGTGTTTTAAAAGTTATTTACTTTTTGTACAAAAATGAATCCATAATACTTTATATTTTCTTAAATATTTAATCATTTTCAGTTCAGTGGATATTTTATATGTGGATGAGTGGTTGGGGAATACACGCACACGCATGTTTATCAGTCTTCAATCTGAAATAAATATTCATGCATTTTAAGTAACACTAACATTATTACTAATGTAGCCTTACTCAATATACGAAGCATCTGAACAAAATTTCTTTGATTTCCATGTTATTAGGTACAAGTAATGTTCAGTACTGACAATAAAGTGGTGTATAATATATAGGAAAACGAATTTCAGATTTATAAAAATCTCTTCAATTTATTAGAACATACATATTCTATGTCAATTATTTTCATCTATCTTCTTTGGAATTAAGTTTTTGTAATTGTATAAATACTAAAAAATATTAGCATAACATTTAATATCCTTTTCGTTTCTTAAGTATTAGTGAAGTTTCATTTTAATATAATTCATTTATCCTGTATTTTAAAAATTGTACATTACATAAATGTAACACATAATCCATTAAAGAGTGTAGAATTAAATAACAAGCTAATATTTCTTCATTCTATTCATTTCTATTGTTTTTCTTTATCCTTTGTAATAGATTTTGATGTTAATTCACTACTGTATCTCCAACGCAACCATGCCACCCTCATACGATCCCAAATGTTTTCTATTGAATCCATAGCTGGTCTAACATCCAGTATCGTAAATGTGTATTTTTCACTAACTGCTCCGCCGTCATAGTAATCTATAATATATCGTACATCTTTCCCACATCTATCTATAATCCAGTCATGTCGATCAAATGGTAACTCATATCTGAAAAGAAAATTTTGCACATTTATTAATATAATTTATTAAGAATAATTTCGAATTATTCTTTGCTGTAATATAACCAACCCCATCCAATATCGGATCCGTGCACGTGGTGAATAATGCTTTGCTTTGCCTCCAAAACTCCGCAGTTTTGGAGTGCAGCACTCTTTTGCGTGAAGTGCTTCCCATTTAAGCACTTCTTGCCATGCCAATTCATTATTTGCATTGTGAATTTTTATTATATTATCCATGTCTTTTTGTGTTATGTCATCATTTTTCCATCTCCAGCCCTTTCTTAGCATTGCATTCCAGAACATTTGTTGTGAGGGATATACCCAGAATTCTGCATTTTCTGTTGCTTTTGGTATTGACGAAACTTGTCTCTCAGTAGGCAGTGGGAAAGGCTGATCTGGTGCTGGCTGTTGATTAGCTGGTGGCATCTACAATTACATTTAAATTATTATTTAGATGTAATAAATAATTCTACAGTGTTGAGATATTTTTAAATATACCAATAAATATATTAACCATGTTAAGGGGATTAATATCTTCTGAGGCCATGTTATTAATTGGACATTCGTTGGAAAATGTAGATTGTGCTTTTTTTGATGCAGATTTATGCATAGGACATTCTGGTGGAGGTTCTCCATCAGGTTTGAGTGTTCCATGGAGCTGAGTCTTTGAAATTTGTTGCTGATGTACTGGGATAATTACATCAGCTGCAGATACAGCAGAAGTCATAACATTACCCATTTTTTTTCTACAATTTTTGTAATAAGAATTTGAAATTAAATATCTGTTTTTTCATTCAAGGAAATAGAAGTTATGAATATTGGAGTAGTAACCTATAAATAGATTATGCAATAACCTATATTTTCTGTTTCAATGTCATTGCTAAATATATTATTGCAAAAATTAAATATATACTTCTATATGAGATCTGATAATTTGATGAAAGAGAAAAGTTAATTAAATACTTACATGAAATTGTTAACATATATGATATCGTTGTTCAGATAAATCTATTTAATCATTTGCTTTTGTCAACTTAAGGAAACGTTTTAATAAATTATACAGATGTTATACATTCAATAAATTTTAGAAATTAAAGATAATCTGCTTTGAAGAATTGGAACATCTCGATCCCAAATTCTTCACGCCATTTAGAATTAAATTACAGCAGTATTAACACTTGTATGACACTATTATATCTAGTGATTTTTATTAAGATCATAATAATTTTCCCCAAAAATAGAAAATTTTAAAAAATTAATGATAAATATCCCTACATAAGTTAGGATAAATTTTTAACAAACGTCATTTTTAATTTTGTATTTATATATAAGAGCAATAGTAATAATAAATTAAATAAGATAATAACCATTTAATAATTTCATTATGAAATAGGGAATTTTTTTTCATTTTTTTGGTAGGATTTCAAATTTAAATTTGAAATTTTGTTAGGATTTAAGTTTCTTAGGATTATACAAATATAAATGAACTATTTTTAGTGCCTTTTTTTTATTAAAATATGTATAGTATATACACTCAGTACGCAAATTTTAACATGCGAATAATAATATTATATTTGAATATCTCTTGTTATATATACAAAAGATATCAAATTTCGTTGCATAAATCACGTTATTGACAAAATATTTCTTTAGTAGCAACAGCTTCATAATGAACGTTGAAACATTTTATCTATAATTTTTAATGCGTACAGACCTTCCACTCACATAATTTTTTATCCTACAATACTGTAAAAATAATTATAGAAAAAATAGGTTTGCTGGAATATTCGTTATTGTTAAATGTTTAAAATCTATGATATATATATATATATCATACAAGAATAGATCGAGTCAAATATATATATCATTTTGTAATGTTTTTAATGTGTCCTTGTATTATTATCCGAAATCGATTTTGATAATGCATAGGACACTACTATTTATAAATTCAGAAAGTTCTGTAGCTTCTTAGAAATTGTATCTACATGTGTGGCATAGATGTGTGTTTCTAAAAAATTTAATAAGAAGAAATTAATTCCTTGCGATTTTTGTCGATTCTTTGATTCCGGTTACGTGCTCCAAGTCGAGACTATCATACTCTAATCCAGCAGTGTTATCATAATAGGCATAATCGTAGTCAGTTTTTTTCCCAGATTTTGATCGCGGTGTAGTGGTATTAGGAAGTTTCGTTGTCGAGGAGAACGGTTTGGCAGATCCGCTAACATAGGTACTTCCCCTAGGAGTAGTCGCTGATTGTGGCGGTCTTTGGGTATTTGAATTGAAAGTGTTCGGATTGTATGTGGTGGCTGTAGAAATTCTCCTATGTAAAAACAAATTTTTTAGATATGAAAACCTTTACCATAGATTTAGGGATATTATATATTAATTTGCTACCTTGATACTGGAGTAGTAGGTCTTGGTGTTTCAGCCAAATGATTGATACTAGCAGGACTAAATCCAATTCCAACTGACGATCTTGCTACATCATAGTTTCCTGTACTGGTTTCAGTGTAATATTTACCATTTGATCCATCATAAATATTATACTGTGTGACCTTTTTTGGTGCTTTGGTACTGTCATAATGCTGAGATGAGCTTTTGATAGGTTGGCTAGATTTCTCATAATATTGTCCATTTTCAGTAGTCCTCACAGCACTTTGGGCCTGGGTATTGTCATTAGCAATATATTTCTTTGTAGCTGGACTATAGGTTGTAGGAGCATAACTGCTGCTTGGAAAATTGGGAAAATACTTTGTAGTTGCCTGAGAAATATCTTGCCTAGAAGTTGTACTATGTCTATACTGTCCATTATTATTGTTGTTATTGTTGTTGTAATTATTATCATAAATAATAGGTGCAGTAGTAGTAGATTGATGGGGTACATTGTTATTTCCACGTTGAATATTATTATAATTTCTCTGGTAATTTGTGTAATCATTTGCCTGGTAATTAGTGCTGGGTTGCAAGGTCGTTGATTGTACGAATTGCCCGCCATTATTATAATTCTGATTGTAATTCTTATTGTAGCTAGATGGCTTTGCTGTAGTGCTTTGACTCAAACTACCAGGATTTTGCGTATTATAATTTGAATTAGTATTGTAAGCATTATAAATTGTTGTCCTGGTTGTCGTACTAGGAGACTGGAAGCTATAATTATTCTGATAATTAGTACTTGGTCTATATGTCGATGATGGCGTGATATATCTTTGTGCATTCTGATTCTTGTTGAAATTCTCCTGAGGCTTTGCACTGCTCGATGATGCGAAGCTATTGGTTCTCTGATTATAATTATTGCCACTGTAGAAACCAGTATAAGTATTTTGATTGCCAGCAATGGCAGGTAGATGAGTGCTGGATGGTACATAGTTACTATTGCCATTGTCATTGTACTGTTGTTTTCTGTTGATCTTTCTGATTCCCGTCTTTTTTTTCTCTTGAATAATCTCGTCTTTGTAAAATTTTTCGCTTTCATAATCTTCTTCCTTGCCGTTTCTGCTATTATAAAAATTGCCACTGCTACTCCCTCTCAAATCTCTGTTACTGTTAAAGCTATTTGAGGATACTCTATTGAAAGTATTAGCTGACGAACGGACAGGATCATTTGTCTCAGATCGTTGAAGATGGTCTTGGGGTTCGGCATCACTGCGTATACTATCATAGTGAGGCGATTCCAGGCCAGATCCTATTCTATATAAGTCAAAATTATCGCTGGCGTAGTACAATGTAGCTGCTTCGCAATCAACGTCGTACCAATCCGCACAGGTCTGACTTTCTTGGTCGAATGCAGTGTCGTTTGGACACAAAAACCTTGGAAAGGAACATATATTTATGACGTACCCCTTTGAATAGGATCATGGGCAGAATACCAATTTTTCTCATAGCGTAACCTACTTGTAATCTTGAATAGTGCCTGACACGGACACACAGACGTGGAATACTTGGCAGTCAGTCTCTGGGTCAGCGTAATAACTTCCTACGATTTTGTTGCGACAAGTGAAGGAAGTTTCCGGCATGTATTGTTGTGAGTATCTGGGTGGTGGTCGTTGGAGTCCGTGGACACAGGCTACAAATGCAGTCACTACAACAAAATAGGAATCATTGAAATATGTCGTAGACTTTCATTTTCTATATCTAATTAATTTCATCATTGACGAAAGAGAAAAATTATTCGATAGTTAATGCTTAGTCACAGTTAGCGCGGATACTATCTTTGTAGCGTAAAATAGCGTGCATACTCGCAGAATTATGACAGCACGCGTTTCTCCTCGCTCGAGGAGCTGCGATAAAGAAATCTAGTGAAACACTCGAGAAACTGAATTAAATTCCTCACTATTCTAACTTTTCTAGTTTTCATCTAAACGTACCCCATACAAGGAATATAATCCTCCCAGTGGCTTCCATCCTGAATTTTTCAAGAATAAACTTTTCACTGTAGTAGTTGTTCCAAGAAAAGCTCACACTCTCGTGTTACCTTCACGGAGAGACTCTTCGAGACGACTGCGGTGTCGAGGAGAACGCCTCGACCGAGAAGAAGATACCCAGCAGGGAATGTTCTTTGGAGGATGTTTCTGGGGTCCGTAGACAAGGTAGGAGGTCTCCTTCCATACAGAAGGCACACGTGTCTGATGGGGGTAGAGGACGTAACGTTTCCTTACGTCATTCTCTGCTTGATCGCCAAAGGCAGATACTACCTGCCACTGACGATCTGCATGGAGAAACTATCGATGAAAGCTACAAAACGATCTTCTTATTGAAATTTGTTCTTCATAGATCTTGGAGTCTTTCAAGAATTCATCATGATGATTTCTGGCTCCTGTTTTGATCATTTGATCCTTAGAGCTTCTGAATTGTTCGATCGATAAGCCTAGAAAATTTTAAGGGAAGGTTTAGCTATTCTCACGATAAATGGACTTCGTGTAGTCGTTAGTCTTTTTCGGATGACAAATCACCAATAGATTATGTAGACGACCCGCAAGTAAAAGTCGCTTTCTATTAAATCTTCAACACATGTTGTCAGAGTCCGAAAAAATTGTCGACAGATAAGATTATAGTACATGAAATGTTTTCAAGGTTCATTGCGATATGAATCTGCGATTCCATCGATTAGTCGCCATGATTGAAGTCACGGAACGGGCTTAAATAACACCAGGAATGGGGGATTTGTCTCATGCTCTTTGCCAACTCGGGATCAAGCCACGACCCCTCGAAGAGGCATATCCAGGGAGTGCTCTGTTGCATTCCAGTACCGGGCCGATTTCTCGCCATCTGGGACGTGATCTTCTTCGTTCTAGAAGAATGAAAGAGTTTAAGAATCATAGAGGACGTATGGAAGTCAAGAGGAAAAATATTTTTCACACATGGATAAATGAAACTTTACCACCCCCCTTTTGCTTTCTATATATACTGCGTGAAAGGGAAGAGTGTTTCCGGTGTATTTACGAATAATGTGGATGATAAAATGAAAATTACACGAGTCTCTTAAGTCATATATATACATTGGGTTACAGAAGTAATTGTATCCTGAATTTCTGATTTCAGACGACTGCCCCTTTAATAACACGAGTTTCAAAATTCTCATGAATAGGAATGTATATTATATCTAGATATAGTCTAAGATAGCCTAATTTAAGACATTAATTCACGAGTACATTAATTACTGCTCATGATGAATTTCTATGGTAACGGATATTTTTCTAACCTCAATCTGCGACGATAAAAACTTTAAATAATGTGACACCACTGATAAAAATTTTGAAACGTATTGTAAAAGAATAACAATCATTTGAGGTCGTCAAATAGTAGTATGGTATGGATATTTCTGAACGAATGTATTAAGATTGGCCACCTATTTGATCAACCAAATTATTTTCGTAAGTAATGAAGAAAGTAAAATTTTTGTTATCATGAATGACACAATTTCTAAGGATCTTTATGGTGATTTTTTTATGTCTTATTATTTTAAATAAATTCTCAGGGTTACCTTCAATTTTTGTAGGTACATATGAACCTATAATTTCTTTCGCTCAGCAGTTAGTAGGCATTGACACGAATTCAACAATACGAAACAAGTATGTTTTTCAGTTTAATAAAATGGTAATAAAAGGCATTTAAAGGCATTTTAGACAAAAGATAACTTTGTATAAAGTAGATATCCATAATCTTGAATTTCGAACTTACTTAAATTTATAGTAGGTATTCAGAATGCCGACTGCCAACTTCTATGCATTTCTGTAGACGAAATACAAATGATTGCATGCATCTTTCAATCACGCTATTGTTCTGATATAATGCTATATATGTATCCATAATTCGTTGTCGCATATTTTCCTGTGTTGAAACATTTTAATACACTAATGCACTAATATCTTTTGTACAATTTAATACACTAATATGTGTAATGTAAGTATAGAAATATACATATATACATAAGTATATATATATATATACAAATATTTGTAATCAAAGCGTTTTTTGGTTATGTCATGTATTTCAATTTTAAATATTGAATATATTACAGTGCTACATTTGTGTCTATTTTTTAGGATACAGTTTTGAGAAATTAGAGGATTTAGTTTTCGGATAAAACAAAGGTTTCATCATAGATATAGACTATTCCGTACTTTAATGATCGTCCACATCTCTATTACGCGTGATGAGCTCGCGACGAGGAATCTTCTCAGCCTTGGAGGGCGAAAGTTACCTTCGACTTGTTCGTAGATGGTATGATATTTGCACCTACAAGCCGAGAAGCATGGCTAAAGTAAAAGATAGATTCGACTAGCTTTTTTCAATTTTACTTACATGTTTCTATTACGTTTGATATCTTGATAATAAAGATTATCGAATTTTCTATCATTTTATTGGAAAAAGAATAGATACGGCTTCACTTCCCTTTATGGACAGGGAGAATTATAGGATCATATGAAAGATTTAAGTTAGCATTTAATAATAGAATTACAAACCTGTAACATGTATCTAAATATAGTTTACATGAATAGTAATTAAACTGATATGATGAAAATAACTAGGTACATATAATTATATCACGTAACTTATATGTGTAATGAGTGATTATTTTAATTTTTCAGTTATTATTTGGGGAAGCTTTTCAATGAAGTAGTAAAATGAAATGTTTATCATTTCTTTAATTATTTTAAAGGTGTACATTGTGGTATTTAGAATTTAAAGTTTAGGTTATAAATTCATGTTCCCATAGAAATTACTATAATAACTTTAAAGGAATATAGAATAAAAAACAATACTACTTGAGTAATAAAAGGTACATATTTATTTTATACATATCATTAGAGTGAAATATTAATAAATTATTATTAATATTAATAACGAAAAATAAAAAGTCAATAAATTTCACAGTTTTTATTAGAAATATAATAATGTTCAGAAAAGAAATTAGCAAAATAAATGAGTAATTCAGTTGAATATGATATTTTTAGGTTTTAAGATAATCTAGATATAAGCCCAATAATCATGAATTCCAATAACAACGGGTAATGATGACAAAAATACGCGAAACATTTCGCAAAGTAAAAATGTTAGACTACAAGTGAGATACGTGCAATTCATTTTTGTATCAAAACAGCCATCATATATCAACAAGTTATCAATAAAGTTTCTTGATGGAATTCTTAGTTCAATCATTTAGAACGAATTCGATATAAACGAACTTTAGGGATGTTACGAATATAACGATTATTAACGTTAGAACTATCAAACAAGGCAAAATGACTAATTTTGGTATTTTTTTCACATTTACAAATTTATGTTATAATGTATTATCTATTTGTTTTCATCTTTTTTTTAAAAGTATTATTATCTATCTTATTATCAAATATTATGTATATTTAGATATATACTATAGGTTGGTATTTCTATTATTAATGGAATGCTAAACAAACAAAATTTAAGGACGTCTTCCTTGGTGTGTCATATATCAGTGAATAAACCAGTTTCAGAAACTGGTTGTTATCAAAATTGCAAAGCGATGTGACCGATAATCACCGCATAAAGACCACTTCTTTACATTAATCTATGTATGTTCTACTGTTTCGTGTTGAAGTCCGAAACTCGTATTTAATTTATTTCATCTTGAAAAACGTTCGTTTCTTTGTTTTTCAGAGCTCTCCTGTGGAATGGTATTACGCAGATTTGCATAGCGATTTGGAGAAGAGAGAACGTTCCTCGTTACCCAAGCGGATACAGAAAGGTGCTAAACGTATGCGGGAACACATTCTACTTCCGTCAGATGTGTGCACCTCTTCGTCCAGCTACCATTTCGCTACTTTTTTATTACTTTCGTAGCCGCTGATGCAAAATCACATATTCAAGCCACAGTCGATTATGGACCCATTTACAGCTTGTTACTGAAGTGGAATATTACCAGGTTAGTATTTATCTTTGTGCATCAGACTTACGTTACATGCGAGATAATTAGACAATTTCTTAATATTTTGAGGTTTACGTAGGTCAAAGACTAATTTAAAGAAAGGCATACAGCTTGAGAGGCCTGAATTAATATTTCTGAACTTTTTTCTTACGAAAATTAATATAGACGTTTTTATATTTTTATTAAAATATAAACTTTTTGTTTTATGATGTAGCCATATCTTTGGTTATAATAATCAATCTTTACAAAGAAATATTTATCATGCAGATTAATATTTATTAATCTAATAACATTTATTAATATATATAAGTTAGTTCCACATGCATTATTCGCTTATTGTTAGTGATTTGCGGTCACTCTTATATCAACAGATTTCACTTGGTAGCAATGAGGGAAATTAGTTTTTTGAAATACACCAACAGATGTACTCAGCCTAATCAATTTTTAAGAAGTTCATTTTCAAGGAAATGCAAGTAGATCATATAAATTTTTATACAATAAAAGAAAGAAATCACAGATCGAAATTTGAATTAAATTTATTTTATAGCTTTCGAGTAATTATGTCATTTTCAAAAACTTGATTTCGAGAAAAATGTAACAAATTCCAGATTTATAAAACATACCATTGGAATTTAAAGCAATATAGAATAGTATTTCATTCGATCTTCGCGATATTATTATGTATGGTAGTAACGCAGAATATTTACTGCTGGTGCCAGTATCTTTGATATTTTTACAAAGTTTTTGTCTCGATTTTTATAATGTATCAAGTATTAGAAATAGATACGAAATAAAAAAAACTGATGTTAGCAAAATGAGTTGTAATCCCTCTTAAGGAAAGTACATATTTTTATTCTTGCTCTAGCAATAGAACCCTACTGCATAAGGACTTAGCGCGGTGACAGAGTTAACACACGATCAGATGTACGGCCTTGGCGTGGACGAGCTCCCGTTTTTCCTATTTCCCTTCGTTCACGTTCATCTTCTAGCTTGGATCGAGCTAGTGAAAGCTGGCTAGAACATCTCGAACGTCCTCCGGCACGTGCACTCGAATCCTCCTCACGAATAGACGATTTATTGCGGTGGAACGGCGAAAGCAATAGGAACTG